CTTTACTTAAGGTTGTTTATGCCCTGACGGTGAACAACAACATATACATTATACTCTACACACACTGCGTTATATAACCCAGGACACGTCTCCATCTCCTCCAGTAATTCCCTGGCTGATTATGTAGGATGTGCTGTGAGAAATCAATGCAGGGTTTTAATTAATGGCAGCGCATCTTCTTTCTATATTTGAGCGTTACGTAAGAAACAGCGCTGTGTGTTTTATCGTGTTCAACACTGATCGGCCTGAGGACAGCTTCAGATCAAGCCTGAGGACTGTGTGTCTGTCTTCAATGACATTTACTGATCAATTAAAGCGTCAGCAGAAGAGAGAGAGAGAGAGAGATGTTTCTGACGCCCACCAGAGCTGGAAAAAGATCCGTCTGTAGACACGCAGCACTGAGAGTATCGTGAAGACGCCTGCTTTAGCATGAGCTGTGCTCCAAATCATCTATGCTTTATTAAAGGGACAGTTCACCCAAAACTCTACATTCCCTCATCATTTATTAACCCTTCACTTGACACAAACCTGAGTTTCTTTTGTTTTGTTGAAAGCAAAATAAGTTGTTTTTAAAAATGTTGGAAACCTGTAACTATTGCATGTCAATCTTAATTCATATGCTGTCAAATCAGCATATGAGTTTCTGTGCCTAATTACAGAAATTCAAGGATGTAAAAAGCATCAAGGAGTGCATCAAAGACACACATAGGTACACGCATTGTCACACCATCTCTTAACATTTAATAAATGTTTAAACAACTTTAAGGAATACGGACAGATGATGTCAGGCGTTTGTTCCTGTTGCTTAGGGAATGGACGTATGCAACTCGTGCATTCGTGAGCGAGAGCAACTCTCTTCAGATTCAACACGCATGATCGCGTTCATCAAATTTGCTTAAACTAACCGCTCTAAAGCCTGTTTTACAAGCAAGGATTCTGACACAGCGACATGAAGCAGATGCTTTACAAAAGTTGCGCGTAAGAGGGAAACACGACAAACTTAATGACACATTTGAGGGCTCAAAGGCAGAGGATTGCAGTGTCTCTGACATGATCTGGCACTTTCAATGAGTACTGTACGTACATGGACACCAATGCTCCAATTTTAACATAATTTAGACCAGGGGTTTTTAAAGTGTGAGGCGCGCCTCCCCAGGGGGAAAAATATTATATAATAATAATAATATAATTATTAAGTTTAATTATTATGTGTATTTTTTATTATTTTTAAACGTTTTAATTAAACAAAGTAAAAAAATAATAATACATCAAAAATAAGAAAACCTTTTTTACCCAGAAGGCCATAGCTGTGAATTCTCTTCTGTTTGGCAAGCCCGCTAATACAGTTATATGTGTGTGCGTGCGTGTTTGGGAGGAGGGGGCGCCAATGGATAAGTTGTGTCAAAAGGGAGGCCCACTGTCTAAGACTTTGAAAAACCCTGATTTAGACAATACTCTCATAAAGGGTCTAGACTACCATGTAAACAGTGATTTTTGATAACCTTAAAAGGACCACAGACACCTTTCCATTTAACGTGCAATATCAAATTCCATTAAAAGAGCACTCTTCCGCCAGTCCCCGTGTCAAGCTTGGCCCCCCCTCCTCTGGCCCCCCTAAATTTGGACATGTGTTTTTGTGTCAAAATGCCACAGAGAAGCGAGATCAGCCATCGGTGGCAGACAGACTGCGAAGATATGAGGCCTCTCTCTGCGTGTTCTAGGTGTCAATTGCACTCGCTCTCTTGGGCACTCGCTACCTCGGGCACTTGCTCTCTCTGTTATGACAGTGCTGCGCACATTAGCCTAGTTCCCTGCATTCGTCAGATGTTGACGCCCAAATTATCACAGGTAATACCAATTTTAAACACTATTAACATAGGAAGTCCTCGGCTATGCAGAGGCCATAGCTGCGTCCCAAATCGCATACTTCTGCACTATTCTACACCATTTTGTAGTATAAATAGTGTAAGTAGTGTGTTCACACTGAAAACTCTAAAAATAATAAGTGCACTTTAATTATCCGGATGATCACTCATTCAGCCGGTAAAATGAAGTGTGTAATGATGGACACTTCACGCACTCAACCGCAGGTTTGCTTGCGTAGCGGACAGAGATGTATAAAGTACTAGAGACCCATACTTAAGTAAAAGTACAAGTGCTTTATCAAAAAGTGACTTGAGTAGAAGTAGAAGTGCTCTTTAAGCACCATACTTAAGTGGAAGTACAAAAGTATTCAACATTTTTTGTACTTAAGTATTGCAAGTAGTTTATTTCAAAATTTACTACTCAAGTACTGAAAGTAAAAGTACAAGTATTGTGTAATGTCGTTATTAAAGAAAGCAGTCAAAATACACTAATTGTTTTGTTTATTTTAAATATCTTTTTTGGGGTACTTAAGCAGAATGAAAAGAAACATGGCTTATGATACTGTTTTTCTCTGTAAATAGTTTCTAAGGTACAAGAGCTCACATCGTCAGGCCCTTTTACCAGAAAATGCCTTCACTGATGAGATAATTCAGCATGTTCACTCACATACATACTCTCTTGCTTTCTCTCTCTCTCTCTCTCTCACACACACACACACACACACACACTGCCCTGCACACACCTAAATGTACACTCTCTCCCCACTCTCACACATTCATACACTCTCACACACACAGTTCTCTCTCTATCTCTCTCTCACACACACACATTTTTGTGAATTGTGGGGACATTACATAGGTTGCAATTGTTTTTACACTCTCTCTTACACACACACACACACACACACACAAACACACACACAAACACACACACACACACACACACACACACACACACACACACACACACTGTTGTTTTCTCTTACACATTATTCACTCACACTTTGGGAGTTTTGAAGTTTGATTGGTTAATACCACAATGAACAGGAGTTCTGTCTTCTGGAAGCACTCGTGAAACTAAACTAAACAAGCAAACTAAATCCTGCTTCACTAATTCACTTGATTTTGATTTTATTGTAAAAAAAAAAACAGGAAAATGTGTATATTACTGTGTTAAATGAAAATCTGAAATATTTTATGGCTTATGGCTATGATTTAATAATAATTGTTATTTATTTTTATCATGTTTTTAATGAAATTGGTCTTACAGTTCATATTTTTCTGTTGTATATTTTTTAATTCTGGTACTTTTACCATAAACCAACATCTCAGCCATTTGGTAGAGGCTGATATTTTAGAAATAATGTGATGTGTTGAATAAAAATGCACTGATCTTGTTAACTAGCGACATTAGGAGTTAAGAAATGCAATCAAAAAAAATTATATTGCTTTTGTCTTGGTGTGACAGTTAAAGGGTTTTTTGTAATAAAAATTTTGTCCTTTAATACAGCAGTCAGATATACTAACTGTGCCCTTAATTTGACCTGCTCAAAGAAAACACTCTTTCTGGATGTGTCAAACAAAACTCATGCACAGAAGACAGCACGAGCATTTACAGCTAATAAACTCATGTCAATATTATCCCGCCTGCTTATTGAGCGCTGACAGGCGGGTCTTACACGGCTATGATTGGTTATTGTCCTCAACAGAAAGGGCTTTAGAAATATAAGCGCTGTTCACCCATGGCGGGAAAAATACGCGATTATCACGGGTAAAAGACACAGTGGAGAAAACTTAATTGCACATGAGGCACGCTCATGTCTGGATTCTCAGCTTCAACAGCTGAGAAGAGAGGAAAAGTTACCTTACAAACTGGCCAGCGGGTCAAATGTCCAAAGTGAGAGAGCGAGAGATAGGCAGAGGTGAAGTTTTACAACATTTCTCCCTAACAGTAAACTAGCGACTGGAGTGCTGTGCCGCCTTCTCTCACCCTCGCGCCTCCGTCCTTCGCCATAGTATTGCGACATCGCGCATAGGAGATAAATGACGTCATCACGTAATCACCGGTTATGACCTATTATTTCTGAACTGATTTCAATCATTTTGACACCCATAGTAACGAGTAACGATGCAGCACATAAAAAATCTATCGGAGTAAAAGTATTAAGCTCATGGAAAATATGTACTTAAGTAAAAGTGGAAGTAGGAGAAAAAAATTATACTCCAGTAAAGTACAGATACTGCCTTTTAGTACTTAAGTACAGTAGTGAAGTAGTTCTACTTCGTTACTATACATCTCTGGTAGCGGAAGGGGCGGAGCTATCGGACGCACATGTTGAATAACTTTATTTATTTTGGATGGAGAAAGCAAAATTCTCCTATGAGAGTGATTATAGCGCTTCCTGATGGTGAATGCAGTTATACTCATGGCAGGTATTATTTGATAATTCTGTCGTTTTTTCACTGATTTGGCAACTGTCAAACGTCATCAAGGAAACGGTTTGAATTTCCTCTTAGTAAAAATTATTAGTGCTCCATTTGGGACGCCACTACATACATAAACTATCCTGTTGAGTTTGCAAGTGCATAAGTACATAGTGCATGAGTGCATAGTGTATAGTGTGCCATTTGGGACGCAACTCATAATTAATCACAAATCTAGTGTACATAGTTTTACGTTAGGAAATGCAGTCTTGAATTTACAAACAGTCGGCAAGTACCAAAGAACAGATGTAAGACCTAGTAGTTTCAAATGTAGTTTTCAGTCACGCGCATGTAAATCATTCAGATTAAGGCAAATTATTAGATTACTGATAACCATGTAAACATAGTTACAAGCCCCAAACCCTAAAAAAAGGAGTTCAGTATTTTGATGATAATCTTTCCACAGGTTAGTAGTAAGCTAATATAATTTCATTCATTATTCATTTTCTTTTCGGCTCAGTCCCTTTATTAATTCGGGGTCGCCACAGCGGAATGAACCGCCAATTTATCCAGCTTTTTTTTACGCAGCGGATGCCCTTCCAGCCGCAATCCATCTCTGGGAAACATCCACACACACTCACTCATACACTTCGGACAATTTAGCCTACCCAATTCACCTGTACCGCATGTCTTGTGTCCTCCACATCTCACCTTAATAAGCGCCTCGAGGTCGGCATGAGAGACGCAGGGGTTTTTCTGGAGAAACTGGGCTTTCTTCTGGGTGATGGAGTCTTTCTGGATGCTCTCGAAGGGCTGTTCGAGTGCCTGAAACGCTAGACCTCCGCACACTAAATACGATAGCACCACCACAAACACAGCCAGCACCGTTTTCCACTTCATGACGGAGTGCAGAGCCGATCCGTCCGCTCCAGAATCCATGCCGGTGAGGACGCTGGCCGATCGGGATGAGATTGACAGTCGTGGTAGTAGACAGTGACCGTTTTTCAGCTCGCAGCCCATCGGGTTCTGCATGGCCGAAACACTGGCCTGGACCAGACTGGACTGGACTGCACCCGACTGCGGCTTCTTCTGCGGGACCATGTTGGTCTGAACGGCCACTGAAAGAGACGGAGATGATCAGAACTGGGTGGATTATAATAATTAAAGGTCTCACAAAGTGCTCTGAAATGTGCATTTTTTTATTCAACATGAAGAGAGGACGGGACATAGATTAGCTCCTCCCCTTTTAAAAAACAGCCAATAGCGTTTTGTTTTTATCAAAGCTTTGCCAGTGTGAGTGGTTGAGCTCAAGTGCATCAAATGAAATGCAAATGAGAAGAAGGGGGCGGGGCATGTCAGATATGGTCAGACGTGACGTGAGAAAAATCGTTGATCCATTTAGGCGGAAGAGACAAACTGCAAGCTTTGGATGTTTGTGTCAGGTTTATATTTTCCAAATGCAAATTTTGTCACTGTTTTGGAGCACACAAGCTAAATCAGCCTGATCTCACGAGAAAACGTAAGTATTTTACGTTTTGCCAGTTTAGTGGCTAATTCGTACGAATTCGTACGATTTCAGTCGTACGAAATGATACGATTTTAACAAGGAGGTGTGGCACCTAACCCCACCCCTAACCCCAACCGTCATTGGGGGATGAGCAAATCGTACTAAATTGTACGAATTAGATCGTACGAATTCATACGAATTAGCCACTAAATCAAAAAGTTACGAATTGCCGTGAGATTGTGTTGAAATATCCCTAAAACTAACGCAAGAGTACCCAAACTTAATCCTGGAGAGCCGGTGTCCTTCTTAGTTTAGCGTCAACATGCTTCAACACACCTGTCTGGAAGATTCTAGTATATCTAGAAAGCAGGCCCGGATTGGCTAATCAGGAGGACCGGGAGAATTCCCGGTAGGCCGGTTAGTTTTTTGGCTGCGAGGGCCAGTGTCCATATTGCTGCTTGCACTCTCAGCAGTCGCAATGTTTATTTATTTATTTGACTATGTGTGGGGGTCCATTTGGTCTGTATTATATTCATTCATTCATTCATTTTCTTGTCGGCTTAGTCCCTTTATTAATCCGGGGTTGCCACAGCGGGATGAACCGCCAACTTATTCAGCAAGTTTTTACGCAGCGGATGCCCTTCCAGCCACAACCCATCTCTGGGTAACATCCTCACACACATTCACACACTCCGGACAATTTAGCCTACCCAATTCACCTGTACTGTATGTCTTTGGACTGTGGGGGAAACCGGAGCACCCGGAGGAAACCCACGCGAACACAAGGAAAACATACAAACTCCACACAGAAACGCCAACTGAGCCGAGGTTCGAACCAGTGACCCAGCGACCTTCTTGCTGTGAGGCAACAGCACTACCTACTGAGCCACTGTCTCGCCATGTCTGTATTATATGCCCCATAATTTTCCTATAAGAAGGAATCGATCCGGGTTCTTATGGGTTAATAGTTTGCAGTGCTATATTGCGGTTTGGTGTTGCATATCACACTACAAACACCTCGTAATAAACTGCAGCACATTTTCTGTTATTCTACACACTTATTTCTCTATATATGATTACTTATACATTATATTATTCACTAAAATGTGAATTAAAGTAACTTTGTTAAACTGTAGAGTTGAATTTTTAACATCAAAGTGAACAGAGCAGAGATCAACATCCCATCATGCAATTCACAACCGTAAATAAAACACTTGTGAATCAGAAAATACAGAAATGACTAATTAACAGATATTCTTACAGTCAGGGGTAGACTGGGACAACAATACAGGCCGGGAAATCTTTTGAATCTCAGGCCACCTCTGCTGCTATTGTCACCACTACGCAACCCTTTTCATGTAATTATCTGACTGCGAATATTTTATTGTAACTATATTGTTTATTGTACCATGTAGACTACCACCCTGCTGAAAAATCCAGCTTAAACCAGCCTAGGCTGGTTTAAGCTGGATTTTTTAGCAGAGCAGACAAATTATTAATGAATAAATTAATGAATCCTTAAACTCAAAACTCTCAAAACTTTCTGCACACACATTATTTCTACTTCTATTCCATAAATTAGATTTTTGGTTTGCTTGTTTGTTATATAAAAACCTTGACCCACTAAGACACGATGCAGCAATTCTATTTACTTTTATTTTACCTATTTTTTTTTTTAATTTATAGACTATACCTACTGTATATAAAAACACATGCTGTAGCCTACTGCATTAGACTAAACGAGACATTTTGTTGCTCACTTTTTATTTATTTTATATCTACTGTAAGTCAAATTAGATGAAAACGCCCGCCTGCCAAATGATTATGGTTGAAGTCAGAATTATTAGTCCCCCTTTGAATTTATATATTTTTTAAATATCTCCCAAATGTTGTTTAGCAGAGCAAGGAAATTTTCACAGTATGTCTGATAATATTTTTTCTTCTGGAAAAAGTCTTATTTGTTGTATTTTGGCTAGAATAAAAGCAGTTTTTATTTTTTTAAACACCATTTTAAGGTCAAAATTATGAGCCCATTTAAGCTACATTTGTTTCAGTAGTCAACAGAACAAACAATCGTTACACAATAACTTGCCTAATTGCCCTAACCTGCCTAGTTAACCTAATTAACCTAGTTAAGCCTTTAATGTCACTTTAAGAGAGCGCTCTCTCTCTCTGCTCCTCCTTTCTGTTTACTTTCCGTGTTTTTGCCTGACTGAAGTTGTAGCTGGTATGATAAGTTCTATGCAAATAGCTAATCAGGCAGTTTGTCGCTGAAATGATTGGACCTTATGGTGATCGTGATAGCCTGATTCGTGGTTTGAGGTGTCCATCAAACTACAAGCCTATGGCATGTCGAGGTGAGTTAATCGACGGCACGGCGGCATGCCAGATTGACCGTCAGGCCACCAGGAAATTCAATTCAGCTTTATTTGTATAGTGCTTTTACAATGTAGATTGTGTCAAAGCAGCTTCACGTAAATGGTCATAGTAACTGGATCAGGGTAGTTCAGTTTTTAGTGTTTAAGTTCAGTTCAGTTTAGCTCAGTTCAGTGTGGAAATGTCCCGGGGGTCCCGATGGCCAGTCCGCCCCTGCTTACAGTGCAGTGGATGATGACAGAATGCATGCATTGTAATTCAGTCCATTAGTGTGTCAGATCCTTAAGTGTTTTGACCAGGGATCTCCTGAGAAGCTTTAATATAATCGTCTTGGTTGAGCTCTTAGAAAACCACTCCAGCTTTACCAAAGAGATGGCGTTAAAACACCCAGATGAGCAGCACAAACCAAATATATGTTTATTTCAGCAATTCTGATTGTTCAGGATCACTGCTCATGAAAGGTGTGAATGCAAAACAATACTAAAGTGATATTCAATCCTAAGAAACAACTGATAGACCAGTGCAATAGCAGGATGATGGGTGATATAATGAGATTTAATAGCATCTCTATGAGGCGTAGATGTGCACGCCTTTAAATATTCAACCCTGCCTTTGTGAGGGGAAGTAGGCGGAACCTGTGACTCAATGATGTAATGCTCAAACCACCACATAATTTATTCAGACTCCGCCCCTCAGCATGCTTCAGCAAGTCTCCATCATTCCCTTTGTAAAAGAAAACAAAAAGCTAGACAACACATATGGATGTATTTAATACCCTGGACATGTCGTTTATTGAGTATAGTTCAAGGTCTCGGCTGATCATCAATGAATGCACTTGGACAACCATAATTCTTGACTTTGAGGGACTCAAGGACGCCTATATGTCAGTACATCTGAGATATGAAATCTGTCAGACCAGCCTACAGCGATCAATATCCAATAAAGTACACTGACTGACCCTGATGAATGTGGCCAGGAAAATGTATATAACAAATCAGAGATAATATTTACTGGAGGCTTCTTCTCATATAAGAAGTCACAACATTTTTGGAGAATTGAGTGTGTGTGTGTGTGTGTGCGTGTGTGTGTGTTTTATGTATGTATATATATATATATATATATATATATATATATATATATATATTTTTTTTTATTTATATATATATATATATATATATATACACACACACACACACACACACACACACACACACACACATATATATATATATATATATATATACAAAAAAAAAATCACCAAAAATGTGGTGACTACATATATGAGAAGGAGTCTATAGTAAATATCATCTCTTATTTGGTATATACATTTTTCTGGACACAATTATTAGGATCAGTCACAACATGTTTGGAGAATTTTGTGTGTGTGTGTATATATGTATATATATATATATATATATGTATGTATGTATGTGTATGTATGTATGTATATATATATATATATATATATATATATATATATATATATATACACACACACACACACACACACACATACACACACACACACACACACAAAATTATCCAAAAATGTTGTGACTACTATATCAGAAGGAGCATCCTGTAAATATTATGTCTGATTTGTTAAACATTTAAATATGGACAATATTTTAGATTATATATAATACCATATAGGCTATAAATATATAAGAAATATTATATATTTAGAAGTATATATACACTCATTTATACATAATAATTCTGGTGTATATATAATATATAGCCAACACTAAAAAACGAGTTATTTATTTAACCCAATGGTTGAGTTAAACATATTTGGTGCTTTGTTGGGTTGTTTTTAACCTATATTAGGTTATTTATTAATAACTCAACTAGTTGATTAAATATTTGGTGCTTTGGTGGGTTATTTTTAACCTTTATTTGGTTATTTATTTATTAAGAAAATAGAATTTCAACAATCAGCTGATTTACCTGCCACATAACAGCTGTATTAATTAATAGCTGTATTCATTTTAATCACCTGTTTTAACACATTTTAATCTGTTTTTAAACATTTTTATTATTTGGTTTTTGTTTTCTTTTGCTTCCTGTTTATGTAAAGCACTTTGAATTGCCACTGAAATGTGCTATATAAATAAACTTGCCTAATATGTGTGCATAATGTTGTTTTTGTGTTATAAAGTTTATGTAAGCTATAACGCAATAATATTGTCGTTATTTTTTTATCAAATTACCTCTCCGTATTGTGTTTTTACATCCGTTTTCCATCCAAGACCATCTTTTAGAAGCGTTTGGATGTGGTTAAAATGTATTGTACATTGTGGACACTGAGTGAAGCCATGCTGCAGCTGCTGGACAGCCTCTACAGAACACAGAGCTCCATATTCTGCTCCATCAACACATGCTTTTCACTTTATAACTGTTTGTATTTTGTTCTGGTTCTTTACTGTTGGTGATTCTTGATTCACTTTAACAAAAGTGTCCGGAAATTAAAATGTAATGGAAATAAAGCATTTTCAATATTTTTTAAAACTGTATGTCATTTATTTACAGAGCCATAATTATAAAATTAATAGTAGTACTAGTAATAGTAGCAATAGCAATACCAGAACAAAAAAAAAATAAATAAATAACATTTAATCATTAATTTATTCATTTTCTTTTCGGCTTAGTCCCTTTATAATCTGGGGTCGCCACAGCAGAATGAACTGCCAACTTATCCAGCACATGTTTTACGCAGCGCATGCCCTTCCAGCTGCAACCCATCACTGGGAAATGCATTTAATCAAAATAACCCAATTAAATGTAAAATATATAACCCAATGCATTTAGGTTTACATTTACATTTACATTTAGTCATTTAGCAGACCATAGTCAGGAAGGTGCTATAATAACCTATAGTTGGGTTATATGCTGGGGTATATTTAACCCAACTATGTTAACAGTGGTATTATATATGATCTTAAATATTATCCATTATCTAAAATTACACGCACACACACATAAATGTTGATCAGAAATGGTTATCTACATCTATTTATTGAGCTAATTATCAGATTATATAATTACCTCAGTCTTTTTTCCCCTGGAAAGCACTTAAGATGCTCCCTCCCAAATCTCAGATGCTAAATTAAGCACTATCAATCAATAAACAAACAGTAAATCTGATTATTGTATTGTTGAGATGCAAAAACAAACTAATAAATAAGCAGAACTTGAGCGAAATGAACTAACCTTGTTCAGGATCCCAGTTCACCTGTTTCCTCGGATTCTCTAACGGGAATTTCATGACGGATAACGTATTTCCGTTGGCTATAAGTGAATATGAAGCTATTTGAACACTGTTTACTCAGATTAAAAAGACACACAGTTTACATCCTCGCTTCTGAGACTGCGCTTTCTGAATAACGCCGGATGATGCTCGTGCACGCCTCTCTCTCTCTCTCTTTCTCTCTCTCTGGTCAAGACACGCTGACTAACATCAGTCTCAATCTCTCTCATCACTGAGGAAACCAAATAAAGCTCAAACGCGCGTCCATTGTGCTTTTCATCAGGCGCGTCCCCTCAGCATCACTTTCCTTTGTTTGCGCGCTCCCGCCTTTGTGCGCTCTTCCCACTCTCAGAAAAGCGCACCCGGTCACTCGTGCTTGTATTAGAGGTGCTATATAGATGTGATGAAGGTGTTGAGTGTGACAAACCGAAGTTTTACTCACTGATCATCGCGGTTCTGAAGCGGCTGGAGTACCGGTGCACATGGAGAGCAGGTGTACGCGCGCGCGGAGGGCAGGACTCGCGCAGGATAGCAAATCAACGGCCGCTGCCTCTTATGAATTATTTATAGCAACCGTGCGCTTTATTTAGCGGGAAACACCCTCGTAAAAATGTATGAATAAAACACAGGACCCTACCCTCAATTAAGTGTTACTTCCCCCACATAAAAATAGGTTACTAAAGCAATTCATAGTGTTTTTGAACCATACCCGAATTAATCTGTTGTAGTGATAATATAGTTGCTATAGTAACACCCACGACTATATAAACAAATGAACGTGTAGTTTTTTACACTGTAAAATTCAGGGTTTCACACAGTTCATGCATGTTGTCACAACACAAATTGATCAAGTTAACAACAAATTTAAGCTGATCAAACATAAAACAATTTTACGTTTTTTTTAACATGTCACCATTTTTCTTAGCAAGCATATTAAGGTGCTGTTGACTTAAAATTCTCCCCGGATGTAAGGAAAATCAAAAGAAATCCAAATAAAACAAATCTAAATTGTTTACAAATTCAGTTATGCTTAATAAAATGAAATGACGCAGGGAAAAAGTATTGAACACATGAAGAAAGGGAGGCATAGTTGGGCAGTGAAAGCCCAGACAGCATGAAATCTCTCTGTAGTTCTTCAGCAACCCTCTGCTCTTCCTCAGTGTAGATGAAGATCAGCTGCTTCAGTCCAACATTTACATTAGCAGGAGGATGAAGATGACACCAGGGTGGACATTTCAGCAAATGATCCAAAACACATTCAAGGAGACTCTCAGATGCTTTCAGAGAAAGAAAATCAAGCTGTAGAATGGCCCACCCAATCACCTGACTCAAATCCAATAGAGAATACAAAATAAAGCTCAGATTTGATAGACGAGATCCACAGAACCATCAAGATGTTGACACTCTGTTGAAGTCTGAAAAACTCACACCTGAGCAATGCTGTGACTTCATTCTCCATAAAGGCGTCTTTAAGATGGCAGCACCAAAAAAGCCAACATTTTTACCAAAATAAATAATAATAATAATAATAGAAATATTATTTTCATGAAAAACCATGACGTGTTCAATATTTTCCCCACTGTAAATCATTTAAACAAGCAGCAAAAGTCTTTTTTTTGAGTGTAGGATATATTAAACTACATTACACCACAGTTTACTGTAATAAAAATGTAATTATACTGCTGTGTTTATTATTTATCAGTTAATACTACAGCTGGAGCATTCAATAACAAAGAGTTTTACATAGTATAATAGCATATACTTCACTATAGTATTTACTATATATATTTTCATGTGATTGAATACTATAGGCTATTGTTAATCCATTTAAATATTATGTATGATGATTATATTATCGAAAAAAGATCATTAAAATACTTGATAACAATAAGGTTTCATTATTTAATATATTTATTAACAAAGGTGTTAATGAATGCTTTAATGAACAACCAAATGTGATAGGCTAATTTAATATCTAAAATACATATTTGAATGTATTTCTTTTTCAATAATTTAGATTTAAATGTAATTACAAATCATTTATTCATTTTCTTTTCTTAGTCCCTTTATGAATCAGGGGTCACCACGGAGGAATGAACCGCCAACTTATGCAGCGTATGTTTTAGACAGCGGATGCCCTTACAGCTGCAACCCAGTGCTGGTGTAACGGAGGCCAGCTAGTAAGTGCTGTGCAGGTAAACCTCACTCCTCTGACCTCTAAAGGTGCTCTAGCGACAGACGCTAGAGGCTGTGGTCTTTAGCCTCCTTGTTAGAGCAACTGACTCCCATACGGAAGGTCACTGGTTCGATACCAACTCGGAGCAGGTTGGATGGTGTAGGATCAGCGGAGTTACATTGGTGCCGTGACCTGGATGGGAGTGAGGTTTAGGGGGGTGAGAGTAGCGGAGGCCAGCTAGTAAGTGCTGTGCAGGTATACCTCACTCCTCTGACCTCTGAAAGTGCTCTAGTGACAGACACTAGAGGCCATGGTCTTTAACCTCCTTGTTAGAGCAACCGACTCCCATACGGAAGGTCGCCGGTTCGATACCAGCTCGGAGTGGATTGGGTGATGTAGGACCGGCGGGGTTACACTGGGAAACACTCATACACTCTCATATTTACACACACACACTCAAACACATCCATAGAGGCCACCTAGGTGGCCACCTAGGGCAGCAGAGTAGAGACTCTCACCACCTGCACCATCAGTTATATCCGCGTCTAGGGCGGCAGAATAGAGAGGGCGGAGTCTGTGACACTACCCTCACCACCCACACCCTCGGTTATATCCACGTCTAGTGCGGTAGAATAGAGAGGGCGGAGTCTGCGACACTACCCTCACCACCCACACCCGGGTTATATCCACGTCTCGTGCGGTAGAATAGAGAGGCGCAAACGCTTTCAGTTTATTTTCTTAATGAGTTATAGGTGTGTTTTGAGAATAAACCAATTAGAGTCTCATCTCCCATTCCCTTTAAGAGCCAGTTGCGTCACGCTATAAGCGCATTCGCTATTTACAGGACGTAAAGTAAGTCTAAGTGGAAAAAATTAGCATTTCACAAGCAAACAGTTAACAGTTGACAGTTTTTTTAACAGAAAACTGTTAAACAGAGCATCTACTGTGAGAATGAGAGATAATGGATCATTTTCACTTTCGCTCTTGGACAGGGAAACCTTTATGCACAGACATCAATTACTCTATAAATAATTAATTTAGTTTGTTAAGCGCAAATATTCGTTTCAAAACTATTTCTAAATTTAGTTCTAATTTCCAGCAAACGAATAAATGAACAATAATAACCAAGTGTGCTCAAAAACCTGAGTTACATCCTAAAACACATGCTGTGCCCCTTATGGTCTAAAACCTGACAGGTGGACAAATCTACGCTTGTTTTTAATAAAACAAATATAAATATGGATATAATAAATAATACTGCTAATAATAATAACATTTTACAAAAGCAAATTGTTATGAATGAACTGAAATCCTCCAGAGATGAAGAAGACATAAAAGCAGTGATTTTTCATATTTATGTAGGCTAGAAAATAATATGTTTTGTAATAATTTAATCCTTTATATTTATATTCTATATCTATTCTTATTATATCCTATATATATCCTTAATATTTATATTTTTCATATGTAAAGATATTTATTGCTCTCTTGTGTGTATTAAGCAGTGTGTAAGCGAGGCGCAACTCTGTGCTGGAGTTTAGACCGGGTTAGTTCTGGTCTAATGAAAAATCTATTATAGTTTATCAAAATAGCAACGCGCCAGCAGTGCGCCTCAGAACACCTTCCTTTTTACACCAGAACACCTATGGGCGCACATATGAGCGCTAATGCATTTGTTATTTAAACAGCGTAGCGCAACGCCTCAAAGCGACTTTTGCGCATAGCTGAAACTAGCAAAAGACTACTGCGCCGCGCCTTGCGCCACATTGTGCCGGGTGTATGATAGGGCCCTCTCTCTCCAACTTCACGTCCTGTCTAAATACTGTCCTATCTAATTAAGGCAAAAAGACCAAAAATAAATCTTAAAAAAAAAGAAATGCCGACTGACCCAGCCAGGACTCAAGCCAGTGATCTTCTTGCTGTAAAATAATAAAATCATTCTGAATGTAAAATCACTGACAGATTCTGATTTACAGTCATAGCATGCTTCATGATTTGTGATGTGTATTGTGTGTGTGTGTGTGTTTATGCACTAAGAAGGAAGCTCCCAGAGATTCCTCATGAAATATGAATTAAACTGTACTGCACCTCCTTAAGACTCGCATCTATTAATGATGAAGTCAGAACCACACGCGCATTTATGCAGATGAAGTATTCAGTCTACTGGTGAAGCTGTTTATTCTGAAACAGATGCATTTATCACTATTGGATATACCAGTAGGCCAATATAACGCAAGAGGCGTGTGTGGTGTTGGGTGAAACTACTGTAGTTACAAAGATACTGTAATTAATGACTTATCTAAAAAGAAAATATTTGTCAAAGCCACTCAAGGAAAACAAAGAGGGTTATATCTTTAATGGTATTTATTAGTGCAATGCAACAGATGCTGAGAGATGAAGTAGGTAAGTGGTGCAGCAGGTGAGCGATCTTACAAACAGTTCATTTGGCAAGTTTCAGATCATCAGTAGTACACCATCAAAATTTAGTCACTTTCCTTAAGCAGTTGTGTTTGCACCCACAGAAGGAGGACATCCACAGAAGAGTACGAGATGGAGTGTCGATGAGGAGAACCATCTGACATCGATTCCAGCTGGTGAGTGAATGAAGGAGGTGAGTATACTGTATTTATAGGCTGCGTCCAAAACCGCATACTTCCATACTATATAGTACGCTAAAATCAGTATGCGAGCCGAGTAGTATGTCCGAATTCATAGAATTCGAAAACACAGTATGCGAGAAGTACCCGGATGACTTACTACTTCCGGCGAGATTCTGGAGTGCGCATCCCATGCACGCTGCGCTATCCCATGATGCCCCGCGAGCGGATTCATGAATGGGAGTGAAGCGACGCAAATGACGCAGGCAGGTCACGTGACCATGACAAAATGGCGGATGTAGTACGTGCGAATTCCATTCATACTTTTCACATTCATACTGTATAGAAGGTACTTTTCTAACGGCCGAGTAGTACGTTTACATTCAAATACAGTACCTGCTGAGTAGTAGGAGGTTTCGGACGCAGCCATAGTGTATGGGTGGTTGCAGCAGGTGCAGGCAATCAGTAGTCGGGTGATTGTTCACAGGTGTGGTGAGCGGTGGACGGTGAGGAAGGGTGGTGATTGAAGCTGCAGGAACAAGCCGAGGTTGTGACAATATTGTTATACTTGATATTAGATATTACTGTTTATTTTTAAATAATTTAATTACACTTATAATGTTCTTGCCTTAAATGCTGTAAATTAATAATGTAACAGTTCTGTATAAATTAATTCAGGGAAACTTATTTATTACAAAAAGCCTAAACTTTGCTGAATAATTTTTGTTTACACTAAAATTTACGTTTATCCAGATGACTGCTTAAGAAGCAATGAACGATACACTTACTGGCCACTTTATTAGGTACACCTTACTAGTGCCAGGTTGGACCCCGTTTGCCTTCAGAACGGCTTTAATCCTTCATGGCGTAGATTTAACAAGGTACTGGAAATATTCCTCAGCGATTTTGCTCCATTTTGACATGACAGCATCACGCAGTTGCTGCAGATTTGTCGGCTGCACATCCATGATGCCAATCTCCCGTTCCACAACTTCCCAAAGGTGCTCTTTTGGATCAGAAGATGGGTACACTGTGGGTACACTGTGGTCATAAAGGGATGGACATGGTCAGCAACAATACTCAGGTAGGCTGTGGCGTTGACTCAATGCTCAATTGGTATTAATGAGCCCAAAGTGTGCCAAGAACATGTCCCCCACACCATTACACCACCACCACCAGCCTGAACCATTGATATAAGGCAGGATGGATGGAATGTGTCAGCAGAAATGGAGACTCATCAGAGCAGCAACGTTTCTCCAATCTTCTATTGTCCAGTTTTGGTGAGTCTGTGTGAATTGAAGCCTCAGTTTCCTGTTCTTAGCTGACAGGAGCGGCACCCGGTGTGGTCTTCTGCTGCTGTAGCCCATCCGCCTCAAGGTTGGACGTGTTGTGTGTTCAGAGATGCTCTTCTGCAGAGCTCGGCTGTATCGAGTGCTTATTTGAGTTACTGTTGCCTTTCTATCAGCTGGAACCAGTCTGGCCATTCTCCTCTGACATCAACAAGGCATTTGCACCCACAGAACAGCCGCTCGCTGGATATTTCCTCTTTTTCAGACCATTCTCTGTAAACCCTAGAGATGGTTGTGCGTGAAAATCCCAGTAGATCAGCAGTTTCTGAATTACTCTGACATGACCGTCTGGCACGAACAACCATGCCACATTCAAAGTCACTTAAATCCCCTTTCTTCCCCATTCTGATGCTCACTTTGAAGTACAGCAGATCATCTTGACCATGTCTACATGCCTAAATGCATTGAGTTGCTGCCATGTGATTGGCTGATTAGAAATTTGCATTAATGAGCAGTTGGACGGTGTACCTAATAAAGTGGCCGGTGAGTGTACATTTTAGTAAGTTAGTGCATATTTAATTAAAAACTGCATCATTTACAAATACATTTTTACAATTTAGAAAACATGTAATGAAAAAATAACTATTTGAAGTATGATAAGTTTTAGTAACTAACTTTTATCGGCAGCGCTTGCATATACCGTTAAGTACAAACTGTTTTTACAGCTGTTTCATCATTATTTATCTTACTTTAAAACTCACATATTTTTGATTGAATACATTAAAACGACATTACTGCATATTAAAGAGAAAATACAATAACAAAAGCTAAGAAAAGAGAAAGAGAGAGAGAGGAGGGGGGGGGGGGGGGGGAGTTCTTTACAAAGCCTCAACGTGTTGACGTAGACAGACTCAAAGACGTCAGGCGCACGCACGCACACATGGCAACCAACATGGCGACAGCGAAGCTTCACAGTAGAGATGATCTGTTGACAGAAAGCTTGCAGCTCTCAGTATAGCTGTGAAAGATGAAAATACAGCACAAATATAGTTATGAAGTATTGTTGGTATGATTGTATGACCTCAAACGTTCATATGAACGATCAACGCGATGTATTTTCAATGAAACGCGAGTATTTTGAGCATGAGACTGCCAGAGATTCTCATTATGGACAATAAACCAGGTAAATGAGAGATTTGCTGAATAAAATACAATATTCTGAACAGATGTAGACGATTATTAAATGTAGAACTTGCTATTGATGTTTATGTTTAGCGTTTATTCATGCTAATGTGCAGTAACAGTACTAAACAAAAAGTACTATGGTATTACTATCGGTTTCTAGTAGTTACCGTTATAATAACATAAAGTTACGTTTTTGGATATCACATTAATAATACTATCACATTCATTTGTACTATTTTAAAACCAATTAAAGTAATACCATGTAATAAAAACTGTGTAATACCGTTAAATTTGTTGTTTTCTGATAAGAATAGTGTATACTAATATCATTTAGGTGTCTTTTTAATATTATTACGTTTTTAGATATCACAATAATAATATTACCACATTTATTTTGACTATTTTGATACCAATTAATAGTATAATTATCTAATTTAGGTGTTTTTTTCATTATAATTTCGTTTTTAGATCTCACACAAATAATATTACCACATTTATTTTGATTATTTTGAAACCAATTAATAGTATATAATCATCTAATTTAGGTGTTTTTTTATTATTGTAACTACGTTTTTAGATATCACACAAATAATATTACATTTATTTTGATTATTTTGGTTGCAATACCATGTAATACTATTGATTTTGCTGTTTTCTGATAGGAATAGTATATAATAATATCATTTAGGTGTTTTTTTTATTATAATTGCGTTTTTAGATGTCACAAATAATAATACCACATTTATTTTGACTATTTTGAAACCAATTAATAGTATATAATAATCTCATTTCGGTGTTTTTTTTATTGTAACTACGTTTTTAGATATCGCACAAATAATATTACCACATTTATTTTGACTATTTTGAAAATAGATAAAGTTGCAATACCATATACTCCCATTAGATTTGTTGTTGTCTGATTGGAATAGTATATAATAATCTCATTTAGGTGTTTTTTATGTTTAGGTGTTTTTTTTTTATTAAAATTACGTTTTAGATGTCACGTTAATAATATTACCACATTTATTTAGACTATTTTGAAAATAATTGAAGTTGCAATACCATGTAATACCATTAAATTTGTTGTTTTCTGATCGGAATAGTATATAATAATCTCATTTAGGTGTTTTTTTATGTTTAGGAGTTTTTTTTTAATTATAATTGCGTTTTTAGATGTCACAAATAATATTACCACATTTATTTTGACTATTTTGAAACCAATTAATAGTATAATAATCTCATTTAGGTTTTTTTTATTGTAACTACATTTTTAGATATCGCACAAATAATATTACCACATTTATTTTGACTATTTTGAAAATAATTGAAGTTGCAATACCATGCACTCCCATTAGATTTGTTGTTTTCTGATCGGAATAGTATATAATAATCTCATTTAGGTGTTTTTTATGTTGAGGAGTTTTTTTATTTTATTATAATTAAGTTTTTAGATGTCACATAAATAATATTACCACATTTATTTTGACTATTCTGAAACTAATTAAAGGTAATACCATGTAATACCATTGGATGTGTTGTTTTCTGCTAGGAATAATATATAATAATCTCATTTAGGTGTTTTTTTATTATAATTTTGTTTTTAGATATCACATAAATAATATTACCACATTTATTTTGACTATTTTGAAATTAATTAAAGTTTTAATACCATGTACTCCCATTAGATGTGTTGTTTTCTGATAGGAATAGAATATAATAATCTCATTTAGGTATTTTTTAAATTATAATTACATTGTTTAGACATCATAAATAATATTACCACATTTATTTTGAATAATTTGAAAAGAAATAAAGTTGCAATACCATGTAATACCATTGGCTTTGTTGTTTTCTGATCGGAATAGTATATAATAATCTTATTTTGGGTGTTTTTCATGTTAAGGTGTTTTTTTTATTATAATTACGTTTTTAGATTTCACATTAATAATATTACCACATTTATTTGGACTAGTTTGAAACAAATTAAAGGCAATACCATGTAATTCCATTGAGTTTGTTGTTTTCTGATAGGAATAGTATATAATAATCTAATTTTAGGTTGTTTTTTAAATGTTTTTTAAAAGGTATTACCGTTGGTAATGAATGTAATATTCTTGTTTCAGGGTTCTCTCTTGGCTCATCTGGTAAACTGATGGATCAGTATCTGATTAAAGACCACATGCTGTCACATTACAGAAAGCTGTATTCAGCAAAAGGTAAGTGCATAGTTAAAATACATAAGCATATCAAGTTTATAGATTTTTGTATATTTGCTATCAAGCCGTTGACTACTGGAAAGTATTATTTGGTATTGAGGTTAAGTTGGTTTTATATTCGCACATTTGTTCATTTCTGAACAGTGACAGCTTGTAACAGGGTCTCTATTAGGGCTGCATGATATTGTAAAAATTTGACATTGCAATATTTTTTTTCTGCAACATATGTTGCAATATATGTAATATAATATATTGCAATATAATTTTAAATAACTATTTTTTGCAAAGACTTTAGATTGATTGGGATGATTTTATAGTGGAGTGAAATATAAATATATTTTTATGTAATTTATTATATGCAGGGCTCGAAATTAACTTTTTTACTTGGTAGCACCGGTGCTCCCAACTTCAAATATTTAGGAGCACCAAAAATTTTTTAGGAGCACCAGAAAAAATTTAGGAGCACCCACCAAAAATGAATGAGCACCGCTGCAAATTGTTTTTTAAGGGATTTATTGTATTTTAAAACAACATTAATAGAACTGACAAAAACTAGAAACAACTATAACTAATGCTGCGAAGACATTGATATTTGTGTGCAATAATTCCAAAACGAATGTCTAATAATTAGGCCATAGAACATTAATGATGATAAAAAATGACAATAATAGTAACAATGAATTACATTTCTCATTATGATGCTGCCTTGAATGTGCATGAATGTAGGTTATCTGCTATAAAAAGTCTGTTACTTTATGAAAAATAATTGTATAGTTTACATCAAACAAAAATGAAGCTTTGCAGTAAGAAATGTTTATTTTGTGCTGCTGTTTATATTTGCATGTCAATTTAATAAATAACATTTCTGCTACAAAACAAACAAAAGATTATAATAAATCATTCAATTCAAGCTGCAAAGCAGTCATCAGTAAATAAATATAAAAATAATATACATTTCAAAAAAGAATAGACAAGAGAAAGTAAGTAAAGTCTCACTTCTATCACTCTTTAAAAGTTTTGGTTTCAGTTTGTGTCAATTTAAAGGTTCAGTCTGAGATGATCTTCATTTTTCTGTGTTAGTGGAAAAGCAGGCGAGTCAGCCGAGCCAATTTATGAGCAGGCAGAGCAGGATTCTTGCGCTAACCATCGGCGCAATACCGGTCTTTGTTATGAGCCGCAGTTTCAGTGTAAACTTAGTAAAGGCGAGCTTCTTTGGCGATGATATGTACAGTATTAGATTTGACTTTTAGCGGACATTTGCGCTGAACACGCAGTGAATGCAACGCATCGAGATTCGGGCACCTTCTCCAAGAAGCGCGTACTCGATTGATCTCAGCTGGTGGATCATTATTCACCACGTGACGTGTCATGATCGCTTTCATCTGCGCCTCAACTTTAGGTGGGGTTTGCAAACCTGTGTGCTTTAAGTTTTTACTCTTCAGCCGTTTGCATTTCCCGTGGTCATAAAAGCTCCTTCCCTGTCATCTGACAGCGGAATACCTTGTTGGAATGGCAGCTAATATGAACCAATATAGCGGCAGCAGGGAAGAGCGATTCAGCACGTTTTTACAAAAAATCAAAACAGTTCGCACTACAACCATTATCTGCAGTCGCACTAATGCACCCACATATATATTATGAGGTCGCATAGATTCATTTTCGGGCGCATATGCGACCAAAATGGTCGCAATTTTGAGCCCTGATATGCATATAATAAACAAAATACAGTCATAAATAAACACAGTGTATTACATATTAAAGTGAAATAAGCAGTGCTTTATGGTTTTCTGTGGAGAGTCTATCAGTATTCAATTACAGAAATTGAATAATCAAATGTTAATTAATGCATATTCTTCATCGTATGAATTGTTCAATAATCTAAAAATGAATCTTTATTGATCTTCTTGATGCTCTATTAAAATGCTTTGAACTCTCTTAAAATGCATACAAAGTCACAGGCCTTAAAAACACATCCACATGATTAACTCTCACTCTATTATGCTTAAATATTGCAGAGTCTCTACAAATCTCATGTATTTTGACCTGTAGTCAAATCCCAACTCAACATTGCATATCTTGCAATGCGACTAATGCGGACACACATGATATCAATGCTCAAACAATACAGTGTATTGTGCAGCTCTAATCTCTACGTTTGTTTACTGCTACTTTGAATATTGAGTTTGACTTCGAACCTACATTAGCACTATTTAAGTGGCTGTGAACAATACTTTGATAGTCATTGTCTGATCGTATGATTTCACTATTTAGATTTAGCAAAGAACACTTTTCTGAAATTATACTGTATCATTAAGGAGAAAGTCTGAATGTGTGAATATAAAACCAATTTTTCCCAATTTATTGGGTTTTCTTTATTTCACAGTCTGTTACCTCGCCATCTTTCATGTTTTAATCACTTCTTTGTTATCTTCTAGCTGCTGTGGATTGTTCGGTGCCTAAAAGCATGCACGCTAGTGTCAAATGTGAGTGAACGTTCTTTATTACATGTTCACTTTATTACAAAAAATCATTACAAATAATAAATAAATAAATATAGTTCTATCTATCTATCTATCTATCTATCTATCTATCTATCTATCTATCTATCTATCTATCTATCTATCTATCTATCTATCTATCTATCTATCTGTCTATCTATCTATCTATCTATCTATCTATCTATCTATCTATCTGTCTATCTGTCTATCTGTCTGTCTGTCTGTCTGTTTGTCTGTCTGTCTGTCTGTCTGTCTGTCTGTCTCTCTGTCTGTCTGTCTGTCTCTCTGTCTGTCTGTCTCTCTGTCTCTCTGTCTGCCTGTCTGTCTGTCTGTCAGTCTCTCTGTCTCTCTGTCTGTCTGTTTCTCTGTGTCAGTCTGTAGTGTCTGCATCAAATTGAATTTACAGAAGTATTGTGTGATTCTTATACACAGAGAGCGGATTAAATATAAATAGAATGGCTACTTTATGATTCAGTTAATTATTGTTAAATAAAATTTCAAAGTAAGGCCGAAGTAATGTATTTATGTACAAATAAAAGAACATATTTGATTTTTGTTTACAAGAACGCATGTGTTTGGACTGTGGGGGAAACCGGAGCACCCAGAGGAAACATGTCTATGTGTACATGTTTAATGGAGTGTATTTGAATAAAACTAAATAAATATTTGTGATTGTTTTGGCCTTTTTGCCTTTATTAGATAGGACATTATTGATCAGACAGGAAGCGAAGTGGGAGAGAGAGTGAGGGGTAGGGTTGGGAAATGTCCTCAAGCTGGGATTCGAAATCAGGACGACCTGATGTGCTACTGCACCATGTGTCTACGTGCTAACCACTAGGCTATAATTTACCGACTATAATTTCGATTTTTACTAATAATTTGTACCTTTCCAGATGTCGATCAAAAGCGTCGTGAGCAGCAGAGGAAAAACAGCCAATCGGGGAGATCTGATTCACAGAGAAGCACAAGAATAAACTCGAGAAGCTCCTGTTCCTCTAAGAATGTAAGGCGTTTCAGGTTTTAGGCTTCATTAAATCACATTTCTGTTGATCACATTTAAGTTTCCTCTTCTTTTCAGAGCCGACCGTCCGCTCAGGGCGACTACCATTACCTTAATCACTCTCTGATGTCCTCATCGCCCAGAATCAGCACCTCTTTCCACTCCAAACAAATCGTTTATCCGTCCCAAACCGTCTGTAGATCTGCAACCCCCGCCAACCATTTCAGATCTGCCTCAGAGTTGAGTTTCCGCAGCCCAAATCCTCAATGGCAGCACTCCACCTCAAGGTATTTATAGTTTTGCATTTTCAAGTTTGTTTTTATTTTGATGCTGTTTTTATATTTGCTGTATATCTCAGGTTAGTTTTAGTTAGTGTTGGAATTTTCAATCAATTCCATGCGTGTTCAAGAAAAAATTTCAGGAGAGGTTTTTCTTCAATGTCAAAAATCGTGACAATTTATTGGATACAAATGAATAATTGGATTCACAGAATTCTGTTATCCTCAATGCAATGCAAAAGTTACATTAAGGAGGTGCGCAATCACTTTCTTTTCCTGACTCTTAGGGTGCTTTCACACCTGTGAATCGATTCAGTTGTTCCGAAACAGAGATTAAAATTGTTACATTGTTGCTCTTTGCTCTTGGAGCGGTTCGCTTTCACACTGCAAAGTTTCTAATCGGACTAAAAGAGCTAAAACAAGTCACGTGCGAGTAAACCCTCCTCACATTGGTCAGAGTGTCAGGGTTTATTTTGCGGAGTCCCGCTCAGCTGTCAGGAGAGGTGGTGGTTTGGTGGTGATTGACAGGGTGTGCGCGCGTGACGTGTCTGAGGAGAGACACGGTGGGGAGGGGTGAGAAGGGTGCGCGACGATGCCTATTTTAGGACTGGGAGAGAGACGCGAGATTACTGGGAGATCATCACTCGTTTGAGGGCATCCGGAGACTCGCAAAACTTCCCGCCCTACTCATAAATCTCTCTTCATATAGCCGTAAGCCTATTATATATCCATAAAACACTTTGGTATAACCGCGCTCGGATCGGACCGCTTTCTCACTGCAATCGAACCGCTCCAGGGTTCGTTTCAATCGAGCCGAGACCACCTCATTCAAGCGATCTCGGAGCGATTACTTTGGCGCGGAACAGAGCGCGATTGCCCTGTTCACATATGCCAAACAAACCGCGCTAACTGGGCAAACGAGACACGTTCCGAAACAAAAGTGTAGGTGTGAAAGCACCCTTACTTATATAGGCAGCTGATATTAACAGGTGGAGTTTAATGAAATTCGTCATTTGTCAGTCATTGTTCAGTCCTCTATTGGCCGCACCCCAGACATAAGTCCTCTTTTTCCATGAATTCTCTGCACGCCAATAAAAGCATAAAAATGTTGTGCTCTGTGTTCAGTTTTAACACCTCTCTTCAGACAGGAAGTTTCTGCAGAGCTGAATTTAATTTTGGACCAGCATTCATCTACTTCTGCAAAAATGCTAATTAGTATGCACAGCATCCCACACACAACAGTAAAAGTTCAGTTAATATATGACCCGTAAGGCTGATTTATACTTCTGCATCAAACGCACATGTATGGTACGGCGCTGACGCATAGCCCTTCGCGGTGGCCGTCGGCGTCGCTGACGTGCACCTTTAAAAAAATGTAACTACACGTCGCAACGACGCGTAGCGCAAGCTCTGTGATTGGTCAGCTTGGTAGCGCTGACAAGTCTGGGCGGGACCGAGAGCCGCGTGAATCGTGCGAGCCCGATGCAGCGATTGTTTACAAGTGTGGAGTCGCGTGAAGGAGCTCCGGATGGAAAGTTTTGTTTTGTGTTTACCTCATGGTTAAAGTTGTTGCACGTCCGCCGGTTCCTGCCTCAAAATGAGCGAGTTTGAGTCACTTGTACATTCATGAAGTGTTCAGGAAAAGCAAAACAGCAGCGAAGAAACTCGACACAGAGGAGCAATAACACCTCACTGCCAACTAGCGTTTTGGAAGTGTTAATGCAGACCAACAGAGAGCGCGCAGAAGTATAAATGCACAGCTACGCGCATTGCATGCGCCGTGGGTTACGCCGATCACTTGACGCAGAAGTATAACCCAGGCTTTACATGACCAATACAAATATTTGTATGATTAAAAGAAAAAGATTATTTATAAAAAAATTATTTATATTTTCTAACATTAGTTTCCTAAGATTAGCCAAGATATTTATTTTATGAACACATTTCTATTTCGTTTTTTTAACGCTTGGAAAAATTAATCAGGATTAATCGCATCCAAAATAAAAGTTTGTTTTGACATAATATATCTGTGTATTATGTATATATAAATACTTTTTTTACTTTTGAGAAAATGTTTAGACAAGGCATACGTAATAAGGTCTTACGTAATTAAGAATAAAAGAAACACAAATTACACGTATAAGAAAAAGAAAACGAAGAATAAAAGTAATGAAAAACAGATTAAAACAGGTTTTAAAGAAATGAAAAAGAAAAGAAAGACGATAGTGTGATCTGTCGAACGTAGCACATTACTTTATTACCAGTTTATTTATATTTAGACATAAAATATAGACAGTTGAAGTCAGAATTATTAGCCCCCCTGAATTATTCGCCCCCCTCCCCCTCCCCTGTTTATTTTTTCCCCCAATTTCAGTTTAACGGAGGGAAGATTATTTCAGCACATTTCTAAACATAATAGTTTTAATAACTCATCTCTAATAACTGATTTATTTTATCTTTGCCATGATGACAGTAAATAATATTTGACTAGATATTCTTCAAGACACTTCTATACAGCTTACAGTGACATTTAAAGGCTTCACTGGTTTAATTAGGTTAACTAGGCAGGTTAGGGTAATAAGGCAAGTAATTGGCAAGTCAAATAAAATGTAAAAATTGTATATAAAATGCTGTTTTATTTTATTTTGTATTTTAAGTTTGTAATCACTTTGTATAAAAGCATTGATATCAGATATATATATATATATAAATATATATATATATATATATATATATATATATATATATATATATATATATATATATATATATATATATATATATATATATATATATATATATATATATATATATATATATCTTTGAGTAATCTGTACAGTTAAACAGTTGTACAGTTGAAGTCAAAATTATTCGCCCTCCTGTGAATTTATTTGATCTTTTTCAAATATTTCCCAGATGTAGAGACATGGAATTTTTCACAGTATTTCCTATAATATTTTTTCATCTGGAGAAAGTCTCATTTGTTTTATTTCGGCTAGAATAAATCAGGTTTTAATTATTTAAAACCATTTTAAGGTCAATATTATTAGCCCCCTTAAGCAGTATTTGTTTTGGATAGTCAGACAGAACAAACCATCGTTATACAATAACTTGCCTAATTACCCTAACTTTACCCTAATTAACCTAGTTAAGCCTTTAAATGTCACTTTAAGCTGTATAGAAGTGTCTTGAAGAATATCTAGTCTAATTTTATTTACTGTCATCATGGCAAAGATAAAATACATCAGTTATTAGAGATGAGTTATTAAAACTATTATGTTTAGAAATGTGCTGAAACAATCTTCCCTCCATTAAACAGAAAAAACATACAGGGGTGGCTAATAATTCTTTAACTGTATATCATAAAAGATGTTTTTGTATATAATCATGTGCTTGACTGATGTGTTTTTCCACCACAGATTTAGTGCTTATTAATTTAGAAAAAAAGCGATTATTATCTTTGATAACTACTCTTATTTCAGTTCATTTTTTTCAGTGATTGTTGTTAGCTTTGTTTCGTTTAGTGTGCATTTTTAACATTTTATTTCAGTTAAAGGAGCTGTTTAGACTGATAGTTTTAGTTTCCGTTTATTATACTAACCTTGCTCCTCTTCTGACAGTCAGAGAGCGTACAGCAGTTTTCAGGATCCTGTTCAGAAGACCTACAGCGGAGACGTCCTGCAGAAACACGCTCACCGCTTCACTCCAGAGAAACCCTTCACACCCAGAACACTCAGATCTGAGCAGCAGTCCACGCTCTTACAGTATCGATATTACACTCCGCCACGCAGGAAAGCCAATGAGGAGGAGAAAAGATCCTCTAAGATGATTCGACAGGAGACTTATCACGGGAGGTAAAACCAGTGATACAAAGTAAGATGCTACTGTATATGCACTGTAAAAAGTCATTAGTTACTTTACTTAAAGGGATGGTTCACTCAAAAGTTTTAATTCTCATCATCATCATTTTCCCCAAACTTGGCTTGTTCAGTTTGAGTATTTTTTTGTTCAGTTGAACACAAAAGAAGATATTTAAAAGAATGTTGGAAACCTGTAACCATTGACTTCCATAGAATTGGTTTTTCCTACCATGGATTTCACATAGATATATACATTAGATGTCGCCTACCCTGTTGTTGTCTATTGGAAGGAATGTGTCAATAGAGCCGCCATTTTGGAACAGGGTAGCGCTCCTTTGAAATGAATGCGGGACCAAGGTACAGTGGAGGACTGTGGTCATCCAGAGCCAGAGATACACACATATACACATATATCTATGATCGGGAGTTTTCCTGGATGTTAATATGCAATTTTTTTAATTATGAAAATTATTATTTGACATCACTTTTCTACATTGATGGGTCACTGATCGCACAGGCATTCCTGACAAAAGCTTGTGTTTGTGTGTATGGAAATGTACTATTCACCCTCCCTGTTAAATTAGATCTTATCCGTGTCCTGAAACACAGCTCCTCTCCTGCTTTCACTTCTCATACTGACGGAGGGATTATATACATACTAAGATTCGTTTGTGAATGAATCTCCGTAATGAACGACTCTAGCCGGCAATAATACAAGTTTCTGGCAGCGCAGCATCTCATTGTCATATTTCTTTTGCATTGTTTGCTAATTTTATTCAACAAAACTAGCATAAGCCGAGTGTTTAGTGCGAGTTGCTGCTACTTTGTGTTATGGTGAATGCAGTAAGTGACTTTATTATCATCAATAACGTTACCTGTGTTGCACAAAAGTTCAGAACATACAAAAACATAAAAAACTAAATCTTACCTATGAAATGTTCTGCCGTTGTGCTGTTTTCTTTGTTTAATAACACTCTCTTGACTAGTGCGGTTGAATGACACTTGTCCTTGGAGCACTTTACCAATGTGGCGGCGCTATTGACGCATGCTCAGGGTCCCTATGCGATATCTAGTGTATATATCTATGTAGACTTCAGTGGTTACAGGTTTCCAACATTCTTCAGAATGTCGTCTTTTATGCTAAACAGAAAAAATAATTAGTTGACATTAAGTCAGTAAACTTGTTTCTTTAAAATAATTAAGTAAATGAACTGTATGATTGATTATGAAAATTAAGTCAATTTAACAGTCTAAAGTTATAAAGTTAACTCGCTTGTTTAAGTACAGTCAACTTGTCACTAATTGTTTTTGAGTTTTTTTATTGCTTTTAGCCATAGATATTTACACTAGATATCACATAGGGACCCTGAGCATGCGTCAATAGCGCCGCCACATTGCTACAGTGCTCCCAGGACAAATGTCATTCAACCGCACTAGTCAAGACAGTGTTATTATGTGAAGATGCGGGACTTTAGTAACGAGCAAACAAAGACAATAAAGCACAAAGGCAGAACATTTCATAGGTAAGATTAAGTTTTTTTCTGTTTTTGTATGTTCTGAGCTTTTGTGCTTATCAGGTAACGTTATTGATGATAATACAGTCACTTACTGCATTCACCATAAGGCAAAGCAGCTTCAATTTACACTAAACACTCGGCTAATGCTAGTTTTATTGAATAAAATCAGCAAACAATGCAAAAGAAATATGACAACGAGATGCTGCGCTACCAGAAACTTGTATTATTGTCGGCTCAGATGGCGCCTAACCTGTTGTTGTCTATAGGAAGGAATGCGTCAGTTGAGCCGCCATTTTGGAACAGGGTAGCGCTCCTTTGAAATGAATGCGGGACCAAGGTACAGAGGAGGACTGTGGCCATCCAAAGCCAGAGATATACACATATACACATATATCTATGATCGGGAGTTTTCCTGGATTTTAGTATGCACATTTAAATTTTTTTTTTATTATGAAAATTATAATTTTACATCACTTTTCTACATTGATGGATCAGTGACCGCACAGGCATTACTGACAAAAAGCTTGTGTTTGTGTGTATGGAAATGTACTATCCACCCTCCCTGTTAAATTTGATCTAATCCGTGTTCAGAAGCACACCTCCTCTCCTGCTTTCACTTCTCAAACTGACGGAGGGAGCGATTCGTTTGTGAATGACTCTCCATTATGTACGACTTGTTCACTAGCCGACAATAATACAAGTTTCTGGCAGCGCAGCGTCTCGTTGTCATATTTCTTTTACATTGTTTGCTGATTTTATTCAACAAAACTAGCATAAGCCGAGTGTTTAGTGCGAGTTGGTGCTACTTTGCCTTATGGTGAATGCAGTAAGTGACTGTTATCATCAATAACGTTACCTGATTAGCACAAAAGTTCAGAACATACAAAAACGTAAAAAACTGAATCTTACCTATGAAATGTTCTGCCTTTGTGCTTTGTTTTCTTTGTTTGCTCGTTACTACACCCATAGACAGATAAAGTCCCGCATCTTCACGTAATAACACTGTCTTGACTAGTGCGGTTGAATGACATTTGTCCTGGGAGCACTGTACAAATATGGCGGCGCGATTGACGCATGCTCAGGGTCCCGATGCGATATCTAGTGTATATATCTATGGTTGAGAATCCTTCAACTTTATGCAAATGAAGAGCGACTTTCTTGAGCAACAGCCAATAGGAGCACCAGTAGAACTCACGTGATCCTCTCTCAGCTCGCTCAGAGGCCTGTTGTATTCGTGCTGTATAGACCTGCATTTACAGCAGGTCGCCATCCAGAGCGGCAGGCAGCTACAAAGTCACTGCTAGTGTGAATGAGGCATAAGAGTTGCAAGTCGGCATTACTAAACTAATAGCTTTTTACAGTGTGATGTGTGAGATGGTATTAGTGGGTATCTGATCCCACAACGGGGTGCTTTTCTGTTTCTTTTTTTGCAGCACACGCTCCAAACAAGCCTCTTCTTCACAGATCGAGTCGCCACAGGCAAGTCTGAAGTATCTTTGTGCATGCTGAAATGAACATTTGTATTTGTGATTTGAAGGTTGAATTATAATCAAAGATTTCAGTGATTAAATTGGTGAAACTGTTTTGTTGACATTAGAAGATTTCTACATACAGTGGCGTAGCGCAAAATGCGGAGGCTCCCCTGCAGGGATCACTGACAGGGCCCCTAGTTGAGGGGGAGGGGGGCAACGCGGGGAAGCCTTCACAAACTTAGCAGCGATTAGGGCTGCTCGATTTTGGGAAAATCATGATCACGATTTTTTGGTCATAATTGAAATCACGATTATTCCAAATGATTATCAGTTGAAGTCAAAATTATTAGCGCTCCTGAGAATTTTTTTTTTTTTATAAATTAAATAAAATAAAAAAATACATTTTTTAAAAAATGTTTAACAGAGCAAGGAATTTTAACAGTATTTCCTAATATTGTTTCTTCTGGAGAAAGCTTATTAGTTTTGTTTTGGCTAGAATAAAAGCTAATTTAAATATTTTGAAACCTCTTTTAAGGTCAATATTAGCCTATTAGCCCCTTTAGACAATATATATTTTTGACTGGGGGCGGTAAATAATGGAATAATCGTTTATCTCGATTAATGGTTTTTCATAATCGTTGGAAGCCATAATCGAAATCTGATTTTCGATTAATTGCACAGCCCTAGGAGCGATCACAAACTGAGGAGCGGTGAAGGGGACGGGATGGAGCGACAACGCGGGGAAGCCTTCACAAACTAAGGAGCGATCACAAACCGAAAGCGGCGAGAGCGTCAAAGTAGCCAGAAGTCATCCATTTTTAATGAGAACCGGCGGCGAGGAACAGCGCGGCACGTCTTCTCCTGTGTGGGCGTCGAGGAGAGTTGAAATCAAGTCAACATTATGGTATGAGCTATGACGCGGTTCGGCGGCAAGCAATCAGAATGAAGTACAGTAGTCCACCGCTTGAGAGGAGTTCAGAGAACACAGACCTGTGAACTTTTGTTCCGACCACAGTTGTTCCCAAGAGTTTGATTATTGCGGTTGTCGGATTCTCAATTATTGAAAATCGCGACGACGTGGGGCCCCCTAATCACACGGCCCCCCCGTGGTGCGTGCCCTGCGGGCCCATCAGCTACGCCCCTGTCTACATACTGTCCATGTGTGCTTTTGTTTCTTTGTATGTGCACATGTATACATTTAAAATACGTTGATTTGTTTGTCTATATGGGCATGCATTTATGAATTTATTTATGCATTTATGCATGCATTGTATCGGAATTTATTCATACATTTTGTTGACAAATTTACATTTTCTGCAAACTATCCATTTAAGCATTTGTTGTTTTGTATATGCATCTGCTTATAAATTCATAAATGCATAAACATACAATTGAAGTCAGAATTATTCACCCCCCTTTGAATTTTTTTTTTCTTTTTTTAAATATTTCCCAAATGGTGTTCAACAGAGCAAGGACATTTTCACAGTATGTCTGATAATATTTTTTCTTTTGAAGAAAGTCTTATTTGTTTTATTTCGGCTAGAATAAAAGCAGTTTTGAATTTTTTAAACACCATTTTAAGGTCAAAATTATTAGCCCCTTTACGCTATATTTTTTTCAGATAGTCTACAGAACAAACCATTACTATACAATGACTTGCCTAATTACCTTAACCACCCTAGTTCACCTAATTAACATAGTTAAGCCTTTAAATGACACTTTAAGCTGTATAGAAGTGTCTTGAAAATGATAAATTCAGGGGGGCGAATAATTCTGACTTCACCTGTACGTGTCTATAAGAGCATGCAGTTAGGAGTTTATTCTAGTGCTGTCAAATAATTAATCGTTTTCAAACTACATGTTTGTATTTGCACAATGTGTACTCACTGCGTATAAATATTGTGTAAATATAAATAAAAAGTATATATAAAACAAAATCCTAAATATTTATATGTATAATTTGTATTAAATTAAATAAACATTATGTAAATACAAGCTTTGTTGAATGCAATTAATTGCGATGACAGCAAATATATTTTTGTTTATGTGTATATATATTTATGCATTGCAGATGTATTTTTTAAATTATTTAAGAACTTATTTGTTTATTTTTCTCATATAAAGTATATGTATTCATTCATGCATTATTATGTATGCATATTTATTTATTTATTTATTTAATTTTGTTTAAATCATGAGTCGAAGTGGACAGCTGCACTTAATGAATTTGGCTGGTGAATTTCCAGAGTGTGCAAAACTGGAACAGTCAAAAAAGACAAACTGATATAAAAGCACCTACATTTTGTTAAATCTTTTGCTTTTCTTTTTATTTCTGCAGCCATTTGTTCTCGATCACGACTGGTCGGATGTAGAAACGGACTCATTCAGACTCCACAGCAAGGCGAACAGATTTAGGGATGGGGATTTTCTTCTCTCGTCCTCCAGGTAAAAGAATCATACATTTGCATATAAATTACTTGCATTACTTACAAGTAATTTATATGCAAGTATGGATTATTTTATATTTTATATTTTATTTATACAAAATGTTTATATTTATATTTTATTTATATATTATATTTTATTTTATATATTTTTTATAATTTATATGCAAGTATGACTTATTTTATATTTTATTTATACAAAATGTTTAAATTTAAATTTTATTTATATATTATATTTTATTTTATATATTTTTTATAATTTATATGCAAGTATGAATTATTTTATATTTTATATTTTATTTATACAAAATATTTATATTTATATTTTATTTATATATTATATTTTATTTTATATATTTTTTATAATTTATATGCAAGTATGAATTATTTTATATTTTATATTTTATTTATACAAAATGTTTATATTTATATTTTATTTATATATTATATTTTATTTTATATATATTTTTTATAATTTATGTGCAAGTATGGATTATTTTATATTTTATATTTCATTTATACAAAATGTTTATATTTATATATTATATTTATATATTATATTTTATTTTATTTTATTTTTTTTATAATTTATATGCAAGTATGGAAGTAAGTCAAAATTTTCAGCCCTCCTGTGATTTTTTTTTTTTTTTTTTCTCAAATAATTCTCCAATGATGTTCAACAGACCAAGGACATTTTCACATTTTTCCTAAAATATGTTGTTGTATTTTGGGAGAAAAAGTGGAAAGTCTTATGTTTTATTTAATTTATTTATTTACAATGTTCATACTAAACACTGAATATTTTGAAAATTAAGTAGAAAAATGATGTACTGTTATCATAGCAAATACAAACAAAAGTTATTAGAGGTTAGTTTGGTAAACTATACTGCTTACAAATGTGTTGAAAAACAGCAGGGTTAATAATTTTCACTTCAACTGTATATCATTGAAAAGATGCAAGAAAATTGAACAATATATGTATGAAACGCATGCATTTTTGCACATTTTTTATATTGATATACAATGTACTAATTCCTTTGTTTCAGGATTTCACCAGAAGGCATGAGATCTCCTATCATGAGAAAAGTCTCAGCAGAGTGAGTGTCTGAATTATATCAAATGTGCCATTTAAACTACTTACTCAGCTAATAACATAAAGAAAAGAGAGGCTTTTACAAATGATTACGTATTTGACGTGATATGAGCATGGATTAAATCTTAACAGTCATGTGTGTTCAAAATTCATCAATGTGTCTGTGTCATGCTGTGGACTTTCTGAACTTGTTTGATGTCAATATTGCACCAGAAACCAAACTGATGAACATATATATTTTTGCCCCATTTTTATTGTTATCAGACAAAGATTTTTATCTGGAGAGACTTTAAATAAGATATCTTTAAATGTGAAGATGTTTATCAAAAGTAAACCTTAAAAACTGTTTTAGATTTTTACAGGGTTCCCATGCTCCTTGAATGTACTTAAAAGTATTTGAATTTCAGACATATGGATTCAAGGCATGGAAAGTACTTAAAACCCTCACTCTAAACTTATTTTATAAATGATGTTATTTTTCCCCACCAGGGAGGAAGAATTATTGTACCTGGAGTTTATTACAGACGTGACGAATGAGATCTTAACTCAGGGCCTTTACTCCGACAGGTGCGGGACAACTTTGATTTAATATCTGCAATGAATTTTTCTCCCTGTGACTTGGTGTTTATGAAGTGTCTGTCCTCACAGAGTGCTGAAGAGGGTATTCGAACGCCACATTGATATGAACCGACAACGATTAGATGAGGTGAGCTTTTTAAAAAACACATTACCTTTAAGAGGGACCTATTATGCCCTTTTTAACATGAGTCTCTGAGGTCCCTTGAGTGTCTATGTGAAGTTTGAGCTTAAAATACCACACAGATAATTGTTTCTAACTCTCTGAAACTGACCCTTTTAGGGTTTGATCCTAAATGTGGCATTTTGGTGACTGTCGCTTTAAATTCTAATAAGATTGTGCTCTTTTTAAAAGAGGGCGGAGCTATTAATGGCTATGGCTCAGTGAGATAGTCACTAATGGGCGTGGCTTTCTCCCTCTGATGACTTGTACAAAGGGAGAATGTCAATCAAAGTGTTTCTGCAGACTGTTTTTACCATTAGAGGCTGGAGATATTCACACACTGCTGACACACAACTGTGCTTAAACCTCTTATAAATGTGATTTTTGCATAATAGGTCCTTTTTAATGCTTTTATACAAAGTAATTTCACAATATTAAAAAATAAATAAAAATGCATTTTATATATGATGTATTTTATTTACATAATTAAATATTTTAAAATATCTTTGATACTTTTTTACAAATATTTTTATATAATTCTTTTGCTATCCAAATTCAAATCATAAATTTTTTATGAAGTTGTACTCTGTCACATTATCTTTAATGCTTTTATTAAAGTGACTCATAATCATCATAATCTTAAAAAATAAGTAACTAAAACTGCTGCTTTTGTGAATAATGTTTGTTTCTTTGATGATAAATCAGCATGATTTCTGCCGGAGTCTCGTAGGATTTAATGAAGACCACAACTCTTATTATTCCACACTCAGTTATCATTAAAGGGTCACGAAACACCAAAACACATGTTTTGAGCTGTTGACAGTCGTATATGTGTCCCACACTGCTAAAAACACTATTAGGACACCTATATTTCACTAAAAAGTGTAAATTGGTTGTTTTTGCGTTATTTCAAGCAAATTCGTACTTCCTGTTTGAAACGAATTTTTGAAGCTGCGTCACGGTCATGACATCTTAGAGTGTAGTCCAGCGTGCAGACTGGACGTCTGTGCCAGAGTGAGTCTTATTACGTCTTACAGTGTGATGCATTAATGCATGAGTAAAGCTTGGTTCAAACCAATCAGCGCGCTCTATTGTGCAACTTCATTAATATTCATTACTGTCACAGTGTAGACGGCAAAGACGCCACGTTGTGTTGGCAAAACAAGCGTGAAGTGTTGCTTTTATAGTTTGCTGCAGTTAAGTTTTGTTTTCATTTTCTCTCTGTGAGAGCTCAGACTCACGCGTGGATTAACAGTGTACGCGACGCTCGACAACAATAACTTACGTGTCTAAGGAGGGTTATTGTTTACCTGAGAGCTGTTCTCATCTGCAAACGCTGAGATCCAGATTGTAGTCTCCTCTAAATAAAGACACGGCTGTAGTTGCTGGTGATTGTCCTGTCTCTACAGATTTGGTAAGTGAGCGACCAGTGCTCTTTGTTTATTCAGTTGGTATTTTATTCGTATCAAACAAACTATTGCACCGAGTGCAATAGTTAGCACTAACAGTTACAACCAAACTATAACCTCGTGTTGGATTTTGTGACCGGAATTACACACGTGGCTTTCTGACGCTACCTGCCGTGTGTATCTAAGTTCTTAGGGAAATGCTGAGTTTTTTTTTCTCTCATTCGCCGTGCGGTATCAAACATTGCATGAAAAATACACGCTTAGAGCAGCGCCTCGAATTAAATATCACGTTTGTCGGGAGGGGCATGAATGAATTCCCTGAATGAAAGAGCCAAACTGCAGTTAAAGTCCACCATTTAATAATTTGGCAAATAATTCGACTACAGATGTCCATGTAAACACAGTCACATTGTCCGCTGTGGTTGTGTGTTTTGACTCTGAAATTCAGCGCGCCCAAATAGACACTCCCACACCAAGCCTCTTTTCTTCCTCCGACACTCCCCCCTAAACAGAGCTGGACACGCCCACTTTTCTGACTTTTTCCAAAGTAGAGGTGTGAAAACACCTTGCTGAAACGAGGGGGTTTCATGGCCCTTTAAAGGGCCATGAAACCCTCCGTTTCAGCAGGGTGTTTTCACACCTTTAGTTTGGAAAAAGTCAGGAAGGTGGGTGTGTCTAGCTCTGTTTAGGTGGGAGTGTCGGGGGAGGGAAAAAGGGAAGGATTTGAATAAAAATGGGAGTTTCAGTTTAGGCACGCGCTGATTTTCAACGAGGCAAAACAAACACACACGCAGGGGAGAAAGACAGTGACTGTTGTTAAATGACAGTGGAATGTTTGACACCGCACATCGTATAAGAGAAAAAACATCTGCATTTCTCGTAACTCAGATGCACTCGGTAGGTCAGAAAGCCGTGTGTGTGTGTAGACTATCCTGTCACAAAATGTGGCGAAAATTCAACAAGATGGTCGGTAATAGTTTGATTGTAGTGTTTACATGTTTACACTCTGAGAGCAGCATTTACAGCGGATCTTTCAGTCCATAATATTGTAGTGATGTTAACGTACTGTAAACTAAGTAACTTAGAAATCATTTTGATTAAGGTATATCTTAAAACACTGAAAGAGTACTGCTGACGATACAAACTAACTTTGCCTCTGAATAAACCAACAAAGACCACTGGTCGCTCGCTTACCAAATCTGTAGCGACAGGACAATCAACACCAACTGGAGCCGCGTCTTTATTAAAAGGAGACGAGCAGCAAATCCGGATTTCACCTTTTCCAGATGAGAAAAGCTCTCGAGTAAAAAATGTTCCATACAAACGTATTTCTGCCGCGTGTCGCGTGCACTGTAATCCACACGTGAGTCCAGCTGCGCTCTCATAGCTGGAAAAGGAATACAAAACCTTTGTTGCAGCACATTATAAAAGCAACACTGACGACCCGTATCTCCTAACAGTTCTTCTTCTCCCACTTGTTTTGGCAACACAACGTGTCGTCTCTATGCTGGCTGAACACTTTTATACTCTTTTATAGGCTTTTATACTCACTGCGTTCGCCGTTGTGATATTCTTTAAAACGACAGGGGGTGGTCAAAAGAAACCCACCGTAAAATCTGACGGATAAACAGAGAAGTAGTTCATTCAATACTTTTAAACTAATTATTTTGTATTGTTTTTGATACATTACTATAATGATTATAAGCATTTTTATAACCATTCAAGATTTTTGAATCAAACTTTGATGTATCACTTGCTTTTGTTCATATCTCAGACGGTTTATTACAATATTAATCACAAGAAAACATGAGTTGCTCTACAAATATATTTTTATTATAGCAAGAATAAAAACAAAAAAAGTACACTTACTAAAAAAAACTGATTTCTATTTTTTTTTTTTACATTTAGCCCAATCCACAACCATATACGTCAGTGTGACACCTATACTGGTGGAAAAAGATATTCAGTAATTGTGTACCTCTCCACTTTTGGCATAAACAAACTTATCCCTCAGGTTTTTCCAAACTTTTTAACATAAACTTTCCTCCTTTCTCACTGCTGTTGCTATTTCTAGCAAATAATTATTGGTCTTCCCTTGCTTTTGTTCATATCTCAGACAGTTATACCTATTACAATTTATTAAAATAATAATGACAACAGAACATGAGTTGCTCTACAAATAAATGTTTTATTAACTCAAAAATAAAAGCAAAAAAAGCACACTTACAAAAAAATACAGATGTTTTTTTTAGATTTAGCCCACTCCACAAATCGCACATTACTGTCTGGCTAGTTTCTGTCCTCTTCTTATTCTAAAAAGGCAGTGATGGCCCAACATTACAGATCATTATCACCAATAAAGCCTAGAGAAACAGGCCATCAGTATATCTATTCCTTTCCAGTTATCAAAAAATAATTTTGTGACTTCATTATAGTTTTGTAAATATTAAATTGTTTTTAATACAAAATTACACAAAATACATCAGTGTAAAACCTATGACTGGTGGAAAAACTTATTCTGTAATTGTGTACATTTTGCCATGGCCTCTTTTGGTTTTAATAAACTTATTCTTCAGGTTTTTTCAAACCTTTTAACAAAAACTTTCTCCTTTCCCATGGCTGCTGCAATTTATAGCCAATGTTTATTGATTGTCTGGTTATCTCTCTGATCACGGGTCATAAAGATGTGTGTACAGTTGTACTGTTTCAGACAAAATCTCTTCAAAGTGGTTCATATTCAACTCAAATCTGTTGCGGCACCGCTCGCACTCTTCGCTCGAGTCTCAAAAAATGGCCTACACACCGCCAGCCGAAATCATGCCGCGCGCACCCAAAGCGAACCTTCGCAAACTCCTCAATGACGTCACATTCGCCGTGCGCACTCAAGCGAACAAGCGGATGCGTCGGGTATAAACCAGGCTTAACAGGTAAAAACAGTCCTGGAAGCTATCATGCATATTAATGAAGTTGCACCGCATACAAAATAGAGCGCGCTGATTGGTTCAAACCAAGTCTTTCTCATGAATGAATGCAGCACACTCAGAGACATCACAAAGTACTCCCAGGTACAGTCATCCAGTCTACACGCTGGAGTACACACAAGGATCTAATTGGCGTGACGCAGCTTAAAAAATTAGTTTCAAACCGAAAGAACGAATTTGCTCGAAATAATTGCAAAAACAACCAATTTTCACTTTTTTGTTTAATATATGTGTCCTAATAGTGTTTATAGCAGTGTGTGACACATATAGGACTGTCAACAGCTCAAAACATGTGTTTTAGTGTTTCGTGACCCTTTAAACTACGCCTTTGTTTGTTGTGAATACACGCCCTCTAGTGGTGAAACCATTTCAATGTGGTCATGTCATTAGCCTAGAGCAGTGGTCACCAAACTTGTTCCTGGAGGGGCGGTGTCCTGCAGATTTTAGCTCCAACCCTAATCAAACACACCTGAACAAGCTAATCAAGGTCTTACTAGGTGTACTTGAAACATCCATGCAGGTGTGTTGAAGCAAGTTGGAGCTAAACCCTGCAGGGACACCGGCCCTCCAGGACCAAGATTGGTGACCCCTGGCCTACAGTATGAACATTTCCTGTTTGTGGTCAAACCATTTTATAACAGTAACAAGAGGCAATTCAATCCTAACTTAACGTTAAAACAGCCGTCATAACATTATTTATCAAAATGTGGACTTTTTTGAACTCTCAGAAGCTATAAAAATTCAAAATGTAAACAGGGAAATAAGTTGGGACCACAGTTATTGTTTACATCCCTCAAAATGGTCTGTACATACAATGCTTTTAAATTCTCCAAAATTCCCAACAGAACAAAATGCGCCACCTTCTAGATAATCTTCAGGACGACCTGCAATCTCCCATTTCTGTCCCCGTCACGTCACTGTGCACAGAACAATCCCACAACCCTTCACAGCTGAGGAATAAAGCGTCAGATGACGTGGATGATCTTCTTCACAGAGTGTTTGATGAGGAGCGCAGACATACCGAGGCTGTTTATCCTGCAGTATCGCCTCACCATAATGAAGACAGCGAGTTCTCTCTGAATGATAATCCACATCTCACCTGCGCAGAGGAGAATCCCAGGAGCGCAGAAGATGATAATGAAGTGCTGGAGCAGGTGGAGGAGCTCAGAAAAAACATGGAGGAGTGCTTATCAGTGTCCGAGACTCTGAAGGAGCAAACTAGAGGAGAGATCAGCGATGGTGAGGAGTTTTAATTCAGTGAGATGTTTGGCAAAAAGCGCTACACCTTTTTAGCAGCAGGTTTTCAGATGTTCTTTGTTTACTTTTTGTAAAGGGTTTTCTATGCCAGTATTTTTAACATGCTGTGTGCAGTATTTAATACTTCCCATGATGTTTCTGCTTGTGTTTGAGCATTTATTGATTATGTAATGTTCAACATGGGCTCATTGGGAAGATGTACCTCAGTCTACATTTCTGGAGAGCGTGAATTATACTCTCTGAGGTATGTTTGGCTTTGTTTCGCCTGTAAAAACTAACGATATGGGGCTGTATGACACTAAACCAGACGGCTTCTGTTCCTTGTCGCACTACCGGCTGACTGCTCACCTCTGTGTGGACGGCTTTTCCTATGATATCAGTATGCCTGGTGGCTCGCTGTGTACGATGGCGGACTTGAGATGCGGATCGGAGCGTGTGTGATGACAGGAGTCCAGCGAATAATCTTCGGAAAGCAGGTAAAACAAAAATAAATAAATAAATAAACAACAGGGCGAGAACATGGTAAAAAAAAACCCCATCTAAAAACGTGGTAAAATCGCGCTGATTTTCCTTTTGTCTACATCAGCTGTTGAAAACACTATCGGTTGGGTTTAGGGAAGAGGGTGGGTTCAGTCAGTCAGTCGACAGCAAGCCAGTCGGCTTAAGAGTTGTGTGTGTTGTTGTGCCCCCTGGTGGATTTACGTGAGAAGAGCACGCACAAATAGCACACGAGATCAGCAAAAAGCGCACACAGCGGCCTCTGGCTGATTCGTGAAAACAAAAACTGAGAGGAAACATACCTCAGAGTACATTTTTCACACTCTCCAGAAATGTAGACTGGGGTACGTATTCGCAATGAGCCTGGGTTGGTAATTTTAGCGATAGTTTACCCAATATTTAAAATTCATGACAAAAACGACAACAAATGTTTTTATGTTGCTTTAACTCAGTTTAATCAGGCTTCAACTAGACTTTTGAAGTCTACATTTCTGGAGAGCGTGAATTATACACTTTGAGGTATGTTTGGCTTTGCTCCGTCTGTAAAAGCTAACGCTACGAGGCTGTATGACACCGGCGCCGATCGCTTCTGTTCATTTTCATGCTACCGGCTGACCGCTTACCTCTGTGTCGATGGCTTTTCCTGTGATATCAGTTTGCCTGGTGGCTCGCTGTGTACAACGACGTACTTGAGACGCAGATCGGAGAGTGTGTGATGACAAGGGTTCGAGTCCAGCGAATAACATTCCGGAAAGCAGGTAAAACAAAAATAAATAAATAAACAACAGGGTGAGAACATGGTCAAAAAATAAAACATTCAAGAACGTGGTAAAATCGCGCTGATTTTCCTTTTTTCTACATTAGCTGTTGAAAACACTATCGGTTGGGTTTAGGGAAGAGGGTGGGTTCAGTCAGTCAGTCAGTCAGTCGACAGCAAGCCGGTCGGCTTAAGAGTTGTGTGTGTTGTTGTGCCCTCTGGTGGATTTACGTGAAAAGAGCGCGCACAGACAGCACACGAGATCAGCAAAAAGCACAAACAGCGGCCTCTGGCTGATTGGCGAAAACAAAAACTGAGAGGAAACATACCTCAGAGTACATTTTTCACACTCGGCAGAAATGTAGACTGGGGTACGTATTCGCAATGAGCCTGGGTTGGTAATTTTAGCGATAGTTCACCCAATATTTAAAATTCTGTCATTTCTCACGCTTCACTGTAAAAATGTAATGACAAAAACGACAACAAATGTTTTTATGTTGCTTTTACTCAGTTTAATCAGGCTTCAACTACACTTTTGAAGTCTACATTTCTGGAGAGCGTGAATTATACACTGAGGTATGTTTGGCTTCGTTCCGTCTGTAAACACTAACGTTACGAGGCTGTATGACACCGGCGCCGATCGCTTCTGTTAATTTTCATGCTACCAGCTGACCGCTTACCTCTGTGTGGATGGCTTTTCCTGTGATATCAGTTTGCCTGGTGGCTCGCTGTGTACAACGGCGGACTTGAGACGCAGATTGGAGAGTGTGTGATGACAGGGGTTCGAGTCCAGCGAATAACATTCCGGAAAGCAAGTAAAACAAAAAGAAATAGATAAACAACAGGGTGAGAACATGGTCAAAAAATAAAACATACCAACGCTATCAGTTGTGTTTAGGGAAGAGGGTGAGTTGGGTCAGTCAGTCGGCCAGTAAACCAGTCAACAGCAAGCCGGTTGGCTGAAGAGCTGTGTGTGTGTGTTGTTGTGCCCTCTGGTGGATTTATGCGAGAAGAACATTCAAGAACGTGGTAAAATCCCGCTGATTTTCCTTTTTTCTACATCTGCTGTTGAAAACACTATCGGTTGGGTTTAGGGAAGAGGGTGGGTTCAGTCAATCTGTCAGTCAGTCAGTCGACAGCAAGCCGGTCGGCTGAAGAGCTGTGTGTGTGTGTTGTTGTGCCCTCTGGTGGATTTATGCGAGAAGAGCGCGCACAGACAGCACACGAGGTCGGCAAAAAGCACACACAGCGGCCTCTGGCTGATTCGCGAAAACAAAAACTGCGAGGAAACATACCTCAGAGTACATTTTTCGCACTCTCCAGAAATGTAGACTGGGGTACGAATTCGTAATGAACCTGTGTGGGTAATTTTAGGGATAGTTCAACCAAAAGGTAAAAATGTAATGGCAAAAAGACAAGACAACAAATATTTTTTATGTTGTTTAAACTAATCAGGTTTCAACCAGACTTTATAAGTTTAACTTAATATTTTAGTCAGTTTGATTGATGTAAGTTGAGATGACTTAAAGTTCATTTGTTTAGCTAAAAACTAAATTTAAGGCAGCAAGAATGTTTTTACAGTGTTGTCACAATCCTGTTTTAGTTTCTGAGTTCTACATAATTGTTCATGTTGTACCAACACAAATTATTAAGTTAGCTTAATTGTTTTCACAAATTGAAGTTGACTGATAATAAAACAATTAAGTTGTACCCTTAAAAAATCCTAAGTATTGTGTTAACATTTTTTAATCATTTTGGAGTGCTCTTGTAAGCACAAAAGAAGATATTTTGAAAAATGCTGAAAACTGTAACCATTGACTTCTATAGTATTTGTTTTTCATACTATATTTCTAGCTTTTTCCAAAATATTTGATTCAATTTTTAACAAACAAAGAAACTCATGAAGATTTGAAACCACTTAAGGGTGAGTAATAGAGTAATTTTCATGTTGTGGTGAACTATCCTTTTAAGACTCCAGAGCCATATTACTGATTTGTTTGTGACTTAGCTCTACTTTGTTTACTGGAGTGTTTATTAGTTTGTGAATGATATAACATACAGTTGCAGTGTTCAATTCTGGTGTAGATACAGTTTACTTTAACTGGAAGATGTGTAGGCTTTATTATTAGATATGGATATATGTATTTAGCCATAATATATTCATAATATAGACAGTATTGAGGAAAAACTACATTTCTGATAAAAAAAGGTTAAATCTTCTGTTTCCTATTGGCCATTTGAAAACATAACTATTAAATGAAGAAATAATTAAGTTAATAAATTAAACTAAATGAAAGCGGTGTCTAAATGTAATCCAGCCTACTGTTGATTATTTTCTGTTAGTTTACAATTATAGAAAGTGCAGTATTGATGTTGAATAATTTAGTAAATGCATGAAAGCTGTCTTTAAATATGGTTTAAACATTTCAAGCTTTGTTACACTGAAATATACAATATTATTAATATAATTTACACTGTTAGATATCACTGCTTTAATTGAGGGTTTTGCATTTTTTCTAACTACTGAGGAATGAAAAACTTTTTGTACTGTGATTTTTATATTCTCAAATGATTTGACTATTGTATTTTAATAATATTGAATATAAATAATAAATAAATGCTGTCGCAATCACATCCGGCTTGTTTTTTTTTTTTTTTGCACATTTAACTAAAACATAATGATTTAAATCGCATTATCTTGAGTTAAACGAGCAATAAAGTGTCCTGTTACTTCATTCAGGGCCCTATCATACACCCGGCGCAGTGTGGCGCAAGGCGCGGCGCAATAGTCTTTTGCTAGTTTCAGCTTGGCGCAAGAGTCGCTTTGAGGCGTTGCGCTACGCTGTTTAAATAGCAAATGCATTAGCGCTCATATGTGCGCCCATAGGCGTTCTGGTCTAAAAAGGAAGGCGTTCTGAGGTGCACTGCTGGCGCGTTGCTATTTTGAGAAACTATAATAGATTTTTCATTAGACCAAAACTAACCCGGTCTAAACTCCAGCACAGAGTTGCGCCTCACTTACACACCGCTTAATACACACAAGAGAGCAATAGGCAAATATCTTTACATATGAAAAAATTAAATATTAAGGATATATATAGGATATAATAAGAATAGATATAGAATATAAATATAAAGCATTAAAATATTACAAAACATATTATTTTCTAGCCTTCATAAATATGAAAAATCACTGCTTTTATGTCTTCTTCATCTCAGGAGGCTATTTCAGTTCATTCATAACAATTTGCTTTTGTATAATGTTATTATTATTAGCAGTATTATTTATTATATCCATATTTATATTTGTTTTATTAAAAACAAGCTTAAATTTGCCCACCTGTCAGGTTTTATACCATATGGGGTAAGGCAGGTGTATTGGGAAATAACTCAGTATTTTGACCACACTTGGTCATTATTGTTCAATCATTCATTTGCTGGAAATTAGAACTGAATTTAGAAATAGTTTTGAAACGAATATTTGCGCTTAACAAACAAAAGTATTTATTTATAGACTAATTGATGTCTGTGCATAAAGGTTTCCCTATCCAAGAGCGAAAGTGAAAGTAGATCCATTATCTCTCATTCTTACGCAGTAGATGCTCTGTTTAACAATTTGCTAGTGAAATGCTCATTTTTTCCACTTAGACTTACTTTGCGTCCTGTAAATAGCGAATGCGCTCTTGGCGTGACGCAGCTGACTCTTAAAGGGAATGGGAGATGAGACTCTGATTGGTTTATTCTCAAAACACACCTATAACTCATTAAGAAAATAAACTCAACCCTTTTAGACCATGCGCCTTGGCGCAAAGCAGATTATCCCGTCCGTAAATTAGCAAAAATGCGTTCTGACACGCCCTGAAAGCATTTGCGCCCTGCGTTTTGCGCTCTGAGCATGGACTGTCAAAATAGAGCCCTTAAAGTTTAAGATAACATGACAACACTTTTGTCTTATTACAGACCCAGAAACCCTGGCTATTATTATAGTAATATTGAAAATAGATAATAAATAAATGCTGCTGCAATCACATCTGTCTTATGTATTGCACATTTTAATCAAACAAAATGATTTGAGTTGCATTGTTGTACGTTAAATCAGCAATAAAGTGTCGTGAAACTTCATTTAATGTTTACCAGATAACAGGACACACTCATGACAACACTTTTGTTTTATGGCTTTATTATAATGGCTATAAGTAGCCATAATATTACTTACAGCCAGTATTAAAGAGTTCAATTGTAAACACTGTTATATTTGATTGATAATTTTACACTGTAATGTATGACTGGTTTAATTGAGTGTTTGGCATTGAATGAGAAACATTTTACAGTGTTATTTTTATATCCTCAAATGATTTGACCACTGAATTTAATAATATTTCATTTAAAATATTAAACAAATGCTGTTGTAAACACATCTATCCAGTTTTATTGCACAATTTATTAAAACATAAGGATATAAATTATTAAATTATTATTAAAAATTATCAGGATTTAGCATTATCCTGAGTTAAACGGGCTATAAAGTGTCCTCTAGCTTAAATTAAAGGTGAACAGATAACATAACAACGCTTTTGTTTTATGACAGACTCAAATACCCTTAGATTTTATTATAATAATATTGAATATCGATAATAAATACATGTTGCTGCAATCACATCTGGCTTGTTTATTGCACATTTTAATCAAACATAATGATTTAAATTGCATTATTATAAGTTAAACGAGCAATAAAGTGTCCTGCAGCTTCATTTAAACCTTAACAACATAACAACGCTTTTGTTTTATGACAGATCCAGAAACCCTGGGTCTTATTATAATAATATTGAATATAGATAATAAATACATGTTGCTGCAAACACATCTGGCTTGTTAATTGCACATTTTAATCAAACATAATGATTTAAATTGCATTATTGTAAGTTAAATGAGCATTAAAGTGTCCTCTAACATCAAATAAAGTTTAACAGATAACATGACAACACTTTTGTTTCATGACAGACCCAAATACCCTTAGATTTTATTATAATAATATTGCATACACTTTCTGAAATAAAGGTACATGAGCTGTCACTGGGGTGTTACCTTATTAAAAAGTACAAATTTGTACTTAAATGGTCCATATTAATACCTCAAAGGAGCAAATTAGTACCTAAATAGTACAAAAGTGTTCCTATTAAAATTGGGTACTATTATATATTTTCGAGGTACCAATACTTAAGTACAAATGTGTGCAATCACATCTATCTTGTTTTTTTTTTGTTGTTTTTTTGCACATTTTATCAAAACTTAATAATTTAAATCGAATTATGTTAAGTTAAACGAGCAATAAAGTGTCCTGCAGCTTTTATTTGTAGTTTTAACAGATAACAGGACACACTTATGACACTTTAGCTTTATGGCTATATTATAATGACTATGTGTAATCATATGATTTATATTATAGCCAGTATTGAAGAGTTCAATTGTAAACACTGTTATACATGATTGATTCAATCGAGTGTTTTGAATGAGAAACATTTTACTGTGTTATTTTTAAATTCTCAAATGATTTGACTTCTTTATTTTAATAATATTGAATATAATTAATAACTGTGTTTTTAATCACATCTGGCTCGTTTATTGCACATTTTATTAAAAGATAATGATTTAAATCGCATTATCTTGAGTTAAACAAGCAATAAAATGTCCTTCAGCTTCAGTTAAAGTTTAACAGATAACAAGACAACACTTTTGTCATATGACAGACCCAGAAACCCTTAGGTTTTATTATAGTAATATTGCATACACTCTCAGAAATAAAGGTACGTGAGCTGTCACTGGGGTTGTACCTTTTTAAAAAGTACACATTTGTACCTAAATGGTTGATATTAATACCTCAAAGGTGCAAATTAGTACCTAAATAGTACAAAAGTGTTCCTATTAAAATTTGTTGGTCCTAATATACATTTTTGAAGTACCAAAATGGACCCCTTAAGTACAAATTTGTACCTTTTGAAAAGGTACTACCCCCGTGACAGCTCATGTGCCTTTATTTCTGGTATAAATACATGCTGTTGCAATCACATCCATCTTGTTTTTTTTTTTTGTTTGTTTTTTTGCACTTTTTATCTAAATATAATGATTTAAATCAAATTATGTTAAGTTAAATGAGCAGTAAAGTGTCCTGTAATTTCAATTAGTAGTTTAACAGATAACAGGACACACTTATGATGACACTTTTGCTTTATGACTTCATTATCATGGCTATATGCAACCATAATATCATTTATATTATAGCCAGTATTGAAGAGTTTAATTGTTAACACTGTTATTGATAATTTCACTCTGTTATGCACGACTGATTTAATCGAGTGTTTAGCATTGAATTAAAAACATTTTACAGTGTTATTTTTATATTCTCAAATGATTTGACTACTGTATTTTAGTAATATTTTGTTTAAAATAATAAAAAAATGCTGTTGCAAACACATCTGGCTTGTTTATTGCACATTTAATTAAAATATAATGATTTAAAACGCATTATCTTAAGTTAAACGAGCAATAAAGTGTCCTCTAACTTCAATTAAAGTTTAACAGATAACATGACAACACTTTTGTTTTATGACAGACCCAGAAAACCCTCAAGAGATCGCTTATCACTGCAAATACTGAGAGTTTCACTGCAGTTATTATTATTCACGCGGCTTTATAGCGGCTGCGCTCATTCCACGCATTCCACGCAGCTGACGTCATGCGTCCAAGCGCAGCGTGAATCTTCAATTTATACATCTTATTTTACTTTAAATAAAATCCGAGCGCACTATCATATTCCAAAAATATCCAACGCTAATCATACGCGGTCCTAATCGAAAAGCAGATCTCAAAGAGTCGGAGAAACTGAAACAGATGTTACGATTCCTGCGCGGAAGTGAGAGAAAGTAGAGCCGCGGATGAGCCTATTCCCGGTCACCTTTCTTCTGGCATCCCGGAGGAAGTGACGCAGCCAGCAGGAGTGTGACCCGAGGAACCTCAAACATGCGTCAATCCCGAAAAAACAAACTCCACCAAATGGCGGATTATCTCCACAAACCGTAATTTCTCATCCACAAAGTATTAATGTTGTGATTTAAGGACATATCCGATCAGATAATTCAGCAGGTAAGCAGCGGAGAGCAGTTTAAACGACTCTTTTCCATAGTTTTACTCAGAAGTGTTAGCACCGTTAGCTAAGTCGCGCTCGTAAACTCACAATTTAACTCCAAACGCATTTATTTTTTATATACCTTACGGGTTTGGATGTTTAAATGCGAGTTTGGAGACTTTAACGTCTTAATTTGTGAAGTGTCTGAGTCCAGTATGTGCGCGTGCGGTTTTGTGGTCACTTGTTGCTCCATAAAAAGTTAGTCAGACATTTTTGGCGTTTGTTTATATCCCGTTAATACGCATTAAATGCATCTGTATGTTGACTCGAGGGCAGATTTAGGGGATTTTATGTACTTTTAGTTAACAATACACTTGTTTTTGGAGATTTGCGGATTTAAAAGGCCTAAATCACGCTCCGTCTGTTATTGTTTTGTTTATGTTTACTCTCATTAGTTTCATTGTGACGTTAGTCACATTGGAAAATTGTCATATTTATGATACATCTTTTAACAATTTTGATATTTCGTTTTTATTATAAATCTATATTTGCATAATTACACATAAACGTAATCTTTTGAGTCGGTGTAATATTTGAGCATTTGCTTTGAATTGTGAGTTGAGGTAAAGATGGTTTTATATTTGCACAATCAGACTTTCTCCTTAATTTAATTAAAAAAATAAATAAAAATCGTGAAATCAGATTATCAGCCAGTGACTATCAACGTATGTTTATAGTCAATTAAATGGTGTAAAGTTGTTTAGAACAGGGGTTCTCAACTGGTTTGGCCATGGGACCCACATTATATGGTCATTAAGCCGCCACCCAGATTTTTAGGAACTACATTACAATTTTAGAAATAATAATTAATTTGTATTTATTTGTTTACATACACAATAGTGACTGATAAATCATAAGAAAATCACCAAGACTTACAAATAAACTATATTTTATTGCTGTCATTTAACAAAATTAAAATTATAGAAGTATTACAAAGTAAAAACGACAAATACTGTAAACCAGGGGTGTCCAAACTTTTTGGGCCGAGGGCCAGATGCAAAAAAACAAACGTTGTCGCGGGCCAAATTTTACATACATCACACAGACACGCATATATATATATATATATATATATATATATATATATATATATATATATATATATATAAATACAGTTGAAGTCAGAATTGTTAGCCCCCCTAAATTATTAGCCCCCGTTTATTTTTTCCCCAATTTCTGTTTAACGGAGAGAAGATTTTTTTCAACACATTTCTAAACATATTAGTTTTAGTAACTCATTTCAAATAACTGATTTATTTTATCTTTGCCATGATGACAGTAAATAATATTTGACTGGATATTTTTAAGACACTTCTCTATAGCTTAAAGTGACATTTAAAGGCTTAACTAGGTTAATCAAGTTAACTTGTTAAGTTAAGGTAATTAGGCAAGTTATTTTATAACAGTGGTTTGTTCTGAAGACTTAAGTGGCTAATAATTTTGACCTTAAAATGGTTCATAAAAAAAATTTTAACCGCTTTTTATTCTAGCCGAAATAAAACATAAGTCTTTCTCCAAAAGAAAAAAATAATATCAGACATACTGTAAAAATGTCCTTGCTCTGTTAAACACATTTGGGAACTATTTAAAAAAGAAGAAATAAATCAAAGAGGGGCTAATAATTCAACTGTGTGTATATAGATAGATAGATAGATAGATAGATAGATAGATAGACAGATAGACAGATAGACAGACAGACAGACAGACAGACAGACAGACAGACAGACAGACAGATCATAACAAGAACTGCTGCTTAATTGAATGCATGTAATAGCGACACCCGGTGGTTATTTTTTGAATTACGTTCATTTTTGTATAGCGGGCCAGATTCTATTGATATTTATAAAAAGCCTCGCAGGCTGCCAAAAAACTGATTGCGGGCCGCAGATGGCCCGCGGGCCGTAGTTTGGACATGCCTGCTGTAAACAGTGGTTAGGGTAAGGATAGGTTCAGTTACCATGAACTAAACTGTTAATAAAACATGTTGTCTGGTTTCTAAATGTCGTTATAATTTAGAACGTTTCTTGCTCTCTTGTGAGTCTCTTTAAGTCTTTTTTGTCGTCAATATATGTAAATCCACAATTTACAAATTCAGGGTCGTACTTGCGCTTTGACATATTTGTAACTATAATTAAATAAAACTTCACATGTCAAACGGTACTGTTGTCGTGCACGCATTTCAAAATAAAAGTCAAAATAAGTTAAAAATTAAACTTTTGTCGCTGTTTAGACCACACGCTCCGCGACCCACTGAAAATGTTCCCGCGACCCACTTTTGGGTCGTGACCCACCAGTTGAGAAACACTGGTTTAGAAGTCATACTCGCATGCGATTTCACACCGAATATTCAAAGTAGCGTGGTGAACACTATAGGGAGCACGTCTCAAGTTGTCACTGAATAAATGTACAAATATAAAACCAACTTCACTTCAATATTTTCTTTCAATATGTGTGTATGACTGACCAACTGATTCAAAACAATTTAAAAATGAATCTTTTTATATCTTAAACTATTTGACCGTGTGTGTTTGTTTATATTTCTAAATACTAGGGATGTAACGGTATCAGAATTTCACGGTACGGTAATACCTCGGTATGAATGTCACGGTACGGTATTTATTGAATCATTTACAGGAAAAAACAAAACTTATGAAAATACTCCAAAAAAGTGCCAAAAGTGTCAATGACATACAAATTAGCCATCTATCTGTAAGCTTTGAAACAGGAACTTCAATTTGAATAACAAAAAAATATTAAACCATGTAAAAAAATAAAGTTTCAATTTAGTATTGTTGAAAACTCATCACATTCAACATTTAATCACTCACTCACTTAGATAGAGATGGGTTTAAAGGAAAATTATCATATAAATATAATCTGGTAAAAGCTGGGATCTCTGGGTATTTACAATGTCCCCTGCAACAGAAAAAAACCCTCTCATTTGGGACTGAGGTTTCTGGGACAAGAGAGATATGACTTGGCCCAGGTTGACAGCAGTGGGTAACGTTGTGCATTGTCTTTCCCCCACTTGAGAGGACAAGTGGATCTGTAGCGACAACAGACCACAAGGGATGATGGTCAAGCATGGGCTGATGGGAATTGTAGTTTTCGCTACCTCCCGTTCGCTTCATTCACCTGAGCAAATTTTCTCAGAAGACCTATAGTTTTACCGAGTCATGCGAGTACGGTAATATCGAAAAAAATTAATATTGCGGTATGACGGCATTTACAATACCGTTACATCCCTACTAAATACAGATTAATAAATGCATTATCTTTAACTTGGAGTATATTGATTATTAAATGCAGCCATCAGCTTGATAACCCAAGTTAGTATTTCGTTTATAAAAAAATCCTTAAATTTAAACATTTATAATTGTTTATAAGACATCTGTGACAGGCTTAAACTAGTGTATAGATGTTGTTTATAGAGCACTGACAAAGTAAACATTATATAATTGTTACTTAATGATTGGCCTAAAGTTGGTTTTATATTAGAACGTTCATTCTTTTACCTTAATATTATAATTTCAGCATTGTTCACAGTCAAATAAATAGACACTGTATCAGTCAAAAAAAGCTGGTTTTATATTCGCATATTTTCTTTTTTTCCTTAATATAATTTCATAAAAGTATTATTTGCAAATTCTAATTAGTGAAATCATATTAGCAGCCAATGACTATCAAAGTATAACATTGTTCACAGTCAACAAAATAGTGCTAATGTTTTTTAAGTCATACTTGCATGTGATTTCAGACCGAATATTCAAAGTAGCATGGTAGACAATTTAGGAGCATGTCACTGAACGAATGTGTGAATATAAACTGACTTAGCTCAATTCTTTTACAATTTTAATATATTTTTTTTAAATAAATGTATATTTGCGTAGTTCCATATAAGAATAACACTTTTTGAGTAAGTGTAAGTATTGGTTTGCTTTGAATTGTGTGAATTTAGGTAAAGTTGGTAAATTCAGATTTTTTTCTTTGCTAATATAATTACAAAAAAGTATTATTTGCAACTTTTAAATAGGGAAATAATATAATCAGACAATGACTATGAAAGTACGACATTGTTTGCAGTCAATTAAATAGTGCTAATGTTGTTTTGAAATCATTTCTGACCCAATATTCAAGGTAGCGAGTGAAGTAAAGTTGGTTCTATATTGGCACGTTCATTCATTTAACCAGTTAAACTCTGCTGCTATTTTGGCATTTCCGCCTGGATTTTGCCTACCCAAATTTAAAAGCTTCCCAAATCCACATGGAGAGATGTAAATGCAAACATTTGGTATCATTAAAAAAAAAAAAAACTTTGAATTTTCATAAAACACTATTGAAAGTGTTTAAAATACCTGTATATGTTGTCTGTGTTGTAATAAACACCTAAAAAATATTTAAAAATGATAAAAAAAACAGGTGTTTATTATAACACAGACAACATATACAGATATTTTAAACACTTTTAATAGTGTTTTATGAAAATTCAAAAGGTTTTCTTTAAAATGATACCAAATGTTTGCATTTACACCTCTGCATGTGGATTTGGAAAGCCTTTAAATTTGGGTAGGCAAAATCCAGGCGGAAATCCCCAAATAAGAGCAGAGTTTAACTGGTTAATGTTCAATTAAAGGAGATTTTGAATTTAGTCGCCCAGCCCTACTTCTCTTTCTTTTGTAAAATTTAATAACATTCTTTATTTGTTTGTGCATGAATATTGCTTATTTTAAACCCTGTTATCTGCAGTTTTATCAGGAAAGCAGATAAATAGTGAGCGCTTGGGCCGTTAGTATCTGCAAATGTCACTGCTAATCTGTTTTGCTGCTGGTTTGTCTTGATTATCCAGGCACTCATGTGTTTGTCTTGTGGAGCCCTGTATAATCCAGCACCTCTCCATGGATTAAGCGCAGAGGAAAGCTGAATCGAATCGTTCTGTTGGAGGAAGGTCGCGGCGCGGGTTCAACATGCCCCTTCCGTTCGGATTAAAGCTCAAGAGAACCAGGAGATACACGGTGTCCAGCAAGAGCTGCCTGGTGACCCGCATTCAGCTGCTCAATGGAGAATACGTGGAGTTCACGCTTTCGGTGGAGAGTACGGGACAGGAGTGTCTGGAGGCGGTCGCGCAGAGGCTGGAGCTACGCGAGGTAGGATTGGTTGTTTTCTGCTGCTAAGGCATCATGTTGGTTTAATCGGGTTGGAGTCACCTTAACACAGCATGGGCGTGTGTTTATTTTAGCTCGCTGGTGCCGTCTGGAGTCTCGGCTATTCTAGGACTGCCACCAAAATGCTGTCAAACACACTCAATGCATCTGTGCTGACAATTTAGGAGTGAGTGAGTGAGTGAGTGAGTGAGTGAGTGAGTGAGAGAGAGAGAGTGAAAGTGTGTGTTTGACAGTAGCTTTGAGAGTGTGTGTGTGTGTGTGTTTAGTGTGTTTAAGATAAAGAGTGTATATGTTTGAGTGAAAGTGTGTGTGTTTGTGTGTGAGCGATTGTTTGTGTCTTTGTGTGAAAATGTGTGTGTAAGAGTGTGAGATTCAATGTGCGTGATAGTGTGCGCACACGTTTGTGATTTTGTTTGTGTGCATGTACTGTGCGTGTACGTTTCGAGTGTGTGTGTATGCACTTGTGAGTGTGTGCGCTAGGGGTGTAACGATACACTCAGCTCACGATACGATGTGTATCACGATATAATGTTCACGATTCGATGTGTATCACAATATTTGGAATAAAAACTGAAAATTTAACTGAAATGCAAATTTTACCAAGTAAACTATTTTTTATGTATTTCTTTTGTTTCAACTTGTTAAACTGAACCTTCTTTAAGAAAATAAATTAAACAGGCCTGTCCCTGGAAAATAAAACAATTTAAAAACTTCTTATAAAATATTATTGAAATGACAGAGACAAAATTAAGGAACAATTTAAGTAAAGGTGCAAAAAAAAAGCTTTCTATTCAATTGAATTTAACAGTAAGAGCTTAAGGCTTTGCTTGGTCACTTGCGTTTTTTGTGTGCAAAAAAAAAAATCCACATTTCCAGGTATTTAATTCATATTTAATTAAATTCATTTGGAGATATCTCTAATTACAATTGTGACTAGTCAAAACTCATTTAGAGATATCTGCAAATATTTTTCAATGGAAGTCAATGGAGGAATATGACTAGTCATAATATATTTGCAGATATCTCCAATCTGATTTCGTACTAGTACAATTGTAATTGCAGATATGTCTAATTGTCATTCTGACTAGTCAAATTATAATTATGACTAGTCAAAATATAATTAGAGATATCTCAAAATATATTTATGGATAGTCGGATCAAAGGTTTAAATGCTAAAACGGCTTGCCATACGCGCGCGTCTATCATAGTCCGCCCTCTGTAGTAGCAGCTCACGGTCAGCTCACGTCATGTGTGATTTTGCGGCCGCCAATACATCATTATATGAAGACAGAATGATATTTTAGGCTGAATTGTACCTTATAAATACAGTATGTGACTCTTTCAACACCATTAGGAGGTATCCATGTCGCTGTGCAAAGTATGTAAATCACTGGGATGAGTTTGAAACTTCGGCTATGTTTGACCCAGTATGCGTGTCAAAAAGCGGACGAGTCTAAAGCAATGACTGTACAACCGAAATGTTGCCAGACGTCTGATTTTGAGAGGATGAGTCGTCCTTTATTTCAGCTCCACTCATTTTGGTCTGCTAACATTACTGCTGCTGGAATCTGAACTCTCGTGCGACAGCAGGTGGAACGTAGCTCACTTGCAAACAGCTCAACTAATAAGAGAAAACGGACGTCATATCGTAATCAAATCGTCATAACGCCACGATGCATATCGAGACATTTTTGCATCGCAATAAATCGTACAACGATAAATCGTTACACCCCTAGTGTGCGCACATTTGTGAGTGTGTGTGCGCGCACTTGTTTGTGAAATTGTGTGTGCTCACATTGTTTGTGTGGGTGGGTGTGTGTGTACTGTGCATCCACGTTTCGGAGTGTGTGTGCCCATGCACTTATGTGTAAGAGTGTGTGTGTGTGCACTTTCGAGTGTGTGTGTGTGTGTGTGTGTGTGTGTGTGTGTGTGTGTGTGTGTGTGTGTGTGTGTGTGTGTGTATGCGCACTTGTGTGCGAGATTGTGTGTTCTCATGTTTGTTTGTTTGTGTGAGTGTGTGTGTGTGTGTGTGTGTGTGTGTGCGCGTTCGCGTGCACGTTTCTAAGTGTGTGTGTGTGTGTGTGTGTGCGAGATTGTGTGTGCTCACGTTTGTTTGTTTGTTTGTTTGTGCGTGCATGTGTGCGTGTGCGTGCATGCATGCACTTATGTGTAAGTGTATGTGCGTACATTTGTTAGTGTGTGTGAGATTGTGTGCTCACGTTTGATTGTGTGTGTGTGTGTGTGTGCTTGCACTTCATTATAATGCTGTCAGCTGCTGTTGAAGTCTGATAATTTTTAAGCAATCTTCCGTCAATTTTAGATCAACATGGATGTTTAAACATGATGGAAGTTTCTTAACAGCCTGCAAATGTACTGTTGCCTTTACTGACATTTACTAGTACAGAAGGTGATAGGGCTGCTGGATTATGGGAAAAATCATAATCACGATTATTTTGGTCATAATTGTAATCAGGATAATTCAAAAGATTATCAGTTGAAGTCAAAATTATTGGCCCTTCTGTGAATTTTTTTCTATATAAATATTTCCCAAATGATGTTTAACGGAGGAATTTTTCACAGTATTTCCTATAATATTTTTTCTTCTGGAGAAAGGCTTATTTGTTTTATTTCGGCTTGAATAAAAGCAGGTTTAAATATTTTAAAATCTATTTTAATAGCGTGATATTATTAGCCCCTTTAAGCAATATATAAATGTTTGATTGTCTGCAAAAGAAACTACTGCTATACAATAACTCGCCTAATTACACTAGTTAAGGCTCTGAATGTCACTTTAAGCTGAATACTAGTGTCTAGAAAACTGTCTAGTAAAATATAATGTAGTCATCATAGCAAAGATAAAAGAAATCAGTTATTAGAAATGAGTTATTAAATCTGTTATGTTTAAACTCTTCTTTAAGCATCTTCACTGTAAGAAAAAAACTTTAGCTACAAAAGTCCTTCAGTCAAGAGCAGTGAGGGATTTTCTCCTTTTGTTGTTTGATTAATAATAAAAACAGTCAGCCGCAGGAATATTGCGCACTGTCACTTAAAGAATAGTGCGGCTCTGATATGGTTTCTCTTTCACATGTCTTTTGATCCTCAATTTGTTTGTTTATTACACAAATGAGGGTTAATATGAACAATCACTAAACATCGCGCTCTGACACAAATGTGCATGTATTTGAGCATTAAAGCGCTCACATTAAGATGGCGCTAGATGTGTGTGTGCTCTGCTCGTCTCCGAGCATGTCCGAGTCCAAGCGCGGCACGCACACACACACACACACACACACACACACACACACAACATGTGCTCTTTCACGCTTTTAAAAATATGAATGATTCGAACATACATTATTGAATGATGAGCATCCCGTGCTGCAAACGTTACATTCGAAACCGGATTTTCAATAAATTGCACAGCCCTAGAAGGTGAAGTGTATTTTTCAGTAGAGGTGGGCATCTGTAGGGACCTCACTATTTAATCTTATCCTGGGCGTCACGATGCGATTCCAAAGCTCTTATATCTGTCCAACTTTTCAAATTTCAAAGCTTTGTTCATGATTACATGCTATGTATGCCTTTCTAGCCGATAAAACGTATTTTTTCCTTCCGCTTAGTGCTGCTCGATTATGGGAAAAATCCTAATCACGATTATTTTGGTCATAACTGTAATCACGATTATTCAAAACGATTATCAGTTGAAGTCAAAATTATTCATCCTCCTGTGAATTTATTTTTATATATAAATATTTCCCAAATAATGTTTAACAGAGGGTTTTTTTTTTTACAGTATTTCCTATAATATTTTGTAATATTTATATTATTCATATTTATAATATTCATATATTTATTTGTATAAATAATCACTAAACACCGCGCTCTGACACAAATGTGGATGTATTTGACCATTAAAGTGCTCACATTAAGATCGCGTTAGATGTGTTCGAGGCTAAGCGCGGCGCGCGCGCAAACACACACACACACACACTACCTGTCCGAGGCTAAGCACGGCTTGCGCACACACAACAGCACGTGCTCTTTTGCGCTTTTAAAAATATGAATGATGTGCATCCTGTGCTGCAAAAGTTACATTACAGCACACACTTTGTCATTTTCATGTGGAACTGAGCTTTGCAGAGGCAAAGACTTTTCACACGTGTACAACTGGAAGGGGGGCGGTACGTGATGGAATAATCGTTTATCTCGATTAATAGTTTCTCATAATCGTTAAAAGTCGAAATCGGATTTTCGATTAATTGCACAGCCCTACTTCGGCTTGGTCTCTATTCCAGGAATGAACCGCCAACTATTCCAGCATATGATTTATGGAGTGGATGCAACCAGCTGCAACCCAGTACTGGAAAACACCCATACACACATTCACACACAAACTTTTAATATGTTTTGGTCCGATAATAACCAGCTATAAAAAACACGACTGAATGTTTTGAATGAGGAGCTGTAATGTAGTCGTGGTTGGATGAATATTGGTGTGGCGCCCTGCCATGGAAGAATGAATGTAGCGGAAACCATGGTTTATATAAATTACTTGCATAAGGCCAATGGCTTGCAATTTATTGCTTTTATTGCCACTACATCTGGTAGATGCACATTTTCACATAACATATATTTTTTCCCTGTGCACCTATCAGTGCTTCAGGTCAGCATAGTTTACTTGATTGATAGTTCTGCCATCTTCAAATATTTATTTTCGTAACAGTTACACTCATTGGCCACTTTATTAGGTACACTTTACTAGTACCGGGTTAGACCTTTTGCCTTCAGAACTGCCTTAATCCTTCGTGGCTTAGATTCAACAAGGTACTGGAAATATTCCTCAGAGATTTCGCTCCATATTGACGTGATAGCATCACCCAGTTGCTGCAGATTTGTCGGCTGCACATCCATGATGTGATTGTGAATCTCCCATTACACCAAAGGTGGTGACTGTGGAGGCCACTTGAGTAAAATAAACTCATTGTTATGTTCAAGAAACCAGTCTGAGATGATTCATACTATATGACACACACACGCTCCCTCTACAAATCTGACATGCACAGAATCTAAGCATATTTAAATTTCTCGAAAACATTTTTTGAATGTTACTTTTTTATTGTATATATATTGTATATATATCTTAGATTTGAATGATTTAATTTGTTGATAAATTTTTTTAACATTTACATTAACATTCTTATTATGCCTTGTGAAACTTGTTAAACTGTTACATGCAGTAAATAAAAATAAAGTTAGGCTATTATTAGGGCTGGGAGATTTGGCAAAAAAATTAAATCTAGGTTTTTTATAAAGTTTGACCGATTCACGGTTTCGATTTTGATTTTTAAAAAAAATTTTATTGTGTTACTAGTCTTCTCAACATTACAACAACATGACTGAAGTAACATTCTCTTTATAAGTAACTTGAAAAACCATCTGGTTAAGGAACATTGTATTTTTAATGGCCATGTCATACAAAAATCGGTCAAGGTGTAAATAAATGTAAAACAAATTCACGAGTTAAATAGCTTTCCTGAAGATTTGAATAAGAAATATTTGTGTAAATATTGCGCTTGCAGGAATACAGAGGTATTTTTGCTAGTTTTGCTGAGCCTAGGAAAGATTGGCTGTCAGCTCGGCTTTGACTTTGTCTTCTGATTGAATGTCAGGTTGTAAAGCTGCTGCCTTTTTCTTAAAAAGATACAGTGGAAGTAAAGGACTGAACATGGAAACTGTAAAGTCTAATTTAACCCAATGTGTGAAGTTGTGGATGTATAGCAGGAGCAAATACAAGTACCTGATGTGTGTCTGACATAAAATAATATATTTAATCTATTTTTCTTTTCCCCCCTTTTAAATACCGATCATTTGATGCGCTTTGCTCCACTCTCTGTATTATGCTGCCTGATCTGTCTGGTTTTCAACTAGGTCCGCTAAATGACGTCATGGGGGCGGGTACTTTCATTTTCACTGCTACAGTCCCTCACCCCTACTCGTGTTCAAACCAAAAGATCAGCGCGGTTTTTCACATGGCAGGTTCTTACGTCCTTCATACATGTTGAGATGGAGTTTATCGACTTGATGAGGGAATATGTCTTGACAATTCACACAGACGTGACTCAGACTAATGCAACAAGTAAAATCCTACATGTCTTCACGCTTTAACAGGCAGTCAAGCAGGTCGCACACCAGAAGCACATGACAGTTTAAACTATCACACACCAAACGCGCACATTCGCATGTTATTTAACATGAAACGAATCAGATGGCGCTCTGTGGCGCACTGTGTGTGTATAGAAACCGGTTTAGAATTCTAAAATCCATGGCGCTGCGTAGTGCTGCGGAGCGCGTTGCCGAGAGGCGCTTCTGGTGTGCTTCCTGCTACATACAGAGAGTGAACCAAAGTGCATTGGTGTCATTATAATGTATTAAATGTATATATTTTTTAAAAATCGCGATTCTCAATTTAATATAAGATTAAATCGTCGTCAAAACGTAAATTCGAATTAATCGAAAAAATCAGAAAAATCACCCAGCCCTAGCTATTATTATTATTATTCCACCTTCATAAAGCTGATGTATAGTTAAACACATGAATGGTGTTCCTCCTCATGCGTGTGTTTTCTCGTGAGTGAAATTGTGTTCATTCCACAGATAACGTACTTCAGCCTGTGGTATTACAACAAGCAGAACCAGCAGAGATGGATTGATCTGGAGAAGCCGCTGAAGAAGCAGCTGGACAAGTACGGACTGGAGCCCACCGTTTACTTTGGGGTGGTGTTTTACGTCTGCACCGTCACCCAACTACAACAAGAAATAACCAGGTGAAGGAAAGGATTATTGCTGCGTCCCAATACACCTTCTACTGCGTCCTAAAAGTATAGACTTGTTTTTTGTAAAGAAGAAGTACATAGATTTGAGTGTGTAAGCACTGGGATAAACTACCTTCTCGATAGCAGAGCATTATGTTGCTTAGTTACACTCCCTGTCAATCATCTTGTCTCATCATAGTTAATAATTTCATATTTAATTTCCTGCGTTATTGCAGATTTAAGCAGCAGGTTAATCTGGCATGCAAGAGTAAAGGCAGAATCTGCTGATATTTTTTGCTATTTCTGTGCAGAATTTTGTAAAAAAAAAAATCAACAGATTTATGCAGAATGATTTTGGAGAATATCTGTTTCCTTGTTTAGTGATTCACAAGTGTTTTGGTTTTATTAACGGAGGTTAATTGCATTATGGGATGTTTGTCCATGCTTTTGATGTTGAAATGTCAACTCTACAGTTTAACAAAGTGACTTTTATTGACATTTTAGTAAATAATATTATGTATAAGAAATTATATATAGAGAAATAAGTCTGTAAAATAACACTTATTTTAAGCCAGTGCTTTCACATTTGGTTTAATTATCTGGACCGTACCCAAGTTCGATTGCCCCCCCCTTGCCACCTCCTCGGTTGGTTTGTGTTCACACTGTCTTTTTTCCTTTGAACCCCGGTACGCTTGCATCATTGCGCTGCTGTTTTGTTTACGGTCGTTGCTAGGTGACGGTGATGCAAGCAAGTGCCGAAATGGAAAGACTTCCGCACATCGCGGCCATTCTGCTTTTACTGAATCCTCTAGTTTTGGACATACAGAAAGCGACTCGCGTCCATCTGCCGCAAAACTATTATAACATTCAGAACATCACACAGTGTCTGCACAAGTTGTTTTTGGAGTAGACAAGCAGACATCACTGTGTTTGCCCTAGCTCAGTGCCACGCACGTCACCAAGGTACGAAACGTGACACACACACGCACACACGAACAAACGTTATGAAAATGTAGTCGGCGGTTCACTTCCGTTATTTGGTACGATTGCAATCACATCTGAAGCGAACCGTACCAGAGTTCACATGAACTGTACCCCAGACCACCTCTTTCAGGCGGACTCGGGTATGGTTCACGGGTGCGCACCCGAGTATAGAAGACACGTTCACACTAGAGCTGCACAATTAATCGTTAAAAGATCGCAATCTCGATCGACCCCCTAGATCACAGGTGTCAAACTCCGTTCCAAAAGGGCCGCAGCTCTGCACAGTTTAATTCCACCCCTATTTAAACACATCTGATCAAACTAATTGAGTCCTTCAGGCTTGCTAAAAACATACAGGTAAGTGTGTTGGAGCAGGGTTGGAACAAAACTATGCAGAGCTTCGGCCCTCCAGGAATTGAGTTTGACACCCCTGATCTAGATGATCTTAATCCAGCATTTTTACGATTCTGCCAATCATATTTTCAAGTTCAGGAGAGAAGAAAAGGCGGCTGCACGAGTCTGATGTTGTTGAATGAGTCACATACTGTATTCATAAGGTATAATTCACCTAAAAATGTCATTTTTGTCTTCATATGATGTTTTCGCGATCGGGAACTTACACGTGACGTGAGCTGCTGACTGTGAGCTGTTATCACAGAGAGGGTGCGCACGCTTTACTTAATGATAGACGCACCGTGTCTACTTTAGTGAACAGAACCTGCATATGTTGCGAGTAACAGGTAATGCAGTTGTAAATAATATTCAGTTTGTGGCACAGAGTGATCGTTTAAGAGCCGCGCGCAGTATGAACAAGCACTTAGCAGTCAGAATGAAACTGAAAGTGTGCACTTCATTTAAATGATCATATCGCATTTTAGAGTTATGATTACGACAAGAATTTGATATGTTTTTTCTTTCATAGCGAACACACAGTTGTGCATGATAATAAATGTTAACAGTGTCAGTAAAACTACTCTAGCCTATATATTGTTGAATATAATCCAGGGTTCAACGCTAAGGATTTTTTCTACTGGCCCAATCGGACCAGTGGTTCAGATTTTTACTTGCCCTGCCAATATTTTCACTGGCCCCACCAAAAAAAGTTAATTTCTTAGCCACAAATAAAAAAAATGTGCCATAATGTTTGTAAATATAGAATTTAAATATTTCAAAATTTTTAATAAATGTGTAATGAGCAAAATTCTAAGTGTTTTGAAACAAAACATGGCTGAAGACTTGCCAAACTGATGGCAAACTGTACAAAAGATATCTTTTTTTTTTTTTTAGTCGTGGTGTACCCTCGTATATGTCTGCATTCCAAGATGTTAGAAACAAATGTTTTCCTTTAGCATCATCATTTGATGTCATCGCCATGTTGCTGTCTCTTCACTGAACTAATAACGTGCTCACAACATCCAATCAGATAAAAAGAACTGAGAAGGTAGCATTTGAAGGCTTGAAAATACGAACTCAATTCTAAAACTTTATTTGCACGCAATTGACAAATAGTCACAGGCAAATTAAACTTTAGTAACAAGGAAGCAGTGGCCCAATCGGGCCAGTAACTATCCTGTCTACTGTCCCGAGCATCTCACACGCTGGCCCCGGGCCATCGGGCAGTCCTTATTGTTGAGCCCTGTAATCTGATAATGGCAAATGTCTGATTTCACCAGTGAATAAAATTGTCTAATATGACAGATTGCAAGCATATATCTCAAACATAATAATTCAACATCAGAATTATTATAAGTAGAATAGAATTATTTATAGAAACCAGTAGACCTACACATAATATTATTATTGATGTTGTGCCATATGTTTGTTTTTACCATACCTTTATTTTAGATCTACAGAATCATGAGAGAATCGTGATCTTTATTTTAAGCAAAAAAAATCGCGATTCTCATTTTAGCCAGAATCGTGCAGCTCTAATTCACACTAGCTAAACGTACCGTACTAGGACATCAAACGAACCCGGGTGCGGACCAAAAGTGCTAGTGTGAAAGCACCCTAAATGTACTGGCAGTTTATTATAAGGTTTCTGTAGTGTAATATACAACACCAACCCAGACAATAAAGCACTGCAAGCTATTAAACATGTTCATGAAAGTCACTTTTTACAAACTTTTTAAGGGTAAAAGTTGTTTGAGGAAAGATCATGATCCCGTAATGCAATTCAAAAGTAGAAATACACGGGGGTAAACAAAAAATACAAACATGAATCACAAAATACTGAAAACTGCTAATTTATGGTTATTTTTTACAGTGATATAGGAACTAAAAACTTAAAAATAAAGTAAAAAATACCTTTTAACATTTATTTACGGTTTACAATGCAAATAAATCATATTTACTTTTGCATATTAACCAAAAGTATTCCTGATATTAATATAAAAACTGAATAAATATATGTTTCTCGATGGGCTACGTTTTGATGAGTTTTTCCTACAGAGAAATCTCCTCTGTTTGCTGTATTATTCCTTCATGAGTTACTGACCAAACACATCTTTATAAGTTTACATTGACTGCGTTTACATGGACATCAGTAATCTGATTATTTGCCTTAATCTGAATAAAACAATAATATAATATTAATACAACATTTATATAGCGCTTTTCTAGACACTCAGAGCGCTTTACACATTTTTGGGGGGGAATCTCCTCATCCACCACCATTGTGCAGCATCCACCTGGATGACGCGATGCCAGCCATATTGCGCCAGACTGCACACCAGCTGATTGGTGGAGAGGAGACAGAGTAATGAAGCCAATTATGGTTAGGAGGCCATGATGGAGAGAGGCCAGTGGGCAAATTTGGCCAGGATGTCGGAGTTAAACCCCTACTCTTTTTCGAAGGACATACTGGGATTTTTAACGACCACAAGGTCAGGACCTCATCAGAAAAATGGCTCTCACTTAGCAGTATAGAGTCAGCATTAATATACTGGGGCATTAGGATCCACACAGACCGCAGAATGAGCGCCCCCCACTGGCCTCACTAACACCACTTCGGCATCAACCTAGCTTTCCAATGTGGTCTCCCATCCAGGTATTGACCGCGCGCAGCCCTGCTTGGATTCAGTGGGCGACCATGTGAGAGTTGCAGAGAGCTAGCTGTCGGCAATTATTAAGGTGTTTACGTAGGTTGCTTTTTGAATGCTCCTTTCATGATCCCGTTTTACATGTTATAGCACATATATTGATTAATATAATATAACTTTTACATTTTTCAGCTGTAACTGCAGTTCGGCACTTTCATTCAGGTTCATTTCATTCATCACAAACTCAGGTATTGGATGAGAATATGGAGTAAGGACTGCTGGAAGAGTGTTGTTTTAATGGGCTTTGACACCGCACGCCTTATGGAAAGAAAAAACCTCAGCATTTTGCGATGCAGATGTCTGTGGTCAAATAAATGGAATATTCTGTCGTTAAATGTGACAATGTTCTATATCACGGTAATTCAATTCAATTCAGCTTTATTTGTATAGCGCTTTTACAATGTATATTGTGTCAAAGCAGCTTCACATAAATAGTCATAGTAACTGGATCAGGGTAGTTCAGTTTTTAGTGTTTAAGTTCAGTTCAGCGTGGTTTAAAGTCATTACTGATTACAACATTGAAAGAGCAAATCCATCGATGGGTAGCTCTACAGATCCTGAACCACGCAAGCCAGAGGCGACAGCGGAGAGGGAAAAAAACTTCACCGATAGGAGAGTGAAGAAAAAAAACCTTAAGAGAAACCAGACTCAGTTGGGCATGACCATTTTAATTTCTCCGCTGGCCAAAAGTCTTGTGCAGAGCTGCAGTCTCAGCAGAGGAGGCTGGAAGCTGGCCTCAGAGAAGACTCGTCTGTCCCTGGAGCGTCACTGGAATCAGTCTCACGCTCTCCACTCCCCCATGACCAACAGCGCAGCAGCAGCTCAGGATACGGCCTGGTCCAGGATATGGAAACCTTGGGATCATCTCGTTGCTGGTCTTGGATCCAATCAGTGATCCGCATAATCTGAGGACCTCTCGATAAGTATCTCCAGGTGAAAATGGATAAAAAAAGAGAACAATTAGCGTAGCTGCTGTTCATAGTGTATATAAACAAGATGCAGAAACCTGCGTGGTTAGTGATGCATTGAGTGTATGCTTTACTGAACAGATAGGTCTTTAATCTGGTTTTGAACAGAGAGAGTGTGGCTGAGCCTCAGGTGATATTAGGAAGGTTATTCCAGAGTTTAGGAGCCATAAAGGAGAAGGCTCGACCTCCTTTACTCGACTTTGCTATTCTAGGTACTACCAGAAGCCCTGAGTTTTGAGATCTTAAAGAGCGAGTTGGATTGTAGCGAGATAAAAGGTTGGTTAGATAAACAGGACCTAGATTATTTAGAGTTTTAAAGGTGAGAAGTAATATTTTAAATTCAATACGAAACTTAACAGGCCGCCAGTGTAAGGAGGATAAAATTAGGGTGATGGTTTACATGTCTGTACTGCACTTCAATAATGCCACTAAAATCGGCATACTCCACATGTCTTAATTCCATTTCTGTTCTCGGTGTCTGTGGGGTCTTAAAAAGTATTCAAAGTTGATAAATCAATTATGAGAAAATTAAAACCCTTAAAAGTATTTAGAAGTCTTAATCGTGCTTTTACGAGGTCTTACATTTTGTTCTAGTGTTGTCCAAAGAGTTTGACTCAAAAAAAACATAAATATATTAATTTTCCTCCTAATATTAACAACGGCGTGCTCAAACTGCACATTTGGTTTGGGCCGGGGTGCGTCCGGCCAACTTCTCCGTCCGGGTGATGTCATGTAATTTGCGGGAAGGTGAAGTGACGTGCTCCACATGTAGCGAAACCATAGAGCAAAACAGAGGGCAAAATGGGAAAATGTAAGTACTCCAGGTTGGAGAAAGACGAGTTTAAACAGGGCCTGTTGCTGAAAACAACCACGTTATTTACTCTATCAAGCTTTGTATCTTCCGATCTTACCTGAGTTCTGTTGAGTGGTTGTGCTCCATTGGTTTATTTAAAAGACAGCTGTTTATTAACAACTGTTAATTGAGTTAAAGGTTTGATACTGATTAGAACTTGAAGTGGCGACGAGGTCTTAAAATATTCTGAGAAGGTCTTTAAAAAAGTCTTAAAAAGGTATTAAAATTATCTTTAGGATTCCTGCATATACCGTGTATCTGTGTTTGCACTCAGTTTACCGCTTTTCACCCAGTGCAAAACAGATTCATAGAGAATGGAGCGCAAGGGAGCCATCAAGCGGATCGCTGGTCTGTGTTTGTACTCAGTAAACAGCGCCATAGTTTTGAACTGATGACCTTCTTGGCCAATCACAAGCATTTATGTTGAGCACAAGAACACAATGGCAAATCAGCGCTGTTTAAGAACGCCATCAACAGTGTATTAAATGTTAACGGGAAATTGGCGGTTTTTCTTTTACTTCAGTATCGTGACGAGTCTAATATAGTGAAAGAATCAGTTTATTAACTCGAGTTTGATAAATGGCGTCTAAAACGTGTGTTTGGAAAAGAAAACATTAGCTAACTAGTGTCATTTAACTTAGCTGAAATGAGCTCTGTCCCTTTTTATTTTCACCATTCATTCAGAACGGACCTTCGGGTCACTCGGAAGGTGGTGGAATTATAAATTTGTGTCACTTTTTCTTCACTGATAAGATATACAGCCAGGTACACAACGTTCCTATGTAAAATCTGATTTATATACCGCTGACGTGCACCTGTCAAAAAATGTAACTACATGTCGCAACAACACGTAGCGCAAGCTCTGTGATTGGTCGGCTTTGTAGCACTGATGAGTCTGGGCGGGACCGAGAGCCGCGCGAATGGCGCGAAGGTTTTTTTTTTTTTTTTTTTTTTTACAAGTGTGGAGTCGCGTGAAGGAGCTCCGAGGGAAAGTTTTGTTTTGTGTTTACCTCATAGTTAAAGTTGTTGCACGTCCGCCGGATCCTGCCTCAAAATGAGCGACTTTGAGTCACTTGTACAACCAGGAAGTGTTCAGGAAAAGCAAAACAGAAGCGAAGAAACTCGACACAGAGGAACATTTACACATCACTGCCAACTAGCGTTTCAGAAGTGTTTATGCAGACCGACAAAGATAGCGTGCAGAAGTATAAATGAAAGCTGCGCGCGTTGCCTGCGCCGTGAGTTACGCCGGTCATTTGACGCAGAAGTATAAACCAGGCTTAACTCCCAACGATACTTCCGGGTTTCTTCCCACCTCAGCCTCGATTTCACTTTTGAAAATGGCAACCGTGTGAAATCAGTCTATAGTGCACTGGACAAGTCTGAACAAGTTACGCCCATGCATGCGCGAGGCAGGCAGTTCTGCACAATTACGTAATTTTTTCGGCTTAAAGATATCGGCCTAATTTTGACATCATATCGATAATGATAATCTTAAAAATAGCATTTATCGGCCGATAATGATATGCCCACCAATATATTATGCATCTCTAGCCTTAATCGTGTTAAAATCAGATTATTGGTGTCCATGTAAACGTATTCGTTGTTGCAGATGAAATATAATACAGAAAACATGATTTAAATATTTACCAGTAGGTTAGATATTAAGGCATTCAAACTACTTCACCAAAGCCTCTCTACTAGATGCTCTCATCCACCATATTTGTAGTCTGTTTACATTTTTAACCCCTATTTGTAGTTCTAATAGAATTCACGTCCAATGTGCAATGTATTGTGGGTAATATTAGCAAATAGAGCGCGGACGCTTCTAATTAGAATTTCCACCAGGTACCTTTGGCTTACCCTTTTAACATACTACATTTAGGAACACACTAAATCTGTTTTTAAATGCGTGCAGTATGTGAATTGGGACGCAGAATATGTCTGGAATGATCAGATCAGAGCTGCTGGAATGCTTTACTCACTTCCTGTTTTTCACACAGATATCAGTATTATCTGCAGCTGAAGAAAGATGTTCTGGAGGGAAAGATCCCCTGCTCTATTGAGCAAGCCATTCATCTGGCCAGCCTGGCTGTGCAAGGTGTGTTTTTTCTGTCTAATGTTATGCTTGGCATTTGGGGGATTTCTGTGTACTGGAGATATTAGAATTGATGCAGGTGTTGTTCTGCACTGCCCACGTAGCTCACATTTTATCTTTTAAATGCAACGTCATGCCCTTCCTGCCGCAACCCATCTCTGGGAAACATCCACACACACATTCACACACACACTCATACACTACGACAATTAAGCCTACCCAATTCAACTGTACAGCATGTCTTTCGACTGTGGGGGAAACCGGAGCACCCGGAGGAAACCGACGCGAATGCAGGGAGAACATGCAAACTCCACACAGAAACGCCAACTGAGCCGAGGCTCGAACCAGCCACCTTCTTGCTGTGAGGCGACAGCATTACCTACTGCACCACTGCTTCGCCCAAACTTAATTATTCTTTATTAAATGGTGCACATTGTAAAAAGAACATTTGTTGGGGGAAATTGTGATATCAGAATTACTTGTTTGTTCTGTCTGAGAACAAAAGAGGACATTTGTAATATTAAAATACTCCTCAGTTCAGTTTTGTCGCTCACATTTTATATTTTAAAAATGCAACTCTATATAATAACAATTTATATACATTTGTAAATCAATCAAGAAGCATTATTTGTAAAATAAAGTAGAATAAGATTGTACCGACGTACATCTATGTAAATAAGTATAAAGTAATCAATGAATAAAATAGAAATGTAAATAAAATTGTATAAATAATGTACAAAATGAGCAATAAATTTATCTAAAATTGTAAAAATAAATAAACAACTATGATTTATTGACTGTTTCTTGATTATTAAATCAACATATTAGTAGGATTTCAGAAGGATCACATGGTACTGAAGAAAATTCAAGAGTCAAAAGTGTAAAATAAACTGTTTAAAACGAAAACTTGAGCAATTTGGATAATTCTGCCATCTTTTTATGCTACCTTGAGAAAAACCTTGAAAAAAAAAGGTGTGGACTTGTATCTTGTGGTGGGTTTTTATTTATTATAATTATGTTTTGTAAATTAATTTAAAAAAATTCTTTCTTAGGTTATGTGATATGTATACAAAATGTCAAACAGAGAATAGCCTTTTTCTCAATCTTAGTCTTCAGTAAAAACTTAATTTACAAAAAAATGGGTGTAGAATAATATCATACTTTATAAAAATAAAAATCAGTCAGTATCTCAGTAATAAACAGGTAATAAGCCACTGATTAAAAGTGAAAATTAGTACTTAAACTAAAGTGTTTCCAAAATATTAATGTGTAAGTATTGTTTACGTCTGTAAAAATGTTTGCTTCCGCTCTTAAGCTTCACTATTAAACTCTATTTGACTCTATTATATGAAGTGGATGGTGTTTAGCGATGTTGCAAGAGCACATTTGCGTTAGCATTCTTCAGATAACGTGTGGCCAGTGTCTGGTTCACGGGTTCACATACTCCTCCGTGAAGGTGCGGTTTAATATTACTACAGCCTGTAAAGTTTAAAAAATCACCGCGCCATTCATCAAACTGAGCTGCCAGGCTCCAACACACACTCACACACAGCTCACAAATACACAGCTGAAGGCAAAATAATTAGCCCTTCTGTTAAATTATATTTATTTTAAAAATATATCTTATGTTAACAAGCATTAATTTGGATTTGATTAAGGCATTAGTAAATGTTGAACTATGATTAAGAAATGCTGCATAAGTATTGTTCGTTTTTAGTTCATGTTAGTAAATACATTGACTTATAAAATCTCCTTACTCTACAAAAAAAATTTTTTTTATAAATATCTCCCAAATGATATTTCAGAGGAGGGCAAATTTATATATACACACACACACACACACACACACACACACACACACACACACACACACACACACACACACACAGACACGTGTGTGTGTGTATATATATATATATATATATATATATATATATATATATGTGTGTGTGTGTGTGTGTGTGTGTGTGTGTGTGTGTGTGTGTGTGTGTATATATATATATATATATATATATATATATATATATATATATATAAATCAGCAATATCGCACTCGTAGCAGTGCGATATGGCTGTATATCGGCACTACTAAGGCACTTGTGTGCCAATGCACACCTACCACCAGTGTCGATTTATACAGCCATATCGCACTGCTACGAGTGTGATATTGCGTTTATACAACAGTTTGACGGCATAATTGTGTATATAAAAACAAAATCAAACATGGAGAGTCTCAAAAACCCTTTTGTATGAGGAACTACTTTCTTCCGAATGCAAATCATAAGCTGACAGCTAAACAGTTGAGCGTGCATCTTTTAAACTTTAGATCTGTAGTGTCTGCTTTTTGCTGGTTGTATGTGGGCGGTAGGGTTGTAACAATATACCGGTATGACGGTTTACCACGATTTGAACGTGCACGATTATCATACCATGAACAATTGCATATCAACGGTTTTAACCCTTAAAGACAGAGACAGCCGCCCGTGGCTAAAAATAAGCATTGCTCTTAAATGTTTAATAACTTTTGATCCGCTGATCAGATTCATACAATTCAAAGATTGGCATAAAGAAGAGAATCTCAGCTTTACAGTGCTGTATCACATAACATTTGCGGACTTTCAGAGGCTCCGGAATCAGTGCGAATACGTCATCAAAATTTGACAACGCTGATTTGACAAAGAAACGCTCGTCACTGTGTCTCCGGACAAACCAGACATGATACATTGATGCATTGTCCCTCCTCCATGCCCAGATTGGTTCAAACTCGCTATATCACAACCAATAAGCATAGGTTTCGCTTTTGTTTGTGGACCAACATGAGCTTTTTGAACAACACGGAATGAGAGATAGGCATACATTTATGCGCGGCTAAATACGCAAAAAAAAGTTTTGCATGAAATAATTCTCATACTAAGTACTTTTGCATGCACAGCAGCACAGAAACATGACAAAACAGTGACACAGCAAAGACGAACTGCTGCTCTTGCTGTTTTCAAAAGACGCAAATGAAGGTGCAGCTGTTTGTCTGCATTGCAGACAACCATATCCAAATCCATATCCACAGACAACCATATCCATGCTGGCACATAAAACCTAAGGATGTTCCATATTGAATCTAGTTTCGTTATGTAACTATTTATAGTATAGTAAATATTTATATCTATTTTTTTACTGAGGATTTGCACCATGTTTATTTGGACTTTGACACATTATTTATTGTTTTCTTATTTTTTTATTTGTTCATTGTACAAGTGGACACATTCTCCCACCTCAGCGGTCAAGATTAAGTCCTGAAAATCTCAACATACTTACATTTCTTCATCACAACCTAGACTGAACAAAACAACGCTTTAAATACATGTTTACAGCCATAAACTTGGTATTGCACTTTTGGTCTCCCATTTATCCTGCTTATAAGGAAGGACAGTTTAAGTTTATTTTTGTCTAATCTTAAAAGACCTTGCTTGTTTATTCCTTTTAATTTAATTTATCAAAGTGGGAAATTTTTCAGTTTATTTTTATAAAGACTTCTATAGTTCTATTAAAATGGTTCTTTCAAAAGTTTGTTGAAATAAAACCTTTGTTCAGTCAGAAAACGTGTTCTTATTCTTTTCAGGGTCTTTGCTATGAGAATTACTATTTAATACCGTATACCGCGAAACCGTCAAACCGTGGTATTGTTTTAGACGATTATCATACCGTAAAAAATCATACCATTACAACCCTAGTGGGCGGAGTAATACACAAAGTGTAAAGAGGCTGTAGGAGTTCTGATATTGCAGAATATCTCACGGCTATCAGCCAATCAGATTTGAGAACCAGACAGAACTGTTGTATAAATATATATACTAACCAGGTTTTCTTTTTTCAATCTTGAGGTCTTAAAAGCAGCAGGACTGTGGGTACACGACAATAATTTTTGGTCTAGTCTTTTTCAAGAGAACCGATCGCAAATGAGCGATAACAGTCGTGCGCATCACATCACCTGTGCGTGCGAGTTATCATCCTCTCATAAGGTATTCACCTGCTTTGTCTCGCGCAAACAGTTTTCAGTCGTGCTGTTACTCGATTCAAAGATCAAATTTGCACGCATATTGGGCCATCCTTATTGTCAAACCCTGCTTTAAGACAACTACAATGTCAAAATTATTTCCAACCTGCCAAAGTGGCTAGTGGGAGCGGCTGTCTAACCCGCCAAAGCTGAAATCTACCCACATTTGGCAGGTTGGCGGGTGTTAATGTAAAGCCCTATATATATATATATATATATATATATATATATATATATATATATATATATATATATATATATATATATATATATATATATATAAAATGGCAACATGAGTTATCGACTGCTGTTAAACTGACGTCCCGCACTGATCATCCCGATGCGTTTGCACTGTCAAAAGGCTTTTGTTTGTTTCTGCATGGTTTGTGCAAGGAGTTATTCTTGAGCACCAGCATTGCTGTGTAAGGAGCTTCATGCTTCAGATGTTCTGCATAGCTGTGAACATTTCTAACGGGCTGATTAGACGTGCTGTTAATGTTGAGCTACTACTGTTACAAAGGCTAAATCCATTCCTTCCACAACAAAAAGTCTCTCGGCTTTGCTAAATTTAGATGTGTGATTGCTCTAAATTAGACTTGCTCCTGCTGGAGTGTCAGCTCACGTCTTCACATGTTACATCGCAAACACATTGAAGCAGTAAGCCAATACATTTTTATTTTGATAAGACTTTATTTTTTAAAAAGTGATATTTGTAAAATAAAAGATTTAAATAAGTTGAACAATAAGGTTACATTAGTTAAGTTTTAATTTGTTTACCCCAAGTAAACAAATAGACTAGTAAAAGGAAATAGATTTGTTAAACAAAACAAAAAAAATGTAAGACAACTTAAGACTATTTTTTGAATATATAAATTGTTTGGTAAAATAAATTAAAAAAATGTAAATGTAATATAGAATGATTTAAATGTTAATTAATTACAAAAAAATAATTGTAATGAAATTTTTGTTCCTTATTTAATTTTGTTTGTGTTTTTTCTGAAACACTAAAATATTGCACCAAGGCGCAATAATTCAACATAAAAACTAAAATAAAGTAGTTTGTAAAAAAAAAAAAAAGAATATATTTGTAAAATAAGTGCTTGCGAACGAAGTATAAATGTGATTATTTGTTACATTTTATTTAATAAGTAAAATGTTGTAATTGAATCGGTGTTTGCTAAGTTTTTTGTTTTCACTAGTTTGAATTTTGACAAATAATTATCACACCAAGGCTTTTGGTCCATAGTCATTTTTATATTTTATTTTGCTATTATTATTATTATTATTATTATTATTATAACCTTTATTTTACCAGGAAAGACACATTGAGATTAAAAATCTCTTTAACAAAAGTGTCCTGGCCAAGATTAGGCAGTACACAAGTCACATGAGTCCAACAGACAACAAACAAAAAACAATTTACAGTTAACATGAATCACACTGACAAACTATTCAAAACATCTACAAACCTGTGTTTCAACTTCTAAATCTTTTATAGTCTTTTTAAAAGCATGCAGTGAAATCTATTCTTTGAACTGCAACTGTGTTTGCAGATTATTCCAAGCAAAAGGTGCTGCGTACTTAAAAGCCTTTTTCCCATCTCAGTCCACACTTTAGGAACAGACAGTAAATAAATATCCTGTGACCGAAGACAGGCTTTTTACAAATGTACTTCTGTAAATATAATGGGAGTAAACCCAGTATAGATTTGTAAACAAGGATATGCCAATGCTCGAGCCTACGAGTGGACAAAGCAGACCAACCTACCCGAGTGTACTGCACACAATGATGAGTAATGGATTTAAAATTAGTTATAAATCTTAGTGCACCATGGTAAACAGTATCCAAAGCATTAAGACTTTGAGACGAAGCATGCATATAGATAACATCGCCATAGTCCAATGTCGACATGAATGTTGCCTCAACCAGCTTCTTTTTAGTATCATTTCAATTTAGCTTTATTTGTATAGCGCTTTTACAATGTAGATTGTGTCAAAGCAGCTTCACCACAAATGGTCATAGTAACTGGATCAGGGTAGTTCAGTTTTTAGTGTTAAGTTCAGTTCAGTTTAGCTCAGTTCAGTGTGGTTTGAAATCATTTCTGAGTCCTAATACTGAAGAGCAAATTCATCGATGCGTAGCTCTACCGATCCCAAACCACGCAAGCCAGTGGCGACAGCGGAGAGTAAAAAAACTTTACCGATAGGAGAGTGAGGAAAATAAACCTTAAGAGAAACCAGACTCAGTTGGGCACGACCATTTTAATTTCTCCGCTGGCCAAACGTCTTGTGCAGAGCTGCAGTCTCAGCGGTGGAGGTTGGAAGCTGGCCTCAGCGAAGACTCGTCTGTCCCTGGAGCATCACTGGAATCAGTCTCATGCTCTCCACTTCCCCATGACCGGCGTAGCAGCTGCTCGGGATACGGCCTGGTCCTGGATATGGAAACCTTGTGATCATCTTGTCGCTGGTCTTGAATCCAATCAGTGACTCTGCATAATCTGAGGACCTCGGGATGAGTATCCCCGGGTGAAAATGGAGGAAAAAAAGAGAATAACTAGCGTAGCTGCTGTTCATAGTGTATATAAGCAAGATGCAGAAGCCTGCGTGGTTAGTGATGCATTGAGTGTATGCTTTACTAAACAGATAGGTCTTTAATCTAGTTTTAAACTGTGAGAGTGTGTCTGAGCCTCAGATGTTATCAGGAAGGCTATTCCAGAGTGTAGGAGCCATAAAGGAGAAGGCTCGACCTCCTTTACTCGACTTTGCTATTCTAGATACCACCAGAAGCCCTGAGTTTTGAGATCTTAAAGAGCGAGTTGTATTGTAGCGATACAGAAGGTTGGTTAGATAAACAGGAGCTAGATTATTTAGAGCTTTATAGGTGAGAAGTAATATTTTAAACTCAATACGAAACTTAACAGGCCGCCAGTGTAAGGAGGATAAAATTGGGGTGATATGATTTTCTAGACCTGGTGAGAACTCTGGCCTGTCTGTTCATATTGTAACAGACTTTCTATAGCAGATAACTCGCATTAAAGGCAGCATCATAATGCGAAATGTAATTCATTGTTACTATTATTGTCATTTTCATCATCATTAATATTCTATAATTATTAGACATACATTTTGGAATTATTGCACACAAAAATCAATGTCATCTCAGCATTAGTTTGATAGTTGTCTCTGGTTTTTGTTAGTCCTAATTGATGTTCTTTTAAAATATAATAAATCCCTTAAAATACAGTTTTCACTGGTGCTCATTCATTTTTGGTGGGTGCTCCTAATTTTTTTCTGGTGCTCTTAAATTCTTTCTGGTGCTCCTGAATATTTGAAATGGGGAGCACTGGTGCGACCAAGTAAAAAAGTTAATTTCGTGCCCTGCCCTAATAAATACTTTTCAATCTAACACTAAACCTATGTTCTCCCAATATTTCCAGCTGACCTCGGAGACTTCAATCGGTATGATTCCCAGGAATTCCTTCAAAAAATCGTGCTTTTTCCGATGGTGAGCAATCATTGAATATTTGATTATCTTGTCCTGATTTTAAAACAGCATAATATGATGAGCTTAATAAATACACCGTTTTCTCTTTTCTCAGCCATGGATACAAGACGAGAGGGTTGTGGAAGAAGCCACTCAGAAAGTCACCATGCTTTATCAGAACTACCGGTGAGTTTCTGGAGCCTTCTGTGCTTGTTTTACCCTGTTTGAGTGTTCAGATGATTCCAGTTAGAGGATTTCATTGCAGCCGTCAAACTCTAACCTGAATTATCATCAGACTTTTTGCTTTAACTTCATAAACGCTCTTGGCTTTCCTTCAAGTGTTGATTTCAGGGGGACGTTTGTGTGTCTTTAGACCACATGAGATGTATAGTAAAACATTTGTCACGTTTTGATACAAATATGGAATGAATTGATGATTTAAATTGGATTATTCAACCATTTCGGGTGCACTCTGGTGTCTTTGTCTTGCAGAAATGCGTTATGCATTATGTGAAGTATTTTGAGGTATGCACAGTAAGCATTAGGCTTGGGCGGTATCCAAATTTTGATACCAGCAAACCTCCTCCCTATTTTACCCCGGTATCCGGTATTATCCTGCATAATAAAAAAAATTATGACCTAAGACTCAGACAGCGTCACCAAACTGTTGGCTTGTGCCTAAACCATTCAGAAACTGAATACCCTATACACACACACACACACACAGAGAGAGAGAGAGACGCACAGCACTACGCTCTCTCGCCACACAAGCAAACAAACAAACAGCATCCACGCGGATGCACGCGTGTTTGCTCGGAAGCTAAATTGTTAGACCGCACCATCGCTCCCTTTCAAATTACACCAGAGTTCCCGATCGCTCTCGCGCTGTATTCGGAAATTCATTCCTGCACGGCAAGAAATCTGGTCGACCTCTAGTCTAGTTCGTATATATACCACGTCCCCCTTCTCGTTCGGTCAAAACTGGAAATACTGCCAAACTGCAGGTCTCTCTCTCTCTCTCTCTCTCTCTTTCTCTCTCAAGTTGCTTTATTGGCATGACATTAAGTACAGTATTGCCAAAGCACTGCAAATATGAAACATTAAAACCATTGAAAAATTAATAGTAATACAGATAAGATATAATGACACACAAAAAAAAATATACAAAAAAAAAAAATACAATACATTTGATAAATATAATAATAATAAAAAGTTTAAATTATTTAAATTAGACACATGAGTTTACATTAACCAAATTTCTAATGGTGTGTAGGGTGTATACATATTTTGCAGCTAGTCTAAATGTCAATTCGTCCTCTCCGAGTATATGGTAAAGTTTTTCTGAGTCATTTAAATTAAAAAATGAACTGATGAATGTTTCAAATTGAGGTGAAAATATTTCTCTAGTCGTGGTGTATTTGGGGCAAAACAGAAGGAAGTGAGTCTCATCCTCTATTTGGTTTGTGTCACACTGTTTACATAATCTCTTTTCCTTAGGAGTCCAGGATTTTTTATGTCTGCCTTTTTCTATTTCTAGGTCATGATCACAGAGGCGGTATTTAGAAAGATTGTGCTTTTCTTTTAATTGTTTTAATGATAAATAATTTGCCAACTGTGTGGTTCTATTTAGGGCCGAATAACATTTAGGTTTAGTCTGGAGGTTGAATTCAGTTTTTAGTTTTTCATCATAGTTATATTTTAATGTTTTGTCAATTTGTTTGTGAAGGTTTTGTTTGTGGACGGGTTCGGTTTGTGTTTTTTTCAGTAGTTCAGATACCAGTGTGTTTAGAGGATGAGACACTGTAGGTTTTTCATTAGCCAGAAGGGCTTTATATTGGACAGATCTCTCTCTCTCTCTCTCTCTCTCTCCTCCACACTGTCCCGTGATGACAATCACGCATACACATTTGTAGGCATTAAATAAATAACATTTAATATTTAATTCTTGTCTCCTATATAATGGCATTGTTTTTTATGATGGTATAACGGTATTGAAACTGACACCGTTGCTATTTTTAGATCCCACGGTATACCATATTACTGTTTTACCGCCCAAGCCTAGTAAGCATGAGAACAAATTGGTAAAAATAACTTTAATAAAATTGCAAAAAAACAAACTATTAAATGCATGAAAACATTTGTAAAATAAATCATATTTGTGAAATAAAATATAAATAAAATGATTTCAATGATTAAAGTGCTGATGGCATATTTCTTGATTGTAAAATAAATGTGACCACTTTTTTTTCAATTTGAGTTTTTCACGGCATGCATTGCATGTGGCATGTTTTTCTCATGTTATATTTAGAGTAATGTGAAAAAAGCATAAGGAAGAAGTCAAATCTAGATAAAGTAAAAAAAAGTACAAATTAAAAATAGTAAAAAAATAAATACAGTAATATAATAAACACAGTTATATTATAATAATAATAATCATACAGGAAATAAATACAGTTATATAATAGAAATTGGTAAATAAACAAAAATGAAGTATTTAGTGTGATGCATGAGGAAGAATCAGCACAGACTGATGTATGTGTGTGTGATTAATGAGGTGACTGAAACTGTATTGTGTGTGTTTGTCTGTGTGTCTGTCTGTGTGTTTGCTTTCTCAGAGGTCTTTCTGCACCGGAGGCTGAGCTACTGTACATGCAGGAGGTGGAGAAGATTGAGGGCTACGGCGAGGAGAGCATCCAAGCCAAGGTTAAACTGCAAACAGCAATGCAGATTCAGTTTCATGCATGCCAGATTATGCATGAAAAGCACATGACCGCTTTGAAAGCGTAAAATACATGCACTAGAAATACCACAAAACATCTTCCGGAATCAGTCCAGTTTTGGCATGATGTTGTCAAAACAAGAAGCAGATTTATATCACTGATGGAATATTAGCGCAGTGAATGCATGCATTTAAAATAGTCCAGTACATGTTCATGCATGCATGCATAGCCAGAGTCCCATTTTTTAAAGTAAATGATGGAAAAATGTTTTAAAGGATTTGTTAAAGCAGGGATTGCTAACCCTATTGCCATTGCAATATTTTTCCTAAAATAATACACACCCGATTATGAGTCACGCTGTGGAAAAATTGATATTGGAAAATTCACATAAGTAAGTCACATTCTCTTTCATTCAGAAACAATGTAAAAAAGCTTACCAGTAGCTTTAAATGAAACAAGCAGGCTGTGAATTACAGGAGGGGTTTGCACCCCCTAACTAATGCTTAATAACACCCTACCCCCCCACCACCCGTATTATGTCACTAGATGTATGGGGGAGATCAGCGCTTTAACAGTGTGAAACAGTTTTCTCTGATCTGTATCTTAAAGAATAATATTGATAATTAAAATAATAGATAATATAAATATACATTTGACCACCCCTATAATGGTTCATACCATTGTAAAAGCATAATTACGCCAATGTAGCCTAAATTTAAAGTTAAATTAGATGCATAGTTTAGGTAGTTTGACCTACACCAGGGGTGTCCACACTCGGTCCTGGAGGGCCGCTGTCCTAGAGAGTTTAGCTTCAACCTTTATCAAACACCATGTGTGTACCAGCACATCATCTCTTACTATGTATACTAGAAACTTCCTGGCAGGTGTGTTGAAGCAAGTTGGAGCTAAACTCTGCTGGACACTGGCCCTCCAGCACCGATTTTGTGTCCCCTGACCTATAGTAACCTCTGAAATGGCTAATCAGATGATAGTAGGTTAGAAAACACTAAGGGTGTTCTCATACTATGTACTGTTGCCTTGAATATGGCCAAAGCACGCTTGTCCCCCCCTTCCATCTTTCCCGACAGCCTGCACTCACATTAGATTCGGGCCTGGGCACGATTACGTCATCGATGATGCACGGTTCACTCAGTGGAGATCGCTTGTTTTTGTGGTTTGGGATGCAGCCACCTTTGACGCTCATGAACAATCATAAAGTCCTCGTGCTGCAGGAATTGGGAGGTTTGCTAAAGGTGCAGTGAGGGAGTTGAATCTTTAATAATCTCTGACAGTTTGTGTACATTGAACAGTAAGAATGATTAATAAATCTATATGAAACAGTCCCTTAAAAGTCATGTCTCGCTTTCAGTTTCGGGCTCAGCCGCGTTGCACTAGCACTACAAGCATACCGCACCAAAGCCCAAGTGAACTGACCTCTTACAACCGGGCCAGGACCGGTCAAGTGAACCGTGCCAGAGCACTCGCACTTCTCAAACGATCCTGGAAACAGGCCTGGGCACGGTTTGGATAGCATAGTTTGAGTAGGCCCTAAATGCCCCTCAAAACACTGAAAACTGTAAAGTTTTGTTAATAAATTAAATGTAATTTAAATAAATACATAAATTTGATTCCTTAAAAATTGATTCATGATAAAGGTGACCACCTCCATCATCTGTAACTGCACCTTGAAAACAAGTTAACAATGTAAATAAACAACAACAAATTCTGACATAATACTTCTAATGTTTTTTTCTCTTGTATTTCTTGCAATTCTGACTTATTTCTTGCAATTTCAGATAATGTAAACGTACAATTTTGAGAACAAAATGAGCATATATTCGTGATTGTTACAACCCCTGGGCAGTCTAGGGGAGTGGGCTTGCACACTTGACCAAGGATCCTGTTCAAACAAACACTCAAAAAAAAAAAAATTGTACTCAAAGTAATGACCACATACAAGAATTGCCGTGCAAATAAAGTCATTTATTACAGGTGGTGATAAGTGAAGCAGTGAGTAAGCTATTTACAATATTTACAAATCAAAAACAAAACATAAATTAGAAAAAAACAATCAAAACCATCTAGTCTAATAAAAAATAATGTGAAAAATAAATCTTCAGCGTCCAAGACATCTTACCTAAATTACACTAACCATCCACTTAACCAAAAACACACCCTACCCTAGTGTATCTAGACAGTTGAACTCCTATGTGTTGATGTCACGTGACCTACTTGCCTACCAGTCTTTCTACCAAACCTCTGTAGGGAAACATGAGGAAAGGGAATGAATGATTACACAGGTAAGAGCAGACATTGACTAAACCAAAATGACAACACAGAGTAAATAAAGGATAAGACGGACAATATATTACAACAAAACTGAACAAAATGGGGATATAAACACAGATTCAATCAAGCGAGCAAACAAGCACAGAAACCAGTAACAAGTCGAGCCAACAAAGACTGACAAACTGCTGGCAGACAAATAAAATATATAGTGAGCTAAAGAGATCTGATTGGCTGAGACTGGAACCAAGTTGTTACAGAGGAACCAATCAGCATAAGGCAGTATCAGGATTGGTTGCATCAAGTGGATGTGAACCAGCCAATCAGGAACAGCAGTAGGCAAAAACTTTGAAGTGAACTGGAGTGATAAGGCTCCTACACACCGGGACGTTTTTTGTGTGCGTTTAACGTCAGCGTTTTACGAGAAGCGCTTTTCACTGCCGTCAAGCAGACGAGTATGCTAAATCACTCTTTTGACGTTAGATGGCGCTACACAACTATAAGCTTCTGACACCCGGTTATAACACACAAGAAGTGGAGGAGCGGATGTTCACAGTTGCACGCATGTTGTTAAATTTACTGGTGACTCGAACAAGCATAGATGGTTCAAGCAGCAGCTCCAGCTCTAGCGATAAAGAAATGTTTATTGTTTACCAGTGCAATAAGCAGCTCCACGTTCGTATCGCCTCTGGGCATCTTCTTCAATGTGCGCTCGCATTGACAGTTTTGCGCTTGAGCACCTCCAAGTGCTGTTTACGGTAACTTCAGCAGCTCTGTGCACGTGAACAAAGGTGCCGATCTGATTGGTGGAGAAGGTTTTGACGCCGCACGTCAAAACAAAAAAACGAGCATGAGGCGTTTTTACAAAAATGACGCTTTTGCGCCTTGCGTTGGTGTGTACAATCACATTGACGCCCTTTATTTAGTTACAAGGCGTTAACCGTCGACGGAAAACGCGAGCAAAAAACGTCTCTGTGTGCACGGGACTTTAGAAAGAAAAACACAATGAGACACATAATACAAACATGAATAACCAATACGTGCTGGCACTTAACAATGATATTTAATAAAAAGTTTATAAATATGCTATCTGCATTTTTCTTTTAATAATAATAGCATAATTTGTAGTTTATAGTTGCATAGTTTGCATTTCTATGAGCAATATTATAAACGTCAATCCTGAACTATTTCTAAAGGCTGATTTATACTTCTGCGTCAAACACTGGCGTATGCTACGGCGCTGACGCATAGCCCTTCGTCGTGGCCGTCGCCGTCACTGACGTGCACCTCTCAAAAAATGTAACTACACGTCGCAACAACGCGTAGCGCAAGCTCTGTGATTGGTTGGCTTGGTAGCGCTGACGAGTCGTGGCGGGACCGAGAGAATGGCGCGAACCCAATGTAGCGATTGTTTACAAGTGTGGATTCCCGTGAAGGAGCTCCGGATGGAAAGTTTTGTTTTGTTTTTACCTCATAGTTAAAGTTGTTGCACGTCCGCCGGATCCTGCCTCAAAATGAGCGAGTTTGAGTCACTTGTACAACCAGGAAGTGTTCAGGAAACGCAAAACAGAAGCGAAGAAACTCGACACAGAGGAACATTTACACCTCACTGCCAACTAGCGTTTCGGAAGTGTTAATGCAGACCAACAGAGACAGCGCGCAAAAGTATAAATGCACAGCTGCGCGCGTTGTCTGCGCCGTGAGTTACGCCGGTCACTTGACGCAGAAGTATAAACCAGGCTTAAGGAGTGAATCTAGCAGTGTTTTGCTAATAACATTATGCAAGTCGCTTAGGAGTGCATTTTGCATGGTTTAAAAAAATGTATGTTCCTGAAAAAAAAGTCACTCAAGTTTATTATTGATTTAAACCAGTGGTCACCAAACTTGTTCCTGGAGGGTCGGTGTCCAGCAGATTTTAGCTCCAACCCTAATCAAACACACCTGAACAAGCTAATCAAGGTCTTACTAGGTATACTTGAAACACCCAGACAGGTGTGTTAAGGCAAGTTGGAGCTAAACCCTGCAGGGACACCGGCCCTCCAGGATCGAGATTAGTGACCCCTGATTTAAACCAACACCTAGTCCTGTGGGGTTATTTTTATCATCTAATTAATCTACAAAAATGTAAATTGCAGCCCTTTAAATGAATAATTGTTTCATATTTCTGTATGTTAAGCAGTGTTATGTTCTTCCGTGTTGTCTGAACAGGACTCTCAGGCCACAGACGTGATCATCGGCTCCTGTCTGGATGGGATTTTTGTCAAGCACAAAAATGGGAAAGCTCCTCTCATATTTCGGTGCGTGTGCATTTATCTTTTCGTGCATGTTTGGCATTCCAGCATTTTTCACAACAAAACATAAATGTGAAGCAAACAATGGCATACATTTAGAGAAAAGACGTCACAAAAGCCGTCATTTTAGGCCAGAGATAAGCAAAACGTGGTCACTATATAATTCTGGAGGCCCTGAGTGTCGCCCTAGTCTTCAGAAAGCTGTTTATTTTCTGTGTTTGCATGCTGTGTTGCTGTCATGTGTCTGACTCGAGCTCTGTGTTGTTTCTGCAGGTGGAATGACATTAATAATATGACTCATAATAAGTCCTTCTTTGCCCTGGAGCTCGCCAACAAAGAAGACACAATCCAGTTCCAGACCGTAAGTCTGCAGATAATGCACATGCTTTTTTTTTGTTGGCTAAAATAAGCAAACACTAAATGAACATGGTGTCATTTTGAAAAAGTGTTTGGCTGTTTCTCAATATGCTCGTGTTCTCGTGTAACGTCATCCTCAGCTGCCAAAGTTCAGATCCAATACTCAATACTGCAAGTACGGAGGGCGCGTGAAACTTCCCAGATGTGTTCTTGATATCGAGGATGCACCCATGCAGATTTGAGCACCGATCTCGCTCTAGAAGTCATTGTGACTGGAGGTGGGAAGTGCAGCATTATATATAGATCTGTTATTAAAGTTCAGAGATATCACTTATTCATAGGGATGTAACAATATTGTAAATACCGTCATACCGCAATAGTAATTGTTTTCAATATTAGCGTAGGCGCATGACTCAATAAAACTATGTCTGAGAAAAGTTTGCTCAGGCGAATGAAGTGAACGGGAGGTATCGGGAACCACAATTCCCATCAGCCCAGGCGTGGCCATCATCCTTTGCGGTCTGTTGTCACTACAGATCCAGTAATGCGGAAATGGAGTGTGTTGCTGGTAGCGGGGAAGAAAAAGAGCTGGAAATGATCGAACCTAAAGCGGGTTTTAAATCGGATGTGTGGAAACATTTCGGTTTCTTTCTAAAAAGATACGAGAAAGGAGAAAAGGTGACAGACGAAGACAAAAACAGCATGCAGGCACTGCCAGACTGTGGTGAAATATAAGTCGGAGAATACGACTAATAACAGTCATGGGGACTGCAGAACACAGCACACTTGTTAGATTGATGCAGACATTGACTTGTACAAAGAGACCTCTATCTCACTCATGGCTTGTCTTCTCAAGTGGAGAAAATACAATGCACAACGTTACCCACTGCTGTCAACCTTGGCTAAATCATATCTCTCTGTCCCAGAAACCTCAGTCCCAAATGAGAGGGGGGTTTTCTGTTGCAGGGGACATGCCCAGAGATCCCAGCTTTCACCAGATTATAGTTATATGATCATTTTCCTTAAAAAAACCCATCTCTATCTGAGTGAGTGAGTGATTAAATGTTGAATGTGAGGAGTTTTCAACAATACTAAATTGAAACTTTATTTTTTTATATGGTTTAATAGTTTTTTGTTATTAAAATTGAAAAATTGAAGTTCCTCTTTCGAAACTTACAGATAGATGGCTAATTTGTATGTCATTGATATGTTCAGTGCTAAGGTAAATAAACACTTTTGGCACTTTTTTCGAGTCTTTTCATTAGATTTGTTTTTCCTGTAAATTACTCAATAAATACCGTACCGTGCCATTCATACCGAGGTATTACCGTACCGTGAAATTCTCATACCGCTACATCCCTACTTATTTACTTCAGAAGTTTCCCTAAATGAAACTGTGAATATAAACATTACCATAAACATAAAGAAATAAACACAAGGGTGTTCGTTTGCTGAAATTCGTATTCAAATCTGTTTTATTTTTATTGTGCAACGCATATTTATAGTGTTTTTAAGCAATGTATATATTTAGAAAAGGGGAAAAACAATAAATCGTTGTATGAGTGCTGTAATGTTTAAATAATTTACCATTTAAAACTCGTGAAGTTCACGTGACCATCAGGAAGAACGCAGCATCTCATTCCTCAGAGGTCGAGTTCTCTGTTCTCGTGGTCTTCCGAGTTCGTTCTTCCGAGGACACCAAGACCGGTCTCCAGAAGAACGCAAGTCTGTTCTCTGCGTTCTTAGAATTGAGAAACAGCCTATGTCAGTGAATGCATGTGTTGCTGATCTCTAACGAACGCCACTCGTTTAGTGGCTGAAACACTAGAGTCGATGTTCTGGCCTGATTTGATTTGAGGAAAAATGTTCTGGCTGTGTTTCAGGAGGACATGGAGACGTCCAAATATGTGTGCAGAATGTGGCTGGCGAGGCACAAGTTTTACAAGATTAACAACAGCAGTCTGTAAGTTTATACGTGTGTGTGTATTTTCTGTTCCATATGTACGTGTTTTTGTGACATATCAGGACACAAATCTTTAATGACATGGCTATGACAGATATTCCAAGAAGGTGGTGAATTATGAGGACATTGCTGATGTCCTCATTTCTCGAAAAGCGTAAAAAAATCACACAAATAGAGTTTTTTCAAAAAGTATAACTGCTCAGTTTCCTGAGAGGGTTGGGTTTAGGGGTAGGATAGGGTTAGGGCAATGCAAAATACAGTTTGTACAGTAGAAAAACAATGGAAACCTTTGTAATGTCCCCTTAATTCACAAAAACATAATTTAATGCAGTGCTTCTTGTACATTTTGAGACCCACTTTATATTGGATATCCATCAGGCAGTGAAGGTCACTGATTTATAAAGGAAACATACCTTAAATGTGGTGATTTTGTAACTGCTTACAGTCCACCGGAAGCGCTTTAACTGGGTCACTGAAAATGAAAAGTCCTTCTGCATATACCCATAAAGTGTTACCCCATAATCTGATGATGAATATCTCCTCCTGTCGATTTCTTCACCGCTGTCCTTTACTGTCTCCAGAGAGCCGTCTTGTGACCCGAACTCCGAGGGCCCTCAAAGGTCCATTCTCTCTCTTTCATTTCCTCGCTTTCCAGCCCTCTCTCGTCTCTCTGTGCCTGCTGATAAAGGGTGAGAACGGCTGCTTGTGGACGGCACACTGCATTATTTCCTGCTTATACTGCTGTTGAGTAAATGTTCACTACATTACTTCTTGCTGTATTACTGGTCGTTGTGTTATAAGCATGAATCGGTATAAGGCTGCTTTCACACCTGTGAATGGATTCAGTTGTTCCGAAACAGAGATTACAATTGTTACATTGTTGCTCTTTGTTCTTGGTGCGGTTCGCTTTCACACTGCAAAGTTTCTAATCGGACCAAAAGAGCTAAAACAAGTCACGTGCGAGTAAACTCTCCTCACATTGGTCAGAGTGTCAGGGTTTATTTTGCAGTGTCCCGCTCAGCTGTCAGGAGAGGTGGTGGTTTGGTGGTGATTGTCAGGGTGCGTCGCGCGCGACGTGTCTGAGGAGAGATGCGGTGGGAAGGGGTAAGAAGGGTGCGCGACGATGCCTATTTGAGGACCGAGAGGGAGACGCGAGATTACCAGGAGATCATCACTCGTTTGAGGGCATCCGGAGACTCGCGAAACTTCCCGCCCTACTCATAATTCTCTCTTCATATAGCCATAAGCCTATTACATTTCCATAAAACACTGTAATATAACCGCGCTCGGATCGGATCGCTTTCTCACTGCAATCAAACCGCTCCAGGGTTCGTTTCAATTGAGCCGAGACCACCTCATTCAAGCGATCCCGGATCGATTACTTTGGCGCGGAACAGAGCGCGATTGCCCTGTTCACATATGCCAAACGAACCGCGCTAACTGGGCAAACGAGACACGTTCCGAAACAAAAGTGTAGGTGTGAAAGCACCCTAAGATTCTGACCATATGATAACCTTGGATGAAAATTTCATGGCTTTACAGTATTAGAGCAATAAAAAACAGCAACCTTTTCTCCCCGTTCAACACGATATATTTTATTTTAAGAAACATTTGAAAAAAATTGGAGCAGCAAGGCAAGTTTATTTATATAGCACAATTCATGCACAGTGGCAATTTAAAGTGCTTTACATAACCAGGAATAAAAGAGAAGTATAAATAAAAAAGAAACAAATAATATAAAAACAGATGAAAACAGCGTAAAGAGTTTTCCCATACTCCAAAACACCGGTGTATCATATTTTCTCACTTTACTCCGGGACTTCCCCATTCTGGTGATCATCATCCACCCCCCGTGGATCTTTTCATTACCTGTTATTATATTGGACGTCTCAAACATGTTAGGATAAATAATTAAAGTAAATCATTGACTTCAGCTGCCTTCATTAGTTTCAAAAACACAGATTCCTTTATAGCTTAAAGTCATCTTTGGAGATCTCTCTTTTCTCTTTATATAAAGTAAAGTCACTGCACTGTTCAGCTCTACAGCATGCTGAATGCTGGTTTATAAGCTTTGACAGCAAAAAAAAAACAAAAACGTGCATATACCGCAGGAGCAGTTTAACAGAAACATTTAGCATGTTTTAAAACTTTTCCAAACCGTGGTAAACCTTGAAACCGGTTATCATTCCTTGCCTACTGTGTTACTACTCACTAGCTGTGTTTCCATCCTAAGATATGAATTAGATGTGTGCCCGAAACTGGAATATTGCATAAAACATTTGCGAATAAAATTTCCAATGAGTGAAAGATAGCAACATCATCACTTCCTGATAAGCAGCACTCTCAACTGCACTATTATTTGCTGTATTACTGCTTATTTCCGGGCAATATCGTTACTGCCCTGTGCATTCTTGCTGCTTTTTTGCATTCTTGCTGCTTGCTGCATTACTACTATAGCCGCTTTGCCACTGAACACGACAACTGTCAGACTGGAAGTCATTCATTTTCAGTGGAGAGTAGTCCAGGAGCTGCGTGGAGTTCCGATCATCCCCGTATGTGGAAAATTCACATCCGATTTGAGCTGCGTATCCGTTAAAAAAAATTTGAACTCCTGTGACATGACCGTATGCGAATGGCCGACCGTATGTGATGTATTCGTGTGTTGTCCAAGCAGGTCCGTGCACGCGAGACGAGATATACTAGTTTTTCGTTATTTTTTTAATTAGAAAAAAGTTTCTATTTAAAAAACAAACATTTCTATTCATAAATCAGTAATAAATAATATTTTATTGTTGTCTCTATATTCCCTCCAAAATCTCGTTCCTGGTGGTCGGGTACCCTGCAGGGTTTAGCTAAAATCTGCAGGACACCGGACCTCCAGGAACAAGTTTGGTGATCCCTGGTTTATAGTATTCATTCATTCAACCATGGTGAACGCACAGAAAATAATGGCTCTTGTTTTTGCACTTATTTATTTCGGACAACGCTTCTCTCCCATGGTGCACGACAAAGCTGAAAATTCTGTGCGACTGCCACAAGGGGGCGTATTCCGACAGTCGTGTCTGAAAGTCGTGTGGAGTGGAAAGGCAGCTTATGGGCTGCAGGATACTGCAAAGATATGCGATATGTGATAGTGTTGTTCAGTATTGCGATAACAATATTTCTTACGATGTATCAGTGCTATTTGATTAGCTATTTTATTAGCTCTGTTTTAAATTGATTTATTTAAGTTATATTTTTCAGATAAAATTCAAGCTGAAAACCGCCAAGGTGCAAACATTTAGGGCTCTATTTGAATGATCTAGGCACAAAGTCTAAAGCACATGATGCAAAAGCATTAAGGGCATGTCTGAATCCACTTTTACTATTTTAAGAATGGAAAAATAAGCTCTGTGACCCAGTGCATGGTCTAACAGGGTCGAGCTTATTCTCTTAATGAGTTCTGGCTGTGTTTTGAGCCTAACGTGCATTAGACCAATCAGAGTCTCATCTCCCATTTCCTTTGAGTCAGTTGCATCACGCCATGGTGCATTTGCTATTTACATGGCGGACTAAGAGGAAAACGAAACGCTTCACTAGCGAGAAAATCGTTAAACAGCATCTGCAGCGTGAGGATAAAGAACGAGCCTCCTCCAATCGGCCTCTTTACTTTCTCTTTACTTTAACTCCTTTTGTAAGTAAGGTGTTGTACGCAATCCACTGAAGACATCCATTAGCCGACATTTTTAATTTTGCTTGTTATGTGCAAAGATTTGTAGCAAAACTATTTCCAAATTCCAAACGAATAAATAAACAAAATAATAACAAAGTGTGGTCAAAAAAACTGAGTTATATCCAAACACACTTCCTGTTCTTATGCCCCATATGATGATGCAGACGTCTCCCAAACCCATCAGGTGGACAAGTCTAAACTTTGTTTACAAAACAAAATGCATATGCAATGCAAAGCAAACCTGCTGCGGTTGTACCAGTGCGTGCGAGAGATGAAGCTTTATTGCGTTCTGGTTCATTTCAAATTTGTCTTTTATTGTTTTGTGTTTTATTGCAGACAAACTCAGCCAGCTCCTGTAAACCCAGTGAGGCGACGGTCCTCCACAAGAATGTCTCTGGTCAGCATTATTCCAGTTATTCATGGACTGTACAACAGTTTTGCTTTGGAGCTTTGTTTTCTGTAGGACGCTTCTGGTGTTTGTCAGCTCTGCAGAATCTCATTTGTTTTTGATACAACCTCAAATCTGACAGTTTGCACGTTATTGGAAAAATATGACATTGCAATGTTTGGTTTTTCTTCAATTATACATTGCAATATGAATACAGTTTTGTTAGATGGATAAATAGCTCTATTTGGAAAGAAATCACTAATGTAGATTGATTGGGGTGATTTATTTATAAAATTTTTGTATATTTAATAATTATTATAATTACTTACTAGAGCAAAAAAAGAAGTAAACTAAACGGATATATTGTTGTTTTCCTTAGACTCTAACACTTCAGGTACAGAAATTAAATTATAATTGAATTTAAACTTTTCACACGTATGATCACACTGGTGTGATCGAGCCTTGGCTGGTCCCTGAAATGTACGATCACACCAGTGTGAAGAGAATGTTCAGAGCACACCTCATTGAATGCTAAAATTTAAATTTACACATTAAAATACAAATAACCACAAGCAAAACATACCATTTAATGTTTGTAAAATACATGCGGATGTCTATGCAGACGGCAGTAATAATTGTTTTCAATATAACTAGACGATGTGCTTTGTTCATGAAAGGCACATGCTTTCAATGTTTCTACAATATTTGCTTACCTTTATTTTCAAAGCAATTTATAAATAGATATGACGCTAATCCAGCAGCTCGGATCTGTTCTGCGGTTACTGCTAGAATCGACACCGCTGCGATCGGATGTATTAATATTATTTATTAAATGATGCATTAATTATATTTTATTAGCGTCTACCCCTCCCTCAACCCGAATCTCAACCCTCACTGAGATTTAAAAATATTATTTGTTGTGCCGTGTCAGGATTGAGGTATGGGTTGACGCTAATAAAAGTTTTTTTAAATTTATCAAGCGTTTTATAAGTTAAAATCAAAGTCAAGCTAAATCAAATTCAAGAAAGTCAAAATCTGAAAAGTTAAGTTTATTTGTTACCATGACTTTATTAGCTTAAATTAGCTAGTAGCTAATTAATTATATATAAACACAGTTGACCAGCAGTTATATAGTATATAGGGGATGTCTGTGTGTCTTTAAAAACACATGGCAATGATAATGTTTTACTCTGTTTTAGTTATACTATACAGTGGTGCTCAACCCTGTTTCTGGAGATCTACCTTTCTGCAAAATTCAGCTCCAACCCTGATCAAACACACCAATTAATTAGGACCTGAACAACACTTAGTAATTACAGGCAGGTGTGTTTGATATGCGTTGCAACCGAAATCTGCAGGAAGGTCGATCTCCAGGAACAGGGTTGGTCCCGCCTGCTTTACAATGACTCTACAAAACAACATTGCATGTCCAACGATGTGACTTTTACGGACAAACGCATTGCGACATCCATGCTGAAACAGTGTATTGTGGAGCCCTACTGTCTACATAGGCAGTTCACTATAAAGGCAGCATCACAACACTTTAAAAGTAAAATTGTTTTTTAAAATACAATAGAAAATAGCTTTTAATATAATTGTTTTGCCTAATTTTAAAGCCATTTATTTATTGAAGATAAATAAAGCAGCTCAGTCTTAACTTCTGTCTAGGTTTGAGACACAATAATTTATGTGTTCAGCTGAATAATACTGTCTTTGTTTTGTCATGTGATGCAGCCAAAACCGCAGCCCTACATGATGCCACCTCAGATGCACTTTAACGGCCACTATAACGAACCGTACACGTCTTCACAAGGTAAAGCATCTGCCGTAAACAATCATTAATTCATATTTTTGTGTTGTTTTTCTTTTTTTTCTCTAGATTTTTATTGCAAAGAGATAAAATTCGCAACATCAGTAAATATTTGTCACTTTTCCAGTTTAAATATCCTAATCATCGATACATGAAGTAACACAAATTTCTTCACGACAGCAACAGAACAACATATCCCTTAGCATTATCTGATTTTTTTAATCAAAACTATTTACAGAATAAAGAGAGTGCGGAGGCAGTATTTACAGTAAAAATAAATCTCTAATAGCAGAATATACAGAAGTCAACAAAAGTATTTTTGTGTTGTTTTTCAATATAGATATTGTAATATTATAACATTTTACCATTAAATCAAGATACATGAAAAGTTTTTCTGAAAAACTCTACTGAAGTTTTAACTTAAATCAAAGGGAACTAAAAATGCTGCAATGCATAATTTTATCAGTTGAATATAAAGTTTAATATTTAATCAGTAATTTTTCTTATGTATCTTGATTTAATATAGCTGAGACAACTGTAGTGGAAAACAATATCTTTATATTTTTGTTTGTTTAAATTGATACATAATGCATTATTATGATACATAATTCTGATTTACACAATTATAACATTTATTTTTATATTTAGGTCAAGGTAAATTTATATATGACAAATCAAGTACTGCATTTTAAAGATGTACTATAAATGTTAAAAAAATATGTATTAAGTAGCTTTTAAGATTTTTCTTAATTTGTAATCTTGAAATTGATTTATATTGATATTAAAATTGCTTGGTAACTTTTTAGTAAATTCTTTCGGAATTAGTTTCTTATATTTGTGGCCAAAAAGGTTTTGTGTCACATTATTACTCACATTATTTGCTTCAATTCTTGTATTTTGTTGTGGAAATAACAAAAAAGATTGTACTTTTTGTACAAATTAAGTATTAGAGGGAGTCATTTTATTAATTATTATTGTGTTTTTAGGTGTTAGAGGAGTGGGTTTCTGAAAACCATCGTTAGCCAATTAAGGTTGCAATCCAACTAAGCCAGCAAGTTGCATCATTACAAATGTAGTTCGTTGATTGGACATTTTCCAAATCTGTTGTTCCAACAAACATTCGCAAACAGCGTCGCAAACTTTTATGCTTGCAACTACACCTCTGGAGCTGCAGTTATAAACATAGTTCCTGGCTGCGTTCTAAACCCAGTTATTCCCCCTATGCCCTATTCCTTTTGAACATTTTAACATTTAAACTTGGAATGATTTTTTTTAATCATTAAAATCATCTCTCTTAGCTTTCATTTGCTTTCAAAGCATTTTTACTGTTCAGTTTTAGCGATCTTCATGTTTACAATTGCGCTCCCTTCTCAGTGCACTTTGAAAACATTGATGTCACTTTGAACACAGCCGTGGCTCATGACAAAAGCTATAGGTGACCTACTATTTAAAAGCGGATTTTATGTAACGTCTCCAAAGCTTGTGAAACAAAAAAACACAGCATACGTTAATGATTGTCATTTATAGTAGGTTATTTATTAAGTATCTGTACTGTATATGACATGAGCCTGTTGATTAGAATGTTTCTTCAGTGGTTTACATGTGTTAAGTTGTGAAAGTAGACTTTTCAAAAAGTAAAAAATAAAAAAAACAATATCCTACTTAATAATAATAATAATAATAATAATATGAATAATAATATTAACGTTTATGTATTTATGTTATAAGTTACAGCGAGTTATGTCGTTGTTTGGGAAACGCACCCCAGAATGGTTTCTACTACGATTCTAAAACCAGCCTGAACCGCTGAATATCAATTTGTTAATTAATTAAATTGATTGATAATTTAAAAAAAATGAAATTCCACTTTGAAAGGTGTTTGTTGTTCAATCTTGTTTTTTTTAACCCTCAGATTCCAGATTTTCAAATAGCATGTCAGCCAAATATCCTATATATATACAAATATAAAATGTCCTGTTATAACGACTCTCTGTGGTCGTTAAAAATCCCAGGATGTCCTTCGAAAAGAGTAGAGGTTTAACCCCGGCATCCTGACCCAATCTGCCCACTGGCCTCTGTCCATCATGGCCTCCCAACCATCCCCGTATTCCAATTGGCTTCATCACTCTGTCTCCTCTCCATCAATTAGCTGGTGTGTGGTGTGCGGTCTGGCGCAAAAATGGCTGCCGTCGCGTCATCCAGGTGGATGCTGCACACTGGTGGTGGATGAGGAGATTCCCTCCCATTGTGTAAAGCGCTTTGAGTGCCTAGAAAAGTGCTATATAAATGTCAGGAATTATTATTATTATAACAAACCACGCATTAATGGATGTTCTTCTTATTTACTCAACTTTCATATAAATCTCAATTTCCAAAAAATAATACATACAGTTGGAGTTATTTCCCAATATTATTTCCCAAATATTTCCCAAATGAAGTTTAACAGAGCAAGGAAATTTTCACAGTATTTCCTATAATATTTTTTTCTTCTGTAGAAAGTCTTACTTGTTTTAGTTTGGCAGGAATAAAATGACTTCTTGATTTTAACTCAATATTATTACCCACCTTAGGCAATGTTTGTTTTGGATAGTCTACAGAACAAACCACTGTTATACAATGACTTGCCTAATTACCCTAACTTTACCCTAATTACCCTAGTTAAGCCTTTAAATGTCACTAAGCTGTATAGAAGTGTCTTGAAGAATATCTAGTAAAATATTATTTACTGTCATCATGGCAAAGATAAAATAAATCAGTTATAAGAAATTGGTTATTAAAACTGTTATGATTAGAAATGTGTTGAAGATATCGAATCTTCATTAAACAGAAATTGGTGAAATAATATTCTGGAGGGCTAATAATTCTGACTTCTGCTGTTTAACTTGTTTTGTGGTCCACATTTATATACTGCAATGTTAAGAATCTTATATTCCTATAATAAAGTTTTTAAATTTGCACATATATATATATATATATATATATATATATATATATATATACATATAATCTTCTACAGATAATCTCTACATCAACAACCAGAATGGTTTCTACTACCATTCCCAAACCAGCCTGGACCGCTCTCCGCACGAGTACAACGGACGCATCCGAAACGGCAGCGTTTACAGCGCACAGAGCACCAGCTCCCTGAACAACCCACAGCACTACCTGCAGCCATCGCCGATGTCCTCCAACCCAAGCATCACAGGAAGTGACCTCATGCGTCCCGACTACGTGCCCTCCCACCGGCACAGCGCCCTGATTCCACCGTCCTACCGCGCCACGCCAGATTACGAAACCGTGATGCGACAGAAAAACATGATTCCAGCTGCAGAGCGCCAGAGCCACTCCATGAGGAACCTAAATATCGGAAACTCGTACGCTTACAGCCGACCAGATCCGCTAGTGTACAGCCAACCGGAAATCCGAGAGCACGGCGCAGGACAGTATCCTTTTCACCTTAATTACAGCTTCCACAGTCCATCTCCATACCCCTATCCCACTGAGAGACGGCCTGTAGTGGGCGCTGTAAGCGTTCCCGAACTCACCAACGTCCAGCTGCAGCAGGCGCAGGAATATCCGCCGCCGAACATCATCAGGAATCAGGTGTACTGGCCTCCGCCGCCGTATCCGTACCCTCATCCTCGACCCGCCAACAGCACCCCGGATCTGTCCCGGCACCTGTACGTCAGCAGCAGTAACCCGGATCTGATAACGCGCCGCGTGCATCACTCGGTGCAGACCTTTCAGGAGGACAGCCTGCCAGTGGCGCACTCACTACAGGAGGTTAGCGAACCGCTAGTCACAGCACGCCGTCCACACATGCACAAACGCAACTCAATCGAGATCGCAGGACTGGCCTACGGACTGGAGAACATGAGGCTCAAGGAGAGGAAGGTGAGGAGTGATGTTATACACATTTTAAATAGAATTGAATCAAGAAATAATTCTGCTTCCAGTCTGAGTAGTGGTGTGTCGGATCACGATGCGCATTTAATCACTGAAACAGCTGGAATTCAGTTCAAACACCCGCACAACATAAATTATGCATGATGGGGATTTGCATAAGCAAGTGTGTGGAAAGAAATCGAACGTTATTTAAAATATTCATGTTTATTTTTATACAACACACTCTTAAAAGAAACGGTTCTATATAGAACCAAAAATTGTTCTATCAAGTGCTTCATATATGGAACCCCAAAAAGGTTCTAAATAGAACCATTTTAAGGGTTCATTAAATAGAACCCCAAATGGTTCTTCGAATTCAAGTTAGATGGTTCTATTTAGAACCATTTAAGGGTTCTTTATTTAGGTAGCAGTGCAGCGCTCGTGCCCGCACCGAGTCTGTGTATGCGCGGCAGGCCAGAGTCACGGTGGCAGGCTAGATTGACCATCAGGCCACCGGGAAAGGTCCCAGTGCTCCCTATGGCCAGTCCGTCCCTGGATATTATTAAAACCTTTTAAAGCCAAACATATTTTAATAATCCATAGATGAAAGATCAGGTGTTATTTATAAAGGACACAAAAATGTAGGCTAAATGTATTGTGAAATATTAAACCTTTAAGTGTGTGTGTGTATATATATATATATATATATATATATATATATATATATATATATATATATATATATATATATATATATATATATATATATTGTGTGAAGGATAAATCTGTGGTGGACTTCTCCTTTCGAAAAATTAACCGTCACTCTCGAGGCTCTTCACCACCTGTCCACGATGATGATTATTAGTTTAAAATAAATTATTAAATCATAAAAACATGGTACTGCACAGTCTAAATAAATAAACTGGTTATTTTATTTATTTTACAAAATAGTTAAAAATGTTAAATATTAAGTATATAAAAAATATAAGTTATATGCTAATGTGCAAACCTAAATGAAAAAATCACATCATATTGTACACTGAAAAAGTTTTTGACCACAGAATTCAATTTATTAGGTTTTGACTCAAAAAGCTTTACATATCTGTGTTATAGCTTATAATTATTTTATAATCTTTAATAGATAATTATGTCATGAATCAAAAACTATAGAACCATTTTAATCAAAAAGGTTCTTTGCACTCAAAGGGTTCTAAATGGAATAATTTTTTGGGTAAAAGGTTTTACTGGCCAAGTATAGAACCCCAAGGTTCTATATAGAACCTCTAGGAACTTTTTTTTTAAAGTGCAGTTCTGTCTGGTTCTTAAATCTGATTGGCTGATAGCCCTGCAATATTCTGCAAGTAACTACACTCTTAAGGCTGATTTATACTTCTGCATAAAGGGCACACGCATGCTACGGCGCTGATGCATAGCCCTACGCCGCGGCCATCGGCGTCGCTGACGTGGACCTCTCAAATGTAACTACACGTCGCAACGACGCGTAGCGTAAGCTCTGTGATTGGTCTGCTTGGTATCGCTGATGATTCTGGGCGGGACCGAGAGCCGCGCGGGCCCGATGGAGCGATTGTGTACAAGTGTGGAGTCCCGCGAAGGAGCTCCTAATGGAAAGTTTTGTTTTGTGTTTACCTCATAGTTAAAGTTGTTGCACGTCCGCCGGTTTCTGCCTCAAAATGAGCGAGTTTGAGCCACTTGTACATCCCGGAAGTGTTCAGAAAGAACAAAACACAGGCGAAGAAACTCGACACAGAGGAGCATTAACACCTCACTGCCAACTAGCATTTCGGAAGTGTTAATGCAGACCAAAAGAGAGCGTGCAGAAGTATAAATGCACAGCTACATGCGTTGCATGCGCCATTGGTTACGCTGGTCACTTGACGCAGAAGTATAAACCAGGCTTTAAGTCCAGCCTCTTAACACTTCACCCTTGTGTAGTTCTCTGCCCACATACAGCAACAAGCAGAGGACACTCTTATGAAAAGCATCCCAAACGAAGGGCCGGAGAGATATTACTTGCTATAGAAGTGATAACACAACAGCATATAAGAGCCCATATGCTGTATTTTTGCTCCTTAAGACACTTACGTTGGCTTTTTTTACATTAAAATGTTAATGTGATGTATTTTGAAACTACATAACATCAGTGCATTGTACAATAGACTTTTTTTTTTTTACACACACATTCAAATGCTGTATTTTGGAGCACAACCAAATCAGTGCATCGCTGAAGTAGGCTTCTGCTACATTCAGACACATTCATACGTCATGTTTTGAACTGTATAACAATTAGATATGCAGCAATTATAGATTTTGGTTGTACGATTGTGTAGTCTGAAGAATAATCATGGTTTCACTGTTATCACGTCTAACGTAAATTCAAGCTTTATATTAGGTAAGTAGCTGTTTAGATTAACGGTTGTTGCCATCTGCGTTCATGCATACTCATAATCATTTTAATATTAATTCGTCTAACATATCTTGTTTACATTGCACTGAAAGGCATGCACAACTCTCACCGTGAGATGTTTTCTACTGCATGCGCCCAGAAAGACGCAAGCGCATTGTTTGGCTTTTGCACGCATATTGTCACATATTCAAACATTAGAAATAACAAAGTTTTAAGCGGAAAAGACGTGATATGGGAACGACCGCTGCTATAGTTAATCCAGTGTGCGTGCGTATTAGCCTCCGTGTACATACTTGGAACTTAAACTAGCGTACAGTTGGCGACTTGGCATCATTTATGTGTAATCGCAGGAGTTTCATTTCATTCCGTGCAACAGAAATGTGGCTTAGAAGCCTTTACGGTTAATTAACTGTGACGAATTAAAGCGCAGTTAATAGTAAAATCGGCTAATCGTTGCATCCCTATTGACGATATCAGTGCGTTTTCTACAAACGCTTATGGTGACTCACGCTCTGCACAGCCTCTGCAGCTCATGCTGCATTGAACAGACGCACGTCACTTCATAACTATAGCGGCCGTTTTTCGACTGAACTAAATGTTTTTTTGATGTCTTGGTCACACTGTTTGGAGGGTCGGAACAAATTATCTTGGGGGGCTGCCAATTGAATAGCCCTGCTCTACAGTTTGACAAACATTTCTGCTGTTGTACAACATAATGTATTTTTGAGGCTTTTAGCTGTTAGTGTAGTTTATTTATAAGGGTAGTGCCCGTTTTAAAATATTTATAATTGCTGAGAGACAGTGCGTCAATAGTCGGTAGCCTGTCTTTGAGCAAAGATCGTTGATGATATTTATCCACAAGGTGGCGAGAGAGACTGCATAATAAGACCTAAGAGAAAACCAGCGTTATTTCAAAGTACAGCTGATCAAATCATTTTTAAACAGGTAAATAATTCTAACTTGATCTCTCTCTTTTGTATGTTGTAGTGCTGTATTTATAACATAGTAATATTAATCTCCTGATTGCAACAGTAAAAAACGGAGAAATCTCTGTAGACTCATGGCATTTCATGCCGTTTAGCCTTATGATTTTAAAATGTGAGTAAAATCACCTGTATTTTCTTCAGTTTAGACATTTTGCTAGGGAACCATTCAAAAACTAGCTCTAAAGTGATGTTACTGAAGTAGCAATGATTCTGTAGTAGTTCCTCTTAAAAAAGGGTTTTAGACTTTGTGTTTGATTTTCTTTGTTATACACACAATTATGCTGACGAACCATTGTGTAAACGCTAGGGTTGTAACGATACACGATATGAAATCGAAATCGCAACTCAGATATACGATCCTGTGTCGCGGTGTGATAAGGGAGAATCGCGACACACCACGTGACTACCTTTCCAATAACGTCACGCGTGCCTGCAAAAGTTGAGCTAATTATCACTTTTTTTTTCGTTCGACATACGAGCACTGCTCCGTTTAAGCCCTTGCAATATTTAGCCGGGAGAGCTCGCACGGAGCTCTTAGTAAGGGACCGTCTGAATGTGTCAGGAATATCAAAAACAAAACCAACTTAACCCCGCTTGACAACCGACAATGCCAGAAACTTTGCCAATGCTGTCAAAGCAGCCGGAGTTTCAGCGCATATACGTTGATTTGCTCACACTGTTAATGTGGCTGCGCAGAGAGGGATGGGCGTTCACCAGATGTCAGGTAACAGCGCAAACTTTTCTGTAACCGTGCTGTGCCCTTTCTGTTTGAACCTTTCGGAGTGCTGACTGACAGGTGCGCGATGCGTGAGGTCAGAAAACACGACGAGGCTTTCAGTTAAGATGAACACAGTTTCTATAGCTATACTTTATTTAGAGATAAAGGTATATGGCTCTGCCTATAATCACTCTATCTTGCTGGAGTTTATAGCCGTTTCGCTTTACTTCAGGACGCATTAACACCACTCTGAAGGTCTAATCGTTGTTTTAAGTTATCCAGAGCTGTATGAATGTACAAATCATGAATCTCACAATAGTATTAAATATTACAATTACAACAACACAGACAGCAACACTTTTGCACAATCGATACCCAGCTGATTCAGTCATTTCCTGAGAGGACCGCGCCTCCTTTTTTTTCTCCTTGTCAACATAAAGGCAGTGAGGTGCGCCTTGTTTTCGGCATGGCATACTTATTTTGCGGGACGATAACGTATAACCCGTGCCTACAGACACATTTGCCAAAGAAGCAAAATGGAAGAAGAATATTGCTGTTTGATACAGACGTGTTGATGCTGCAGCGCTTATGTTGACCTGGATCTGCGTAATAAACGCAACAAATAGGCTTTACTTTTTATTTTACAGCTTATAAAGCATGTATGCAGATTAATGCAATATCATATTTTAACAACAAAACTGTTTACAAAAAGTCTACATATGCGCGCGTGTTGTTGTTGTCTTTTCATCCCGCAGCGGGCGCACTTGAACCGCGAGGGAGAGAGAGGAAACCATAGACTATATCAGGACATATTCTTTAAAATAATGATTTCTATTAAAAATGTAAAAAGTTTTGTGATTATAATAACAGCGGGGCATTA